AAAGGTATTTATGGAAGCTGCATAGTGCATAGACAATTCCCAGCAGCTCATACTTGGTAGCCGAATAATTACGCTCAGCATGGTTGAGCGAACGTGAGACACATGAGAGATAATGGTGAACACCATTTGCATACACCTGGTAGAGCACTGCACCAATGCCAGTGTTGGACGCATCTGTTGCCACTTGAAAAGACAGATTATCATTAGGGAATGACAGTGAAAGTGCATGTGCAATGGCCTGTTGCAGATCACCCAGTGCTTCTGTGTGCCTATCCGTCTAGGCTGCAGTGAGGTTGTCTGCATTGCAAAGTGCATTGAGTGGTGCTGTGACCATGGACATAATTGGTATATGCTCGCGCAGATAGTTTGCAACACCCAGGATATGCTGAAGCTCCTTAATCGTGTGTGGGATGGTCTATGATTCCACCTGCACTAGGCGCTCTAGATCCATTTGTTTGCCGCTTGGTGTGATCATGAAACCCAACAGCCGAATATGTGCTGATATAAAATGACACTTGCCAGGATTCACAACAAGGCAGTTTGCCATGAGAATTTGCAGCACATGCACAACATGTTTTCTGTGCTCCTCAACTGACTGTGAGTAGATGACAATGTCGTCGATGTAGCAGAGCATGAATGGAATGTGCCCAAAGAGTTGCTGCATCACATGTTGGAAAACTGATGGCAGTGTCTTCAGACCAAATGGTGCCCGGTAGAACACATACTGTGTGTTATTCCATGTAAACGCCGTTTTGTACTGGTCCTCTGGCACTATGGGAAACCAGTGGAATGCTGACTTGAGGTCGATTGTCGAAAAAATGGTTGCACCTGCAAGCACAGCAAAGATGTCACTGATCAGTGGGATGGGATAAAGATCTGGCTCCAATATAGCATTCAGCTGCCTAAAATCATGGCAAATTTGATGGAGTGTTTTATTACTGCTGGCATCCTTCTTCGGAATTGGGAACATCAGTGTGTTGAACACCGACAGCATTGGCACAGTCTCAATAGTGCCTGTCTTGAGCCACTCAGTGATCTGTGCGTCAACAACAGGGCATGCTGCATTGGCCAAAGGGTATTGTCGTTTGAATACAGTCTTCCCCGGCTGTGTGGGCAGGTGCACAAGTGCCTCTGGAACTGGACAGGCTGCGTCTGCTGGAGTAGCTTGATTTGCAGCAAGCAGCGGCTCAATTACAGTCATTAATTTTGCATGTGGACCATCAAAAGTGGTGTTGCACTCATCATGTATGAGTGATGGTATTGGCGTCTCCATAATCACTGTTAGTGCAAAGGCATCAATGAGCTTGAAAGGCACATTGGCCAACTGTATGTGAAAAACGAGCAAAGCTGAGCAAAGAAAAGGTTTGCAAGTTATATTTAAAAGGAAGAAAAAGATAAAGTTCTAAGCTAAAGAAAGAAAGTGAAAAGACTGAGGAAAGCTGTCTCTTATATAGGAGACAGCAAGTGAAGATAAGAAAGTTATAAATAAACCAGAAGGATACTTTAGAAACCTCTGGTCTTGCAACCATCTTACAGTATGCAAGACGGAATTCCGTCATGACGGAGTTCCACTAAGAACGGAATTCCAACACTGTATACCAATCCATGCAAACAGCAGGCGTCCAATAGTGATCTGGTATTTTGTGCTTGAAGGAGCAACAAAGCATGAAACCATCTCATTCATTTGGCCACACTGCAGGCGCAGTGGCACTGTCATCCTGTCGACCAGGGATGGCTTCTCGCCAAAACTGGTGACCTGTAGCATGGCTGGTAGGGTTGCAATCCTATGGTGTGCTACAAACTCTTGGCAGAGGAGCACTGTGTCAGCCCCACTGTCAATCAATGCCATCGCAACCTGCCCGTCAATGTACAATGGTGCTAGAGGTGGATCGGCATCCACTGGTGGCTGATTAGCCCCAGTTACATGCGTCAACCTGACATTGGCTGACTGCACTTTCGTCGGGGATCTGGATGCAAAATGTCCGACCTGGTGACACTTGAAGCAGGTCATGTTTGTTGAGCCATTAGTCATGGCTCCACCTGTCGTGGGCTTGGTTGTCGACACTGTCACTACTTGCTGCTTCTGAGCATTGCAATCAGTGGAATTGTGTGTATGTGAGCAATGGAATTCACACCATTTGTTGGTTGCCTCCTTGCTCTTGCTGGCATTATTGCTATTACTGGCCTGGCCTACTGCACCACTAGCTCAGTTAGCAGTCTTGATGTAGGGCATGTGTGCCACTCGTGCAGACTCAAGGAAAGACAGGAGGTCTCTTGGTGTGTACTCCACCTCTGGCAGGTGAAGTTCGACATAGTCCTGAACCTCAGCGGGCAGTTTCCCCAGCATCGTCCAAAACATAAATTCAACCTCAGAACCCTTTGCCATGAAGTGGCAGTGTAGTACCAGCTGGCGCTTCATGCACTGAAGGAGCATTTCACCCTCATCAATTGTCAGTTTGCTGAGCTGGCATGCCTGCCTGGCATGATACTGAATACCCAGGTAGTGTGCTTCTATCTTACCATGGGCTATGTCCCAGTCATCAATCTTGCTACAGTGGTCGGTGAAGAATTCAAGCAGTTCACCACTGACATTAACCATAAAGTGCCCACCCCATTCCCCAGGGCCCATCTTAATGGCATTGAGTGCATTTTCGAAATGCACAAGGAAATCGGAAAACTTCATCATCGACTTGTCATTCACACCAAATGTGGGGAACACAATCTTAGGTTGGCTTCGAGGGAGTGCTGACTCAGTGAAGGGGCTGCTACAGCTTGGTTCACTAGGGAGGAACAATGGGTGTACTTTCTTGTAATTAAGGTAAATTTCCACTTGCTCCTCAACCTTCTCATGCAACCTAATCGTCATCGTAAAACAGTCCATTAGGTCTGCAATCTCGTTTGGGTTGGTTTGCATCAGGCTCTCGACCAGCCTGGTTCGCTGAACATGTCTCCACCATACCTGAAGGAAGTTGTTCATTACATAGTAAATATCTTCGTCGTTGTACATGTCATAATTCCCTTGAAGTATCAGATCCTCAAAGACGGTAAATGCAGTAAAGTTGTCTTCCAGGCCCAGGTTGTAGGGGAGTCCTGGAGAGCGGCGTCTAAGTGCCATAGTTTCTGTTGTTGTTTTCTTTATAGATGATGAGTGGCACGTCTGCTGAAATATAAACTTGCAAGTTCTAAAATAAAATAAAATTGGTTTTTACACCTCACAAAAAAATATGTTGTGCTCTATAAAAATGTGGGTCTAAATCGATATATTCAAGTATCAAAAGTTACTTTAGGAACTGAAAAGGGGGAAGTGCTGTGTGGGCAGTGCTGTAAACATCATGGTGTTCCTTGATGTCAGCCAGCAATAACAGAAATGTGTATAGTGGCCATGATGGTGATCTTGATTCTTGAAAAGGGAAGATAGTGGCTTGAAATGTGTGTTGGGCACCACACTTACCACCATGTGCAGATTTGCAATGCAGACATTGCCAAAACCATTTTCCACATAAAATGAGGGTCATTTGAATTCACAGTTCTACCTTTCAGACTGACAAATGTCTTTGCCATCTTCCAACATGTTATGTACCATGTGTTGCACGACCTACTTGGCAAAATGTGCATTGTTTACCTAGACAACATTTGAGTCATTTCAAAGAATAATGCTGACCATGCAAAAGATTTTGATGCTGTGCTTGCCTGCCTCAAAGAGCACAACCTATTCACAAAACCCGAAAATTGTTTATTCTTCTAAGACATGGTCGACTTCCTTGGGTTGTCATTTCAGGCAAGGGTTTCACAACTGATCCATGCAAAGTGGATTCTGTTAAAGAGTGGTGCACACCAGAGACGATCACAGACATCTGTGCATTCCTTGGATTAAGCAGCTACTACTGCTGACTGATTTACTATGCAATATGGACTTTTTGTGGAACGGCCAGGCTGACATTGTTGGAATTCTGTTTTTGGTGGAACTCTGTCTTGACGGAATTCCCTCTTGCATACTGTAAGATGATTGCAAGACCAGAAGGTTCTAAAGTATCCTTCTCTTTTATTTACTTTTCTTATCTTCACTTGCTGTCTCATATATAAGAGACAGCTTTCCTCAGTTTCTTTACTTTCTTTCTTTTAGCTTAGAACTTTATCTATTTCTTTCTTTAAATAGAACTTGCAAAGTTTCTCTTTGCTCGTTTTTTCACACCCCATTCCTCAATTTGGTCGTTTGCACATGCAGCTTTCAGTGCACTGATTGACATAGGCTTCAGCTGGTCCTCGTCAGTCTGAGGCTTTGCATTACTGTGACATTAATTATTGCAATGCCACGTGACAATTGCAATTGGGAAATTGCGATTGTTTGAAATTGTGATTGTTTACGATTGCGATTTCTATTTTCACGGGCAATAGTTTCGAATAGATAAGCGGAGCTCTTTAAGCTCCCTTATAGTGGATTTTTAATAAAATTAGTTAGTACGAATAAGTTTTATTACAGTTACTGTTTTTTAATATTTATATTTATATTTGTTTTTCAGCCAGTTTGTCAATCTATAACATTAAAAATGGGGCTGGATCATGTGATAGCGTAGGCTTATGAAATATGTTTGTGATATTTCATGCATGCAGTGAATTCCGAATAGTGAGCTCTTTAACTCTTTTCGTAGTCTTTTTAAGTAATATTTATTATAACCAGCTTTATTCGCATTACACAGTTAGTCCTTGATGAGGAAATGCAGGTTGTCAGATTTGAGGTGCTACCAAAGGTAATGGGAATAATGCTAGTTAGACTATACATATATCATAAAAGACTACAAGAAAAGCTGAGGAGCTCACTACCCAGAAATCGCTGCATGCATGAAATATCACAAACATATTTCATAAGCCTACGCTATCACATGATCCAGCCCCATTTCTGATCTTACACCAATGCTCATCAGTTGCCCTTTTATTTGTGAGCACTAAGACTCACAGTCATAAAAAAGAACAAAACATCAAGAACATGTATTAGTTCTTGCTCTTCTCTTAGTTTTTACGGAATATAAATTTAATATACTTATTGAATTCTCTCATTAACATACATAAGCTCAATGGTGCATCACAGCATGCACACTTGCTCATCAAATCCAAGCTCAACCTCCACTCTGAGATCCTTGAGAGCATTGAACATGCACACGTCATCACACAGCTTCCCATTGCCACACATTGTAGTCTGGCAATTGCTCTTGTAGGCGAGTGTATTCAAGGAACTATTAAAATATATTTTGTCTAAAAACTAAGAAAAGAAAGAAGGAATAACTAATAAATGTTGTTGTTTATCCTTTTTTATAACTGTCTTAGTACTCACAAATAAAAAGGCAACTGGTGGGCGTTGGACTACAAAGGAAATTTGTGCCCAACAGCTCTGATACTACTCTACTTGGTATTTGGCATTTGTGCACATAAGAGTAAGCTGCACAGAAGGATGTAGCAGAACATGATCACGACCAACTCTGGTGCCAATATGACCAATGCATCACAGCAGGAATACATGCTAATTTCCGACAGCATTACTCTATCAAACATGTACCTGACGATTTTGTCCATAGCAATGCTTTTGCTTGTAATCTTGGAAATCAATGAGCTGGTGAGCTGGGTTATCGCCCTGGGCTACACGCTCGTGATTGCTGGATCCATTGCTGGCACACAGCCATCTGCCCTGTCATCTGTCACATCAATTATTACAATGTCACATGACAATCGCGATTTCTATTTTCATTGTTGATAGCTTTGAATAGAAAAGCGGAGCTTTTTAAGATCCCTTATAGTGTATTTTTGAATTATATATATTTAGTAAAAACGAGTTTTATTACATCATCCGTTTTCCAGTCCACCGATACTGTTGATCGAGGTCGGACATCAAGTCACGTTTGCAATCACTGCATTCATTGCCATGTGTTGTGCCGTGAATAGCTTCATGTCCTGATTATTTTTTCCTATTTTTCCCTTCAAATATCCTCAAATTATTATATTATCATATCCAATTATGATCATATTTCATTGATTCAGCGGCGGTTGCTCACCAAAACCTGCTCGCCGTCTTTGAAGGGCGCCTTGTGCCGCCGGAACTCCTCGGGGAACCGCCGGCTCAGCGACTTTTGTTGAGGGTCGGTCAGATCCCAGCTGAAGGACGTGCCCCACTTGCGATGCAGGGCTCTACGCGCCGAATGCGCGGGCTTCTGCATACACAGGCCGCGGATATCCAAAGTTGAATGTTTGTCGCCAGCGACCAAGGCGTTCTGGTACAGGCTGCTAACATCCTCCATCGTGGGATTGTGCTTGTGCTCCAGAATATCGTTCTTTTCCTCGCGGATCAGCTTGATCGCCGCGCGGAAGTCGCCGCAGCTGCCGAGCAAGGTGATCATTTCAATGTACGTTGCATGCTCAGCCTTCATGCCACAGCCGATCCGCTTGCGCGCAGTCTCGCGGTCCGATGGCAAAACAGCCATTGCTCCGCCAGCCACGACTTGCGGAATCACGTTTTCTCCAGGAAAAACAAGGCCCTCGGCCAGAGCCAACATGTCCTGGCTAGCACGATTCAGCGCTGCAGCATCGCCCTCCGCACCAGGAGCTGCATCCTTGTCCACAGCATCTCCGTCAGTGGCTGAGCGGTAGACCATAGTCTGAGACCGCTTGAGCTGCTCGTGGCCAGGCGTTTTGAGCGCCTTCTCCACATCGGCGCGCCACGCCTTAAACTCGTCCCAGACCCGCCACCCGCTGGGTACATCGCGTGTGCGCGCACAGAGACGGATCATACGCTGGAACGTCCATCCGTCCTTGGAAACATTGTATTTGTCAAAGTCGTGGAGGAAGATCTTCCAGGCATCGCGGAAGCGCCCGTTGCAGATCATCGCTGATATGTAGGCGTTCAGAAGCTGCGCATTCACATTGCCCTTAAGAACGTCCATGTAGAACCTCATCAGGCGAGCGGCCTCGGAGCCGACACTGTTGTGGGCGCTGGGGACATCTTCGGGCATCAGCGTGTTGATCAGCGACATGCGCTGCTGGTCGCGCGCCTCCTTGGGGATATCTTTGTCCATAGTGTCCTGGATATCCCGTGTTGCCTGCGCAGCCCTTTCCTGAGCATCGACCAGCCGTAAGAATGCCGTGTTGGCGCCGAATCTCTTGTCTGCCTTGGTGAGCGCCTGCCCGATATAGCCGTCAGGCTCGCCTGAATCGCTTTCAGCTTTGATCTCCTGTAGAACATCCATCGCCAGAGTCTCGTACTTCCGGGCCATCTTCCACGAGCAGGTCTTTACTGTGTACAGATAGCCGGCATACGCCCACATCATGTTGGAAATTGTCACTGGATCGATCTTGAGTAGGCCTTGCTTCCTCGGGTCCATCGACTTTTCCAGCATGTCGCGGAACAGATCGCGCGCCAGCCCGAGGTTCTTCTTTCGCGCGCAGGCGTAGATGAGAGTGTTGTACGTGTAAAAGTCCGGTTGGAACCCGTTGGCCTCCATGAGCTGCAGCAGGCGGAATCCCTCGTCAAAGTAGTCCGGACGCAGCGCGCACGCGTGGATGAGCGAGTTGAAGGTAACATCGGAGAGGGCTAGCTTGTTGCTGATCATCTCCTCAAACAAATTCATGGCCTTCTCGACCTCGCCGTTCTTCGCGCAGGCGTGTATCATGATGGAAAACGAAATTTCATCCGGCTTGGCAATCGTGTACCGCAGATGCTCGAACACTCCCCACGCGCGCTTGTAGTCACCAACCTTGAGACATGCGACAATCAGGCTATTGTAGACTGGCAGGTTGGGCCACATCTCGCGCGTTTTCATCGTCTCGTACACGCCAAAGGCGTCGTCAATCCGGTCAAACTCCATATACGCCTTGATCAGTGTTCCATACGAGTAGATAGTCGGCTCCAAGCCGCGGTCCTCAAGCTTCTTGAACATGGACACTGCAGTATCCAGGTCGCCAGCCTTGGCGTGCGCAATTGTCAAATTTGCAAATGTTGTCTGATCTGGCTGCAGCCCAGAGTCCAGCAGCAGCTCGTAGACGCGCACGGCTTCATCTGCCCGCCCTGCAAGCATATTGGCAAATATGACATGGTTGAACTCGGATACCGATAGCTCTGGCGCAAAATCACTGAACAGTTCGTCAGCCTTTGCGTCGACAGTATTCAGATCAAGGCCATTTTTCTCTTCCGCAGCGCCTGTCTCGGAAAGGGTGTCTGCGGCCTTAGTAGGCGCAGCAGAAGCAGAAGCAATTTCACGAATCTTTTCCTCGAGCTTTTGAATTTGGTTTGAATCAGTGGAGGCAATGACTGCACGCCTGGCCTCCTCCATGTCGCGGATAGCACGGGTGTCGACGTAGATCATCTCCTCCATGGTCTTCTCTGAGATCGGCCTGATATTGATTGCATCTGCAAGCCTGCCGTCGCGGTGGTTATCTGTGGCACCATCTTCGCCCTCGGCATTATTTTTTGTGTTCTGCTTGTCGGGAACGCCGCCTCTCATCCGCTCCCTGGACTGCCTGCGAATCTCCAAATGTTGTGCTCGGGACTTGTGCCTGAGCGACTGCTCGTCACGCTCTTTGCGGTGATCCACACCCATGATAGAGTCGTAGATCCTGTTCACTTCGTCATCGGTGACCTTGATTTTCTCTAGCAGCTCGGCTTTGTCCCCGGCGTTGCTATCTAGCCTGTTCATGAGCTCTTCGGTTGCAATCTGCTCTGGGCGGTTGGGCCTGGTCGATCGAGGCCGCGGGTACTGGTCATTGTCCTCGTACTGGCGACGCCGGCCCTCAGATGTGATGCCGCTGGAAAACGCGCGGGCGTGTGCCAGCTTGCTTGCGACTGCTGTTGTGTAATGTGTTGGGATGCTTGCGCCAGCACCACTGCGCCGCATGGCAATGCGGCAGGCGGCAATTCGCAGCATTTTTCTAGGTATAGATTTAGAAGTTTGTAAAAAGTATAAATCAAATTCAAGTCGAAAGAGGGGCAAAGTCGAGCGGGTTCAAAACATGAGCGCTTTGCATAAGCTTGGGGATGGTGGTGAGCAATATCATATCGCGCTGAGACAGCTAAAAAATTAAATTTTGCCAGAACTTTTTTGATTTCCTAATTATTAAAATATCAAATAAGGGATGCTTTTGATCAAAGCGCAATGGCGCAGTACATATCGAAAACCTTTGTTGACCAAAAGGTACATTTTTAAAATTCATTAGTCCATTTGGGCTACATGATTACGCACGGCCTGTCGCGAGTCTGCACGGCAAGCACGACCCGTGTTTCGTCGTGGGATATCTCGTGCTGGATGTCACGCTGCTTCTCCTTGACTTCTTGTGGAAAATATAGCTTGAGGAAGTTGAGAAGGGCCTTGTCGATGTTTGTCACGCCCGCCTTGTAGATGGCATCTTTCGCGCGACACACAGGGCAGTCAAAGATGCAGCGCCGGGACGCCTTGACCACACACCGTGAACAGAACACATGCCCACAGTGCAGACGTAGCGGGCGCCAGGCAATGTTGAGACACATTGGGCACAAATAGTCGTCGATCTGCGGCACAATGCCAACGAGCTCAGTGTGAAACGTGAACAAAAGAGCCTTTGTCAGCGTAGTTGTGTCGATGGTCACCATCCGCGGGAACTGGGCCTTGGATATCAGATTGGTGCGCTTGTCATGTTTTTTCAGAATCTTGCGCATGGCCAGGTCGTTCATCTCTTGCAGCATCTTCAGGTATGTCAGCTCTGAGTTGAGCTCGTAAAAGTTTATCAAAAGCTTTGCCGAGAGCGGATCGCGAAACTTGTTAGCCAGCCCGAGGCTGTCTATGTGGCTTGTAAACTTGCCGAATCGGCCTTGGCCCTCCTTTGCCGTGTTTGTCGGCCTAAAGTCACCCTCCGTGTGATCCCACACGTCTGCCTCCATGTACAACCGGAAGATCTCACGCCAGATCTGGAAATCATGCTTGAATGGCGAGGTGACTGCAGTCAGCTCATTTCCCAACGTGCTGACATTGTAGTTGTACTGCTTGGTATACTCTCGCTCGAACTCGTGTGTGCGCTCGATGTACTGAATTAACTGCGCAAAAAACATTTGGTCTGTCTGCAGCCGCAATGTGACCTTTGTCTCCTCGATGTCTTCGATGATTGTCGTTTCAATGTGTATATTGCTGTTGGGCACTTTAGAGCTCTCAGAAGCAGCCGCCAGTGTGTGTGAGTGCGTAGTCCAAATTGCGCTTGGCGTCAACAATTTTGATTTCGACATCGATTCACTGCTATGGCCAACGTAAATCTTTCCGTTGTCAATGATGTCTCCAGCCGTATCGGCGTCATTTGTGTGTGATGGTGGCAGAATAATTGATGTGCGCTGTGGCAGTCCAGCCACGTCTGGAAGCTCCACAATCTGGCTGCACTGCATGGCATCGACGGGTTTGCAGATTTTGACAATTATAACTGGGTGCACAACGCCATTGCTATCCTCTAATGGAAATAATAAAAAATGCAATGATGGACGAGTGGATAAGGTGAAAATGAGCACGTGCGCAATGTCAAAGCTTTTGATTTGATTTGGGAAAATTCGCCATCGAATACAAGATGGCTTGATTCTCACACTTACTCTCAATGTTGTACACGATTTCTTCGGGCACTCCCACACATCTGACCGGTATCGCTTCTAACACAGCGTCGCTACTGATGCTGCCATCTGCCGAAAAAGTCGCCTTGCTGTTATCGGCGGTGCCGTTATCTATGGTACTGCTATCGTTGGCCGATGGCTCGCCAGAGACTGTTAGAGGCGACAGGTTCAGTGTCCTAAACGTATTGTCGAGCTCGTAAACAATTTGCTTGATGCTTTTCTTCAGCTGCTTGTACTGGATGATATACGGCTGCCAGTCCTTGGGCAGCTCCTTTGCGTTGGTCTCGATTGTTTTACCAAATTTCATAGTTAATGTGCAATAAAAAAGTGTAAAAATGGCTACAAGAAATTGTTGTCGAGGGAAAGAAAGACAAAATGGCAATGTGCGCGAGCGCAAAACTACGCAGTGTCGAATGCAAAAGGGCAATGTGATTTGCTGCAGCAGATATTACCAAAACCGTAGCATGAGCTGGACTCTCATTCTTTTTTTTGGCTTTAAATTGCACTTTGTCGGTGTGATCCTCGCAAACGTCTACTTCGGGTGTGCGTGCGTGCTAGTTGTGATTATAAAACGAACTTGACGAATATTGCTTCAAATGCAGATGGGATGCGCATCATGCCGCCTGCTGACCAGCCGATTACAACACTTAGAGTTTGACTGCAGTATCCGCAAATGATGCACCCCCAGGGTGGCTATTATACTTTCACGGGCCAGGAAATCCCAGTTGTATGGATTAGCCATTCTCATTTCACACAGTTACAGCAAGCGCGCTTAAAAGCAGGACAGCCGCACTACAATCAATCCATGGATAAACGGATAATTGAATCCGACGCGCACAAAATAAAGAAATTTGTTTTGAAAAAGTATATTTCTTTCGTTGTAAAACTAGAAAAAAATAAACCTTGAAAAAGCGGTGCATCCAAAGAGTATAGCAGGCTTAGTCGAACAGACCAAAGCCCATATCATCATCGGACTCCTCCTCCTCCTCAACAGGCTTGGCAGCCTCGGCGGCAGCAGCACCACCGGTAGCGGCGGCGGCACCAGCAGCAGGGGCAGCACCACCCGAGGGGACGGAGGCAAGCTTGGACTGGCCCTCAGCGATCAGCTCGCTGATGGTCTTGCCCTCAAGAGCGGCAATGAGCTGGCTGAGACGCTCAGCATCAACATCAACACCGGCCGAGGAGATGATCTTGGTAATGGCATCAGTGGTGGGGACAGCCTCGGGGTTGGCGAGCTGGGCAAGCAGGTAGGCAGCAATGTAACGCATTTTCTATAGTTATAAATCGAGGGCGGATAAGTAAGTGTTTAGTAAGTTTATGGCAGCTAATTGTGTTGCAATGGTTTGCTTATTTGGTAAAAGCAGTGACTAAAGGGTGCGCAATATGCTGCAAGAAAATAAATGTGAAGTTTCTCTGCTGATAACAGCAACGAGGTCTTCAGATAGTTGCAATCGCCATTGATCAAGTATGGTGGATGTGCGGATTTGCTGATGCAGCCAAATGAGATTGGTTTCAACTCCAAAGAAAGGAAGTTGTCCAACAAATGGCTAGTCTAAACTGGGTAATAGAAATAAAAGCTTGAATAACAAAAATAAGACAAACCGCAAGAGAATCCAAAAAACTGAATTATGCCATTTGCCCTGAATTCGAATTCAAAACTAAAAATTTCACACTGCCACCACTTAGTTATAAATGACACCCCCTCTCACAGAGAGAGCCGCTGACTTTGCAATTTCCCAGCCACCAAGCCAAAGTCGTATCCAAATCTCATCGATGCATCCATCCGCCATCTGTCATCTCGCGCATCCATCACCCTCTACTCTGCGTGCATCCATCGCTGTGTTTGCTCCGAGTGTCCTTCAGAACGTAATGATAACGTACCAGAAATTGACTATTATAAAAGTTTTATGTCTTAACGCACGATTTAACTCGAGGGCGAGAGCAATTAAGCACTATTTATATGGAGAGGGAGAGAAGGATGCTGCCCAGAGACGCCCCGCCCACGCCGGAGCAATATTGGCTCTCAAAGCCCTATCAAATTTACGCATTTCCACATAAACAAGCTGGTATTTTTTTGCTCCAGTAATCATGCTGATCACAATCGCGTATTTGGGGATCAGAGAAAAAAGGAAACTTGGCGCAAAATGCGTGTTGTCTTCAACGCTTATCGAGACTCTTCACTTTTCAAACTGAAAAATCAACATCTACTTTTGTATGCATTTTCGTTGCTTCCACAATTTACATATATTTTTATTCCTAAAGTCGCGCATTTTACTTGCAGCCAGCACCCTCTTATATCTCTGTAATTCCAAGCAATGGTCGTTTGTTCGAGAGTTCTTCTGAGCGGCTCCTTGCGCGGCTCCTCCCGCAACAGTGGCCTGTACAACAGCAAGGCAAACCACACAGCGTCGTTGACACTGGGCACCAAGCGATTCATTTCATTCAAATCGTTGTTTGCGCCTTCACCGCCAAATGGTGCTACCGAGGGAGGGCATCTTCAGGGAAGCAAGTCGCGGCTGCTGGTTAAGCCCAACGACCTTTTCCACCCGCTATCAAAGTCGCCGATCAAAGAGATGCGTGAGAAGGGCATTCTCATTCAGAACCACGGATGCTGCCCCAGCTGCGTGACTGAGACAACGCCCAGGGACATGCGGCAACACGCGAGCCACTGTTCGAGTGCCCGGACTGCGGATACCCGACGCACTGCGACGAGAAGCACTGGGTGGCCGACAAAATGCACCAAGAGGAGCTTTGCAACTATCTGCGCGAGGCCAACGAGGATGAACACGATCTGCGGTCAGGACGCACGCTGCGGGAGTTTGAGTTCCCGTCGGCGCAGCTCCCCGAAGTTGTGGTAAATCTCAGTAGCTGGGACACGTTCTTGTACACGCGGTCCTTCACAAACGTCGAGTCGGACCGGTCAATGCGGCATGTGAGCAAAGTACTGACATATCCTATTACTATCGGTGCGACGCTGCACCAGTACAGTCCGTTTACGCTGGGCAGCGGTCTGACGCCCGAGGGGCTCAAGTCCATGACGGCCCTGCGCACGACGATCAAGGAGCACGAGCTGGCACGCAGCGAGAAGGAGCTCGAGATGCAGCAGATGCCGCTTCGCATTTTTGTGCTGGGCGCCAGGGCCGAGGCCATGCTGCCGCCACACCTGTACCTGCAGTTGTCGTATCTGCTGCCCCACAGCCCATCCACATCTACTTTGTTGGCCCCGAGTGCATCCCGACGCCCGACGAGACGCGGTCGACGATTGTTGTGTCTTCACGGCTGGCACTCAAGTACCACAAGGGGTACTTCCACGACGCAATCTGGAACTTTGCACCGTTTGATCCGTTTACGGACATATTCTTCGTGTTCAGCCCCGGGCTGGCACATCCCAAGGGGCGCGCCGGATGGCAGCCGACCATCGAGAAACTGCTGGAAACCAAGTGCGCGGTGTTTGCTACCGGGTTCCACGAGCAGGACATGGCCAGCGATGTGGCCGGGCTCGAGGAGGACTTTGGCAAGCAGGTGGACTGGCTGCTCAAGCCGCAGCCCAACCCGTTTGCCAGCCTGAAGCGCGACTTTGGCATCAGGAATCTGCAGGAGTGGGCAATTGCCAACTGGGGCATCTACGGGTTCCGCGGCAAGAGATACGAGGTGCAGAACAGCAAGTGAGCTTAGGGCACTGGCTGTGACAGTGCGCGACTAGCAGTAGACGCCCTTTATTTTAATTTTTTTTGGTTTGTTGCACAGAATAATTGCTTTTAAACTTTTTGAGGATCGTGATACTGCAATGTTCCTACGATACCAAAAAACGAAAGAGGACCGTTTTGGGGATTTCTGGACGCAGTCTGAGCTTTTTTTTTACCTTTTTTCTTTTTGACTGGCTCTATGTGTATCAGACTGCTCCTCAATTCCTGTTTTGTTTCTGCCTCTGCATCTTGGCGGTCGGATTTATTCCTCAGCGAGATTTGTTGGGAAAAATGTAAAATACAAAAAAGGCTTTTATTGTGCTACTCATCAAGTCAAGCTTGGCAGACCTTTTTCTTCTGACTTTTCATCATTATTTTTAGTAGACAACGCCTATTAAAACTATCACAGAAATGACACTAACCAAAAGTAAGTATTTTCGTATGTTTTTGTGTAAATAAAAATCACTGAACGAGCGCGAGATAATCAAAAGCGTGCTGAGGTTTTTTCTCCCTCTTTTTTCGTATTTTGCAAAGGGGAGGGCAATGAATGGGTGTGGTCTGTGCAAGATCCATATATTTTTTTGGCGCGCGTACGCATTCCACAAGCAAACCTTTAATATGCGTATATTTACTGCGTTTGATTTGTTGATTTTTTAAACCCTGAAATGTATGTTTGCTTGGTAAACCAGGGGGTGCGTTTCGCTAAAATTTTGTACAGCATTCTCCCAGGTCCCGGTTATCCGACATTCTATCCGCTATTCTCACTACTCTCGTTTTCCTCTTTTCCTTTTTTCTTCTTCTCACTTTTTGCTTTTGTAGCTACGCGAAACCAAATATTTTTTATCGTTTTTCTTTTTCAATTACCATTTTAACTATTGAATCTAACAAAAAATTTACACTTGTATCTTATCACAATGGTCATCGCTTCTACACACACTTCCGACAGAATAGGAGCACGCAAGGCAGCCGGTGACTTGTCCAACGCAGAGAAGAGGCGCAAGGTGCAGACAGGGGTTGATGAGCCCAAAGTGAAGGCAGTCGCAAAGAAGGCGCCTGTCGCTAAGAGGGGCGTGGCGGCGGCGAGAGGCAAAGCGCGGGCAAAGACCAGCGTCAAGGCCAGGACTACAAAAAAGATGACACCCTCGGCAGAGCCAGAGGCAACACAAGAGGCAGCTGCGCCACAGAAGCCAATGGCACCCGTAGCTAAGCCATTCATCAAGTCGCGCACAGAGCCAGTCCATGCGCTGGCTACGCGGGCGACAGTGCCGGGAACCGTGCACGTGTTTGGAATGGTGATTGCGGGCAGTTGGGATTGGGAGAGGACATGACTGAGCGTAAAAGCCGTTCCCGATGGACAGCCTCGACCAGCAGATAGTCGATGTGGTCTCTGGCGGTTTGCACACGATGGCGCTAACGTTGGACGGCAAGCTGTGGTCGTGGGGGTGCAATGACCAGCGGGCGTTGGGCCGCAACGGCGAGGAGAACGTGCCTGGGCTCGTCGAGGGCCTCGACGGCATTGCCATCACACGTGTGGCATGCAGTGATTCAGCTACGTTTGCGCTGTCGAGGACGGCCACGTTTACTCGTGGGGCACGTTCCGCAGTGCCGAGGGCATCATGGGATTCAGCGAGGAGACCGAGATCCAGGCCACACCGGCGGTTATCAACAACTTCCGCGAACCCATCGTCAACTTGTGCGCCGGCGTCGACCACGCGCTTGCGCTATCGGTTAGCGGCAAGGTATACGCCTGGGGCTACGGCCAGCAGGGTCAGCTGGGCCGCCTGATCATGGAGCGCCGCCGCATGCACGGCCTGACGCCCGAACGCATCCGCCTGCAGGATGTCCACCAAATTGGCTGTGGCTCGTACCACAGCTTTGCCATCACCAAGGACGGCTCCGTCTACGCCTGGGGCCTGAACAACTTCCACCAGCTGGGCCTGGCACCGACGACGGCGGCAACGCCGAGATTGTGCATGAGCCGACGCAAGTTGCCGCTCTGAAGGGTGCCAACATTATCAAGATTGTCGGCGGTGAGCACCACACCATTGCGCTGACCGCTGAGGGTAAGCTGTTCTCCTTTGGTCGCTCCGATTCGCACCAAACCGGACTTCCCTTTGCCACGCTGGTCCAGGACACCGAGAGCATGCAGATCAACGCCAACTCGCAGGCCACCGAGGATGCGTCGGCGCACAAAAAGGCGATCAACTTGCCGACGCAGATCGAGTCCATCCCTTCTATTGTCGACTTTACCTGCGGCTCTAACCACAACATTGCAGTGAGCCAGGACGGCAAAGCGTACACGTGGGGCTTTGGCGAGATGCTACAGCTGGGCAATGGCGAGGAGGAGGACATCGCCGAGCCCACGCTTTTGAGGGGCCAGAAGATCGACGGCAAGGTCGTCTCCAAGGTTGCTGCCGGTGGCCAGCACTCGGTTGTGCTTGCCGCTTAGAGCCTGCTGATTTTTACGTGACAAGGATTAGTCGACCTCAACTTTTCCTTTTCTTTTAAGGGCGGGCCGAAACAAGGCCACAAGGCCACATGTCTTTGTCTTTTTTCAACGTATTCCATTCCATTTTCATTATTCATTATTCAAGACTGTAAACAGAAAATTTTAAAAATCGTTCATGTTTAAACAAGCACAAGCATGTTTCAAGGTCTGCAGAATGGCACACAGCGCCATTAATGACAATTTGTTAAAGGCACGATCGGCCATTGACTTTTTTAAAAAAAAAAAAAGCGAGCTTGTCATTTTTTTATCTCCGCGATTACGTTTGTTTTTTATCACCGCATGTGACGCCGCGCTGGCCTATGAATCAAACATACTGTGGCCTGTGGATGTGTCCTTCAAGTCCCTTTCAAAAATAATTTTGCTTGGAATTATAATTATAATTTCACATTTTGTACCATTTTTCATTTTTCATTTTTACTCTTAAAACATGAACAGCTTCTTTGGCAGCAGCCCAATTGGCCCGCCAAAGTCGTCGTCGCCAGCTTCAACCAAAGGAGCATCCAGCACAACCATAAACGGGGCCTCCGGCACAACAACAAACAGCAGCAACAATAGCGGAGGTGGCTGGGGCAGCATGTTTAAAAGTGCATTGAATCAGGTCGAAACTCATCTAGACCGTTACCTCGAATTACCCAATGAGGGCGGACCACTGAATGTACGAGGCGCGGTAGCTGGTCGTCAGCCAGCTCGCTCAACCACCCCGCGTCCGCGTCAGCCTACCACTGATACCACTACAGCGAGCGCAAACCCGCTAGACATAATCAGCAGTTCGGCCAAGCAGACAGGCAACGGTTCGCGCTCACACTCGCAGTCGCGTGTCAACATACCTCGCGACATTAGCGGCACCAGCGGGAATAGCATCGCGACACCAGGGTTTGGGAGCTACACGAGCGTATCTGACCTGGGTAGCAGGCAGAAGAACACAGTGGTCGTGGACATCAAGGATAACTCTGCCGACGCCGAAGGGCTGGACGCCAATTTGCTCGATATCTTTGGTGTTAAGCTCAGTCAGGGGCAGAATACCAAAGTACCGGTGCGAGTGCGGTGGGCTCGCCGCACCAGCAGCGAGCAGGCTTAGCAGGCAGCACTCCTTGGCCAGGGGCAGCATGGAGCTACAGCAGCGAATCGAGACGCATAATGAGTTTGAATCAGCCACTACCCCCACCACCACCACAAGCATGACGCCAGAACCAGCACCAGCGGCCAAGGTGGACAACCCGTATATACAGGCGGAGCTCAGAAAGCTGCGCGCGGCGAAATTCCGACAGGGCCCGAGGACATGCGCGCATGATCGAGGATTACGCTAAGCGAATTGAAGCACTGATGCTTGAGGGCCAGGAGTGGTCGTCCAAGGAGCTGCGGTTGTCGAATACGGTCAAGAAGCTCCGGGTCGACAGCAAGGGCTACGAAAAGACTGCGCACCTGGTTCAGCGCAAGCTCGATGTGTCTGTGGCCAAGAACGATGAGCTGAATGAAAAGCTGAGGCAAGCGACCCAGTCCGACCGCGCAATCGCAGCCAGGGTACGCAGCGAAATGGACAAGCCCACCACAGAAGGAGAAGGAGCTTGTCGCTCAGATTTCTCAACTCAAAATGGCATCGGAAAGTACGCAGGAGCGGCTACAAGCACAGGTCAGGGAGCTGCAGCAGCAGATGATGGTGTTGAGGAGGAGGCCCGCGACCGCGAAGTCTCTTCTCTGACAAAAATTCGATCACTCCAGGCGCGGGTGTGCAGCGCCGATATACAGAATAGCGATGTGGCGGCAGTAATCCAGGAGCACACGAGGCCGCTGCTGATGCAAATAGAGGAGGTGCTGATGCGCCAGACCGAGCAGCGGCGCGAGTGGTCGCGCAAGGAGGAGCAACTGGCGATAGAAGCGCGAGACGCAACAAAGGAGGCCTTGAACCTCGAGCAGCAGCTCCTGACCGCACCTCTGCACTTGAAGCCATCCGCGGCCAAGCAGCGGTAGAGACCAAGCGGCGCGAGGACATACAGACCGAGGCGTCTCGGCTCAAAGAGCAGCTACGCGCAGAGACCAGAGCCCGCGCTGACTTGAAGCAGCAGCTGGAGGAGGCACAGGAGAACATCCGCCGCTTGAACACAAAGCTGGAGACCACAAGTAGCCTGCGTGCGATGGCTGCTGCGAGAATATGGCACGCAGCACGTCGCCCTTACGCTCTGCGACGGTGTCTTCGCCTGAGCGGGGATTGCCAGCTGGCTTTTTGAATCTGACACGCGTGCCAGTCTCACCCATGCATTCTGGCAGTCCCGTAGAGCGAAATGTTCCTGGCCATGGGCGCGCGCTGTCCGTCAGCTCTGTATCGTCCGCCGATAGCCGGCCGCGTCGGGGCAGCGGCGCTGAGTCCTTGGCATCATCATTTAACGCGGTGCAGTCAGTGAGCGATCAAATGACCGTACACACATTGGCAAAGAAGCTGGGGGCGCAGATAACATCGCTGAAGGCGCAGTTGCAGACGGCGCAGCGCCAGAAGAACGAGTATTCCCGCAGTCTGGTGGAGATGACGGCCGAGCTGGAGACGCTGCGCAAGCAGAGCACCGACCAGGACCAGCTGGCGCACGAACTGGATGAGCTCAAGCACAGGCATGAGACGGCGCTGGAAATGCTTGGTGAGAAGACCGAGGAGGTGATGGAGTTGCGCGCCGATATTAAGGATATAAAGGATGCGTTCAGGCAGCAGCTCGAGGCTCTTTTGGGCGAAAAGAATTAGTAAATACAATTTCAATATGTTCTGTTTGTGTTTGTTTGCATGCTGTTGTTTGGCCGGCTGACTGGCAGACCAGTTGCGCTTTACTTTTTTGGTGTGGTGATAGTTGTTGGCCTGTGCTTTTTTCATGCTGTGCACCCCATCGTTTCATGCTTGCATGAATTTCGTTGGAAACGAATTACAGTGGTGTCGCTTTCCCATTCGCTGTAGAATATCCGAGCCACGCAAATTACACACACATGGGTTGTTTGGCACATCACTCGCCCAAATTGGCTGTGCGAAACCATTCTCCCCTTTATTTTCCTATTTTGTTTCAGCCAATGGAAAATCTACACTGTTTTTTCCCACCAAGTCATGAGCACAAGGAAAAAATAATGTAACTGCAATCCACCGCTCTTGCCTCCTTTGTTTCCCGAGTTGAGCCTAGCTCAAACAGAGCGCCGAAACGCAGCAAGGGAAATGAGGGTCGCTGGCTAGGATCAACAGAAGCAAGCAAAAAGACGACAAACAAAAACCTGGTTTTTTTTGCCTTAGTCTCTGTGCTCCCTTGGTGAAGTATCTTGAGCGAACAGTCAGCTCCTTTTGCTTGCTGGCCGAAAGTCTGAGCTCACCATTTATTTGGGGGACATTCAAAGCAGAGTTATTGCTGTAGACCTTTGATGATGTTTGTCAGTGTAATACATGATGGCCCTCTTACTTTCTGCGAGGGAGTGCTGTGCTGCATCCCGGATGCCATGCTGCTCGAGAAAGTAAGAACCTTCTGCTCTTACAACTGTTTTTATTTGCGTTTGGTTGTCGCTGCATTGTCTGCATATATATGATATATATTCCAGCCATATTCCGTCCTTTCCTTTCTCCACTCTTCCCCGTGCGTCGCCTTTCCTCTTCTCTCTCTTTCTTCTGCATTACTGTTTTATTTGTTATTTCTCCTTCTCTTTTTGCTTTTTTGTTTGGAGCTCTTTTATTTCACAACTCAACTAAAAAATATGTCTGGAACCGCCGAAACCACAATGCCCGTTCACGCTATTGTTGCCCGTGCTCAGCCGGAGATCGAAAAAAAGGCACAGTCATGGAGCAACATTGCCCTGGGTGCAGCCATCCAACATTCGAGGTGTCAACTCTAGGCCAGCCCTTCGAGGTCGTCAAGACACACATGGCAGGTAAATATTATATTGCTAGTTTTGTTTGCGCCGCCTAAACTGTGTTGGCTTTTGATGCATACAGAAGCTTTGTGTACTTAAAAAGCATACAACTATATCTCTGTTTCTCTCTTTGCTATTTTATTCTCACTTGTAGCCAACCGCGCTGACAGCATCGCCACAACGTTGAAAAAGACATACGCTCGCGGCGGCATTTCTGGCTTCTACCAGGGTCTGATTCCGGTATGTACCGCCTACTATTTTATGATTTCCAATATTGTCGTTTTTCGTCTTCATCTGCTGGCCGGGTCTACGTTATGCCGAGAGAGGAAATGATTGACAATGCGCCATCGTCGCATCTTTCCTCTCCCGACCTGCAACCCCAGGCATTCTGTTGCTATTAGGAACAACACGGACAGCGCTTGTGCCACGAGGCTCGCCCCTTTTTTGCATCCGGGCTTTCATTTGGCCAATCGGCGCATTCGCCATGGCATGGTCCGCAGTGTGTACTTTTTCGCGGGGTTTCATATGCAAATGACTCCGCTAATATCTTTTTTGTGCATTGTACTGTACTATAGTGGGCGTGGATTGAGGCGTCGACAAAGGGTGGTGTGCTGATGTTCACCTCGTCTGAGATTGACTACAGAGCGCGCGTCGCCGGCTTCTCATCCAGCTGGGCGGACTTTTCGGTGGTGTCGGCGGCGGCGTTGCCCAGGCCTACACAACAATGGGCTTCTGCACCTTTATGAAGACCGTCGAGGTTACTCGGCACAAGTCGGCGGCGCCAACGTCAGCACCTGGAAAATCGCGTACGACGTGTTCCAGCGCGAAGGCATCCGCGGCCTCAATCGCGGTGTTTCAGCCGTTGCCCTGCGCCAGATGACCAACTGGGGTTCGCGCTTCGGTATCGCGCGTGTCACCGAGTCTGTCTTCCGCGGCAAGGATACCAACCGCAAGCTCACCAACACCGAGCGCCTGGCGTCGTCGGCTATCGGCGGCGCCCTGGCCTGCTGGAATCACCCCTCGAGGTCATTCGCGTCGAAATGCAGTCGCAGACCAAGCTGCTAACCGTCCCGAGAATCTCAACCTGTTCAGCACTGCCCGCTATATTTACCAGAACAATGGTCTGATGGGTTCTACCGCGGTGTTACTCCCAGAATCGGTCTCAGCGTCTACCTGACCGTCTGCATGGTCTTTGGCGGTGATAGCGTCAAGGCGTACTTTAACGAATCTCAAAAGAAGAAGGCTGCATCTGTCCACGCCTAAAAATAACGCGAGGTCGGCTAATTGCATTGGCTTTCGTTCATATTCACCTTTGTTTCTCTAATTTTTATTTTCTACTCACTATGTTACTCGACACCGCCTGAATATCAGGGGTATTGTGAGACAAATTCCAACATCAAAAGTCTGGTTATATCTTGATTTGATCGGATAATCCAAAAATATTTTCTTTTTGTTTTCACGGCTCAGCCACATTGCATGTCGGCAAAATAAAGCGCGCGGGTAAAAGGCATGTTTTGAATCTCTCTTTCCACATTCACGCAAATCTCACCTTTGGGTTTTTTTAGTACTTTAAATTCACCTAAACAACTAATTCTCTAAAATGGGTCGCATGTACACTTCCGGCAAGGGTATCAGCAAGTCTGCTGCCCCCTACCGCCGCACCCCGGCATCGTGGGTCAAGGCCACCCCCGAGGACGTCTGCGAGCAGATCTGCAAGCTGGCGCGCAAGGGTACCACCCCCTCCCAGATCGGTGTCATTCTGCGTGACTCCCAGGGTGTCCCCCTGTCAACGCCATCACCGGTACCAAGGTTGTCCGCATTCTGCGCGCCAACGGCCTTGCTCCCGAGATCCCCGAGGACCTGTACTTCCTTATCAAGAAGGCCGTCTCCGTCCGCAAGCACCTCGAGCGCAACCGCAAGGATTTTGACGCCAAGTACCGCGTGATTCTCATTGAGGCCCGTATCAGCCGTCTTGCCCGCTACTACATTGCCTGCGGTCAGCTCCCTCCTAACTGGAAGTAGTAAGTATCCATTTTGATGTTTTGTCAGTTTTGTTTGATCTGTATGCGTGTTTTTTATGTGGACATTGCCTTGGGTTTAGCAAACGGGGATAGCGGGAGTTATATAATAAACCTACAAGTTTTATTATGGACCCCCGCTGTCTCCTCTCCATGTCAAACAAGCACAGTGGATATTTTTCTATTGCGCTTGGGGAGCGTGATGCCTTTTCCTCCACTTTTTTACTGTCACTATACAGCGAAAAAGGGACAGAAGGCTCGCGTGCGTTGCTTTGCTTTGCGATAGTCGTCAAATGGCTGTATTACTAACTACTTTATCATTTTGCATGTCAACTGTTTTTTTTGCTTGTCTCTTTTTTTTGCATTTGTGTAGCGTTGCCAGCACCGCCTCCACCATCGTCTCCTAAGCAGCTCACTCGTGCTGTCTTATTGGAAACGGCGAATCATTGGCACACTCTGCTCTTCTATTTTGTGTATTTCTGTCCCAAGCTGTCCAAGAAAAAGATTTATACAATTGTTTGTGTGTTTTGTGGTTGTGTTCATCAAATAAAATCATCCATTTAAAAAGAAAATTATTTTAATTAGTTTGTCATTTGCACATTTATAAAACAATGCTTTCATTAAATGTTATTTTTTTCACAGGCATTTGTTTATTTAAAAGTTGCAAAGGCGCTGAAAAACATTATAATAGTATTTGCATGATGGAAACTATATGGCACATGTATTTCGTTCATACAGGCCGTATATTTTATAAGTTGTGCTGAAGTTGTACCCCTGACATATGCAACACGATACTGTTGTGATTTGAGGGGAGCACTAGCCACCTAGTGTTAGGAGTATGTGTTATGCTAAATATATATATATATATTTAAACAAAATGAACTAACAGAAAGCTAAGGGATGAACAGCCTCCACTGTTATATTCATTAGTATTTATGTGTGGGTATGAATTCCCGCATATCCAAGTATGTAATTAACTAACGATTGATTCATTAATCAATCGCTGGAGACAAGCCGCATTTCTTGTATCACACCACACATCAGAAAATGCTCTATTTACTATTTAAGCATGTGTCATTTATCTTGTTCTTTGTTGTTATTTACTGATTCTTTCTCAAAAAGTAAAATGGCCGAATATCGTCTGTCATTAATGTTGGGCACAGATTTCCTTTATAGGCAATGCCCATCAATTGCCCTTTTTTGTGAGTACAAAGACTCATATCATAAAAGGCAAAACAAAAACAATATTATGTTCTTTCTTTCTCTTTTCTAGCTTTTACAGAATACAAATGTAGATACTTATGAAATACACTTGCTAACAACTAGCATGCAATGTACTTACTTTCTGTTGGGCTAGTACTCAAGAGAGCCATTGAATAAAGTAAAAATAGTATCATTTGTTTTCTCTATTTATTTTCAGCACCCTGATTTCTGTATTGTGTTACTTACTGATAGTCTCTCAAAAAATAAATAGCGAATGTTGTCTGCCATTAACAAGTGTGTATGCATTGGTACTCTACACCACGGCATGTTTTGTTTTTAAAGCAACGCAATAATTCCGTGAGCTTGTAAATAAGTATAAATAGGACTGTCTATCTTTTCAACATAAATATATTTTTATCTCAACTCATATATGCTATTATAACTACCCAAGTAAAGCATTGCAGGTAAATATAAATTCCTGCATCATCAATTATGTGCCAAAGTCTTACTCAAGTTCACGCAGAAAGCACTCATGCAAATAATGAGTGTGCTTTCTCTCAAGCAGAAAACACCTATGGTGCAAACTATGTTTATTGGTGTCCTAAACATAAACAATACCATGATTCAGTATATGTAAAACAAGGTAAGTGTTGAGAACCTTTAGGGGGGTACAACCCAGGCAGGGACCCGGGCTGAGATCCGTATGCACGCACAGATGCAGGACGTCACCCGACATCCTGATTCAATCACATTGATTATGAAGGCACATGGTGCTCATGATTGAATCTGTTTTTGCCAGAGAATGATATCAACAGAAATTGATATAATTGCAGATACATTAAAATAGCATTTGTTTTGCTATCAACACCTTTTTAGATGTTTGTATAAATTTGTCTGGCATAGGAAATGCCGTGTACATTATCAGTTTAGTTCCGATAGATACTAAGGTGTTCCCACCATGAACATGAGAACACCTAAGTTTTCTAATAAATTTAAATCCCCATTTTAGCAATATTCTTTGTGACTGGTCAGTTCTATTATTGGTCTGCCCTTTTGGCCACACAAAGCTGTAATGAAATTAGGTAACAGTATATTAAATATATTTGAGGAGAATTACGAAAAGAGCTGAGGAGCTCATTCTTGTTAAATCGTTGTGCGCATAAAATATCATAGATATATTTTATGTGCCTCTGTTGTCCCGTGACCCAGCCCAATTTTGGCATTATAGTATCTGTTGTAGATAAAATTGATAATTTAAAGTCTTCATGTGCCACAATCCAAAGAAGCCATAAATGCTCTTGATCATGATACTGACACTCGATTCAAAGTGCACAGTTGATTTTGAAGATTAATGGAGCAGCATACTGCTAGAATAAATTTGTAGTGCATGTATATAATGCAGAATAATGTGAACACCGTGAAAATCAAGTACGTTGATCGCAAGGCTCAAATGGATTAACATTATCATATTTTGTTAAAATGATTTACTTCAAATCAAAACCACTATAGCATAGTTTCTTCTTTCATGGTTTGGTTGACAAATACACATCTACAAATATACGACTGTTTTTAATGCTTATGTTTTGTTTGCTGCAATATCAGAATTTGTAGCATCAAAATAATATAAAAAGCGTGAGTAATGGTTGGAACCACAACCAAAATTTAAGTGAACAACTTACCACAACTTTATTTAGCTTCCTCATTCCATTTCTGTAAATCTTTGGATGCATTTCTATCGACTGATACAGCTTGCTAAATATGTGATTTGATTTAATTCAAAATTAGTCGATCAGCAACACTTGTCATTTATATTGTGCAGGCTTCCTCGTCCCTTCCTTTCAGCTTGCTTGTCTTTTGGTTGTGGAGTGCGTCATCAGGTTGAACGTTTTTCCTCTCTTTTTTCACTTCAAAACTTGAACCCAACTTAAAATTGCATTTCAGCTGTGGCACTACACAAACCACCTTTCATCGATATGATTCCCGCCCGCCAGATATTGACACCAGAGGATCTGGACCAGTTCCTCGAGTCGCCGGCTTGCAACGAAATTGTGGGGTTTTTGAATGCCCTGAATGAATCGGTAATTGGCGTGAAGACGACTGACACGATTGAAGAAAGCGCAATCATTCAGCAACTAATGCAGCTTTTGGAAAGTATAAAGCAGACCAACACCGACGTAAAACCCTTTGAGACGAACAGCCGCTTTGGAAACCCGGCCTTCCGCAACTTTTACGACAAGTGCGAGGAGATGCTGCCCGTCTGGCTGGCCAAGTTTGTTCCCGCCGAGCATGTTGAAGAAGTGTCCAAGTACGCGCAAGACAGCTTTGGAAATCGCCGTCGCATTGACTACGGCACTGGCCACGAGCTTAACTTTCTGATATTTTGCTCTGTCTTCACAAGCTGGCGCTGGTAACGGCCGATGACTTCAAGGCGCTAGTGATCCATGTCTTTTTCAAGTATGTTGAGGTCATGCGCAGCCTTCAAATGAGCTACTGGCTCGAGCCTGCGGGCTCGCATGGTGTCTGGGGACTTGACGACTACCAGTTCTTGCCCTTCCTGTTTGGAGCCGGTCAGCTACGTACGCACAAGCACTTGCGGCCAAAATCGATCCAAACCCCGAGGTTCTCGACGAGTTTCCAAGGACTACATATACTTTGAGTGCGTGCGCTTTGTCAACAGCATCAAGACCGGGTCCATCAGGTGGCACTCGCCTATGCTTGACGATATCAGCAGTGCAAAGTCCTGGGAAAAAGTCAATCTCGGCATGGTAAAGATGTTCCGCGCTGAGGTCATTGGAAAGTTGCCCATCATGCAGCACTTTATGTTCGGGTCTCTGGTGTCGTTCAGCGGCGGCAACATTTCGGGCGTCGCTGCACACGGGGCCGAGGACTGCGATCATGGCTGTGGCGGACACACGCCGGTCTACGCATTTGGCCAGGAGTTCCCCGACTGCTGCGGTATCAAGGTGCCCTCGGCCATTGCTGCCTCGCAGGCGGGCAATGAGTGTCTACAGAGCCTCGCAACGCGTTTACGCGTCCGATCCCCTTTGACTAAATGGGCCGTCTTTTCACTCTCAAAATTATACTCGTCTATTTAGGCTTTTTTGGGCAAAGAAAAAACACTAAACCATTTCCTCCTTACAAAATAAAAAACTAGAAGCTAAAAGGCAGCCATACCAACTAGCAGCACGCATAGCGCTTGGTCCACTCCTTGGCTGTGGCGTCGTGCTCGGCGCGCTTGTTCAACAGCTGCTGCGCAATGCTGTGCACTAGCGGATCGTGCGGGTTGGGGTCTGTGAGCAGCGAGCAGATGGAAAGCAGCACCTTGGAGATGGTCAGCGCCGGAGACCAGTTGTCCTTGAGAATGTCAAGGCATATCTGGCCTGACTGTTGATGTTGCAATGGTAAATGCGCGTCCGGAAGATAATCTTTGGCGGCTTGAACGGGTACTCCTGTGGGAAGTGGATATCTAGGAAAAACACGCCGCCGCTGTATGGGGAGTCGCCAGGGCCAACGATAGTAGAGACCCACTCATACAAGTTGTCGCCCTTGGGGCCAGCGCTGCAGTTGCTTGGGGGATCGAGACTGATTTCAGCAAGCTCCTTTTGGATTCTACAAAAAGCAAAGCACAAATGCTAGAGTTAGTAAAATCCACATTCCAAAAATCAAAAGATATGCACATGTTATTCGCTAGTACATTGCTTATTTGCGCAGTGTCTTACCTTTTAGCACTGCTACTGAGTGAGCTCGACGAGGAGGCCTTTTTCTTTTGCTTTGTAGAAGCAGAAGATATGGTAGGCTTGCTCGCCGGCAAAGACACTAGCGCATTCATGGATGCAGATGCGGCAGCAGTAGTAGAAGTAGAAGTGGGTGCGGACGCATTGCTTTCTTCGCCAGACGCCAAATTCACTGCGGTCTCGGTATTGGTCTGCACAGCGGATGAAGAGCTACCGCCTGCTTGATCAGCCGACGTGGCATTTGAAGTTGTGTCACCACAGCCGCAGGAGGTGGAGAAGACATTGAGGCAAATGCACGTCTGCAAATAATGTGCGGTTCAAATGGAAGGGTGTCTCACAGAGCAAGGATAAAGTGAAATAATACAAAAAGCGCAAAGCCAAAGTAAAGTCGTAAGAGCTTATACAAATAAAGATAATAATAGGTGCTAATTGGTGTACAAGAAGTGAAAAGAAGGGAAGGTGAAAAAGAAGTGTTGCGACAACACGCTTTTTTTATTCGTCAAAGTTGTCGCAAAGACAGAAAATGCGGCCAAAAAAATACGCGAGTAACGAATTAATCGAAGTATCCGAAATTAACTAATCTAAAGTTGAAAATCACGTTGATCGAAATCCATCTTCGGCTAAAGTAAGTCATCGTCCTCGTCCTCGATTGCAACTGCTGTTTGGAGCGGCGCGGCGCCAGCAGAGTTCCCTCCAGGGGTTGGAGGGTAAGTAATCTGGGGTGTTCCGGTGGGGGAGCGAGCTTGAGCGTCGACATTGGGCACCAGGCGCTTGCCCCCTGGTACTCTGATCCGCGCGGCCAGGCGGGCGATGCTGCTCTCAAGAAAGATAGCGTTTGGTCTCTGGCCAGGTCAGAAAACATGTCTTGGTCGCCATTGTTGTAGGCCTGGATCATATAGTCGGCCAGGCCAGCCTCCTTGGAGCGGACGAATGATATATCCTGGCCATACTCATCAAGCTTCTTTCCAGCCTCCACGCTGTCGCCAAACGCGAGCAGTAGAATAATGACGCTCAGCCGAGCCCTGTTGATGTCAGAACGGTTATTAATCTGCTCGCACACTGTGACCAGGCGCTCTTGTATCGCGATGGCTTCAGTAAGACGATTGTTGTCAATCAAAAACCTCGTCACCCGCTTGAACGTGTCTATGGCAAACCGGCCGCGGTCCTCCGACTCGTAGATTGACAGCGCGCTGTCGTACAGCTGGATTGCTCGGTTGATGTCAATGCCCTCGCAAGACTTGGCCGCCTTCTCCATCATTCTGCCGCTCTGTCATACGACGACCCGTGAGAGCGTACAAGTCGCTGGCGCGGCTGTAAAATGCAATGGTGCTTGCCTGGTCCTTGAGATGCTTTTCAGCGAGCGTGGCGGCGTTTTCAGCGCACTTGGCCGCCAGATATATTGCGTTCACGTGCACGTATGCCTCACTGGCTTTTGAGTAGCAGTCTGCAGCCTCCTCATAATGACAGGCCGTCTTGTACGACGCGGCTGCCTTGTCCCAATACTGAGCGGCTGTTTCCCACTCAGGCTTTGAGAACCAGCCTCCCTTGGTCGCCTTCAGAGCATCTTTGGCAAATTCCTGCGCGAGTTTTAAACTTCTGGACTCCATGGCGTTCAATGAGTCGGCAATTGGCGCGCTTGTTGTAGAGTGCGGATGACGCGGGGTAGCAAAATATATATAGTGTGGAGAGAACAATTAAATAGTATAGTATCGCGTTATTGCAATAACACCAACCGGTTGCTTGGATATAAAAAGCTACAATAGAGTAATATTAAAAAGTGCGGGAATACAATTACACAAGTGTGGAGGTTAGTATTGTATGTAAAAACTTACAAAAAATTGTATTGACCTTAATATGCGCACACTGTAAAGCATGGGGCGCCTCCACGTGAATTAGCTGCTGCCAAAGAGCTGCTCGCTCACATGGCCTAGTACGAGCAAGAAAATATACAAAAGACTGTTACAAAGAACCACAGGCTTTATCCAAAAAATAAGGGATCAAACCAATATAAGGTTAAGATCTCAGTGCAGCTCAGAGAACTATTGTTTCAGCAAAATGCCTGTAAAAAGACTGTTGGCCAGATTATTAAGTGCCATTGATGCAATTCGGACAAAATAAGGGATAACAGTAAACTTGAGACAGTGCGAGGAGGGGGATGAATGTGTGAATATTGTGGATATTAAATCGAAACTGCGGGGGTTAAAAACTAGAGATGTGGCAACTAGTGCCATTGTATCTGTGTTTTATTTACTTATTTGGTAAACGTAGGTAGCGATTATAATGCCGTATTTTTGCGGGGTGAAATATTTGTCCAATTAAATGGTTCAAATATGTGGAAATTAACTAGTCTCAAAAATGATACCAAAACTGTCTTTATTACAGGCTGATGTTTGGACGCCAGATATTGCCTCCCGCAAAAATCGTCGGCGCAAAAGTGCAAAAAATAAAAACCAAAGCCACCAGGCATGTAAACAAGAGTGAGTATATATGCCTGACATGTCCACGCCTTGCTGTTTCTATGAAAGTCCAAAAATAATTAAGCATCTTTATTAGTAAACCATATATTAATTTTATACACCTACGCATACATATACACATACACCTGTCTGCTTGCATTTTTCTACAACTTCAACCACTCATATTAGAACATTTTCAAGCATGAAATCCACCCAGTTTGCCCTTGCTGCCAGCGTTGCCCTGATTGCTGCTGCATCGGCTCAGAGCACCAGCAGGAACCCTGACGAGGCTTTGATCACTGCCCGCTCCGAAAGCGTCTCACACGCCTCTTCCAACTCCAAGGCACCCAGCTCAGCGAGCAGCGATAACAAGTCCAATAATAAGGACGACAAGCCCAAGAGCAGAGATGCCGCTGACAAGAAGGGTGCTATCACCAGCGCCGTCGCCAACGCCGGTAAGCAGGTCAAGGACGCCAAGGACGCTAACAAGGACACAAAGAACGCCAAGCAGGCCAAGGGCAACTCGCCCGCCCCCGATGCCAATAGCGCTTCGCACCAGATAGCCCTCTCTGGTGCCCTTCTCGGTGCTGCTGCTGTCCTCGGCGCCTACATTTAGATTATTTTGAATGTTATTCTAAACAACATTGTTATTTTATTAATCAAGGATAGTGCTTCTTGACATACAAAGCTGGCGCTTCTTATTTGGCTTGGTAATATAGCCACAAAGCCCAAGAAAGCATCGGCTTTAATTCACACACTAAGCAAACAGATTGATCACCAACTTCAGCGACATTCTCACAAGTAATGCGATTTTTGATATTTTTGAGCTGCAACCAAAAAAAAAGAGTACCAACACGATTTTTAATTGTATTTACAGCTTTTTAGCCACTTTCTCTCTCTTTTTCGCATTTGGCCTCTCGATTGTTTATTTTTATTTTTATTATTTTTGTACTGTTGTCAATTAAACTATTTATCTCAACTATTTGGTTCAAATGAGTGAAATCCCTTCATTTTACATTCCGCGGCGGCTGCGACCCAGACGTATACTGGCAGACGCCTCAAGTTCGGCGCACAACACCAACGCCAACACGAGGTTTACAGCTCAGGCGTCAAAAACACAAATGGAGACGCCTCAATTTACGGGAACATACCTATATTTCGCGAAGGCTCTACGCACAGGCCATCCTCGCATGAAGACTTGACACACGTACAAGCACCCCGTGAGAGCCTGTTGCGAAGGCCATCTTCGCGCGAAAATATACTGCATAGGCCATCTTCGCGCGAAAACATTTTGCACAGACCAAGCTCCAGCGAAGGCACAATGCATAGCTTGGCCAGCCGCGAGAATTTGATGCGTATAGACAATACCGACCAGGCTGTGGGCGCCATATTTGTATCGGGCATGCTAGGCAAGCAAATTTGCAGTCTCACTCGGCTGGCGAGCCACATGGCTGGGTCAGAGCCCACCATTTGCGCCTTTTTACTAGGGTACATGGAGACTGACGGCACAGCACACCTGAACCAGTTGGATCAGGGAATCGAATGCGACGGCCAGCGCGTGCCGACCTTTGTGCACGGCACGGACATTGTTGTTCCGTTATACCGGGGCTCTTCGAAGAGTCGGTTTTACGCCAGCATTGTCAGGCCAGGATTCATGTGTAGGATGGCTGCATGGCTAAATGACAGTGATGCGGCTAGTGCTGGAGGGCGGACTGTCAATTTTATCAGCATCAGGCTCGACATACGCGTCTCAGTAAATGCTGCCCCGGCTGTGGATCTGGCAAGTTTGCCAGGGCTGCTTACACATCTACACCAGGAACGTGGAAATAAGAATGGTGGCGGCAGCTGGGGTCGACTAAGCTGGGCGGAGCGTGTGGGTCGCTACGAGCACAAAATCGGCCCACTTACTCCACCAGCAGACTCCATCTGGGTAGATGTCGGCGCCCACAACCCAAACCAAACCATCGGCGACGCATTTGTAAATGCGGGCGCGCCATGGTCTCTGCGTGTCGTCCAGGTCTGCCCGACCGACAGCCATAGATCTGCAACATTGCGGCATAACACGATGACACCGGTCAGTGGCGAATACAATATCACCGTTCACCTGGCTCCAATGGAGCTGGCGGGAACGAGTCACTGGACGACGAGCACTGTTAAACTTATGTCTGTATCGCAATGTGGAAATAGTGTTCATGAGGCCATCCGCGAGATGGCACGGCGCTCCGGAGTGTCAGTTGTTGAGAGAAACAGCTCACGAATTCTTGAACCTGCAAGAAGGCCGCCGTCTAGACAGTACGAGTTACCGATGCCCGCGAACATACCAGAGACGACCCAGGCGCTAATATGCACCACTCCAAAGTACCCAGCCAGGACCAGCCTTAGCTCGATCGGTGCTGCCAATCTTACAGACACGGCGATGGGATGACTTCCAAAGCAGCCAGATGTCCGAGCTGTTAAATGAGCAGCGCAATATTCGCGCGCTGCTCGAGGAGCAGAACGGTCTGATGAAGGTTCATGTGTCGCAGACCCAGGAGCTGATGCGTCTGGCCCACCAGCCGTCGCCGCAAACGGTTACACGGCGGTACCTGCGAATGAAGGGCACACACACACCCGTTGCCGCTGGCGGGCGGAAGCTTCGGCCGGCCATAACCGAAATCTCCGAGGACGGTTCCAACCCACGAGGGCTTCACCGATCCAACTCGCTCTCCGAAATTGTCGAAGGCATCCGGTCATTTGAAGTCGAGGGGTACGAGGAGACCGAGCATGTCACGTTTAATGCTTATCGTCGGCCGCTGTCGTTTCTTCCCAACTGTATAGCGGCGCGCCCAGGTCTGAAGCGGATGGCAGGGCAGTCTCATCATTTTCGGCGGCTGAAGGGACTTCAGCATCTCGGTCAGTGTCTTCGTCAACATCGGGGATTTCAGGACTTGTGTCCCGCATAAAACACATTGTCAGCGATACAGGCGATTCAGCGCGCGGCTCAAAAAGACCATATGACCGTCCGCCGCCGATTCCCGCCACACGAAGGCGTGTGGGTGGTGGTGCAGCGTGTTGGTAGTGCTCATACCAATGCTAACAATATGGCAGCATTGGGAGTGGTAGCGTGAATTCTCAGAGTTATAAGCTAACACCCACGACGCAAAAGTATTTGGACTCTTTGGACCAACGCTCGCAAGATCATCTACAAATGCCTGCGTTTTCTCGGAGGCGGTTTTCGAGAGGCGACGACCAACGGTGATTTGGTGTCTGTATACTATTATAATTTCAATTTACCAACCCTAATAATATACAGCACAATTCGCATAAACAAACTTGGCTCAGAATCTGTGCCTATAAAACATAACGACTCGGTTAATAGTGTGAACCGAGCCGATATATCAATGTTTATTTTTGGCGTTGGATTCGTCCTTTTTCGCAATCCTCATTGAATACAGTATAAGAAAGTCAATTAAAACCCGTTGGCTGTTGCTAGCCCAAGGCGCGAATTATTGACACTGGCAACTAGCCTGAAAGCAGCAGTTTTTCCTCCTCTTTTCCTCTCGCGCGGTAAATTTTATATCATACTCACCCAATATGAAGGCAAGATCTCGCACGAAGATTCATTTCTGCCCCTTGGACGCGTTGGATGCGGTGTGGAAACAAAGTGGATGGATGCGAGTCACAGAATACCCCGTTTAGTTGTGTGCCAGATAGGGGGTCTGTACGGCAGGGCGGATGGATTCGCGTTGTTGTTGGGCGTTGGATTGATGCTGCTAGACGCTAAACGAGGGCGTTATTTTGCGTGTACGAATTTAAAAACAAGCATTTCGAATTGAAGCCAGAAATTTAAAATCTGGATGGGAGTTCTTAATTTGCGACAGAGAGGGCCAGCACTAGGCCAAAGCGACTGCTTAGCCACTTACTAGCCACTGCCAAGTACTATTGCTAGCTCTATGGCGTATTTTAGTTTGGTAGTCCTTTGTGCGGCTCTCGGTTTACCAGCAGCTGATCGTCTCTGTTCCGAATCCCCAGATTTTTTTGGGCTGCCATTTTGGCTGCTGGAGTGGCCAATACAGGTTTTGTTAAACCACTGGCATAGTACTATTGGCAACAGCACTAGCAGCAGCAGATGATGCTGCAGCAACAGAGCCGTAGCAGCGACAACAACTACATTAACAGCAACAGCCACAGCTACAGTTTCCGTCACCACTTAAATTACACTTGCATTCACCACGCACAACTCCGCGTTCACTGGGATGATTATATTTGGGCGCTTTGAGCGAAACACATACACGCCTGGTATTAATATTTGTATTTTCCACACACACTAATTGCCATGTCGATTGTTGCTCTTTCGCCTTCCATATTTGTAGCTTAACATTGCGAACCTGGCCAATGGCTGCCAGAAGACCATCGAAATCGATGACGAGCGCAGAGTCCGCGGTTTCTATGATAAGCGTATCTCGGAGGAGGTCTCCGGCGACACCCTTGGTGACGAGTTCAAGGGCTACGTCTTCCGCATTACCGGCGGTAACGACAAGCAGGGTTTCCCTATGAAGCAGGGTGTCCTGACCCCAGGTCGCGTCCGTCTGCTCCTGTCTGACGGCCACTCGTGCTTCCGTGCCCGCCGCACTGGTGAGCGTCGCCGCAAGTCGGTCCGCGGTTGCATTGTCGCCGCCGATCTTTCGGTCATCTCCCTTGCCATCATCAAGCAGGGTGAGGCTCAGATCCCCGGCCTGACCGACGGCTCCGTCCCCAAGCGTCTTGGCCCCAAGCGCGCCAACAACATCCGCAAGCTGTTCAACCTGACCAAGGAGGACGACGTGCGCAAGTTTGTTATCCGTCGCGAGATCATCCCCAAGAACGCTGACAAGAAGCCCTACACCAAGGCCCCCAAGATCCAGCGCCTGGTTACTCCCCGCACCCTCATGCACAAGCGCCGCCTGGTTACCCTCAAGAAGCGCCAGCAGGAGAAGTCCAAGGAGGCCGCCGCCGACTACGCCAAGCTCCTCGCCCAGCGCAACAAGGAGCACCGCGAGCGCAAGGAGGAGCTCCGTCGCCGCCGTTCTTCTGCCTCCCGCAACTCTGTCTCCAAGCAGTAAAGTTCTGGGTAGAAGTATAAAATCTTTTATTAGCTACCAGGGGAATGTTGCAGCCTGGTATTTCTATGTTTTTGGGACTTGTTTTTTGTCAATCATGTTCTGCTTTCAAGATCTAGCTGGAAATACAAAGCTTCAAATTTGTCAATATCTTTGCTGCCAGAATCAAATTGGCCTATAGACGCGAGCATCGCAACAGAAGAGCCTAGCTCCGAGTTGGAAAATGTCCGAATATATTATTCATGAATCAAAAGAGACAAACTCAAGGCCAACATGAGAGAAAAAATAAGTAAAGTGCAAGTTGCGTTCCGAAGGTCTCGCATTTACTTCTTGGACCAGGGATACTCCCACTGGCGCTCCTTCAGGCGCCACATCCGCTTCTTGTTGCCCTTGACAGCATGCGTAACCCATTCCTCGGCGCAATGCTTGGCCTTGAACTTTGAAATGAACGCGGGGTCCCACAGCTCGCTGGCAACACCCAGATCCTTGCAGCAGCGCACCAACGCGTTCGACTTGCACCCTTCGGTGGCTGTCGCCAAACCGCCCTCATCAAAGTAGTCCTGCTCACCGCGTGCCTGCGAGATGAAACGCCCAAGCAGATAAGTGCGTATTCGCGCGAAAGCGTGCGGCCGGCAACCGAGTGAGCGCCTCTGGGGACCAGGCCCCAGCCGCCGGGACCAAAAGCGCGGTTGAGGATGCGGCGGTATTTGATCTCAGGCAAGTACAGCAAGCCATCAGGCTTAATCTCAATTTCGTTTTCAGCCACGGGCGCCATCAAGATCTCGCCGATACGGGTCTCGAAGGGCTCTGTGGCCATGCCCTCGAAGGATGTCGACCACTGCGAGCCCTGAAGGTACCCTTCGGAGGGGTTGAACAGACTGCCTGAGAGATTCTGATCTGGTGTGTCTGTCGATTTAAACGCCGGGGTTGCCTTTGCAGGAGCTGTGAATGTTTCGGGCTCGGCTGCGCCTGAGCTAGAGCCTGGATTAAAGGATGACCCGCTGCTGTTTACGCGCTTGACAGATGAGTTGGATGTGCTCGTGCTCGCCAGGCGAATCTGGCTCTGGCAAATAGCCGTCGATTTGCGTCCAACACTGTGCGCGCTCTACGAAGTGGGATGCCGAATCAGCCAGAATATAATAATGCAGAGAGCAGGGTGAGTATGATAGTCACAGCGTGGGTGTGGGTGTTTATTTTCACAATTGGTTTTGGTGATTCCCTTGTGTTTATTTTGTTGTTGTTTACCTCTAGCTTTGCTGCGCTCGTAGCAAGCATGCGTCCGATAGTCGTGAGCCTATGCATTTTGTGTCGAATTGCAAGTGTGGATAATAATACAATTTTTTTCGGAGAGACAAGGATAAAATGCAGGGGCAGATGTTTTTGTTTTAGCAGGCCAATTAATATGCGTAAGCACATGGTTGTGATGGAAACCTTTTGGGAACCCTGTACATAAGTAAATAAAAGCAATAATTTTAGTAGAAAGTAAAACTTTTTAATCGGCCCGCCTGGAGATTAGGATCAACTGAGAGCTTGAGCATGAATAGATAATTATGTTCAGGCCATGTCACAGAAATAAATAGCTGTCGCTGGGGTCTTGCTATGTGCTTGGTTTTTTTTTGACTCTGCACTCATCCTTTTTTGTTGAATTAGCTGTCGCTGTCGATGCAGTCTCAGCGGAAGAATCAGCGGAAAATCAGCAGCAGCAGAAGTGCATTGAAAATACTTAGGGGGCCTCTGCCTTTGGAATGCCAAACAGTAATGAGCCTGAAATTCAAATCCGCAGCCATGTCTCTGCTCCAACCACTCCTGCGTTCAGGATATTTGCTGGACTTGGAGGGCGTCGCTGCGACGTAGTGCGCGTCAGCATTCTCCAAGTTGTCGACGCGCTGCTTAGCTGTGACACTGCTCGGCTTTTCTCGTCGCTATCGCGGTCAATTGGCATACCATCGGCATACCAGGTCTGCAGCATTTCTTGTTAGTGCACCACACCAGGCCGTGGCAAAGGATAATTCTCAATAGCTTTGTCAACGAGCCTGATTGGCCCGCATCTGAGACTGAAAGTTGCTGTTCCCACTGCTGTCTGTCCAACGCGTCGTTTTTCTCCTGCTGCCAGATTTTGCGCTGTATCTTGTCCTTTGACTATCCACACTTAGCGCCGTAAGTCTCGACGACGTTGGCTGACAGGGACTGGCGGTTGCAGCGCATCAGTTGCAGTGCCGCTATCTGTATGCTTGGGCTTGGCTTGGGCTTACAGTTGGACTTGCTGACTTTATGCGGATTGGGCACCTAGTGATGTTTTTCCATCTTGAAATGGCATGCCAGGCAGAACTTGGATGTCGGAACTCGTCGATTAGGAAACTTTGAATTTGTGTCGCAGCAGGATCTCACACCTGCCGAGACCAATGAAAACAACACGAACGATCCAACTGAGGCATCGTCACACATCAGATCATCGATGTAAGGGAACCGACTGTCCCGTTTCTTCCACTTTCGCTTTTTGATATCCTTTTTGACATTGGCAGCTGTACCGGCGTCATCAGCCTTTTAGATATGCTTGCGTTATTAGAGAACGCTTGCTTTGACAGAAGGCTGAGTGGCAGCCCAATATTTTTTTTTGTTTTTTAGTATTTTTATTCTATGCAAATATACTAAAATTTTAAAAAAAATCCAATATAATGAATGCGACAAAAAAGGGAATCCTCTTAAATTGAAAAAGCGAGACCTCCCACAGAACCTTGGTCTAGTCAGGTTTGTTGATATAATAGCTCGATATCTCCTAACTTTTCCATCGAAAAGTATGCTAAATCTCCCACTCCCTCCCCCACTTACAAAGTTGGGAAAAGGGGAAGTACAGGAAAAAGCCGACACATTACAACCATATGTGCAAAAAAATTGGCATATGCTTGATTTAATCGCTGTTCAAATCCATAATTCAATAAAGGCAAGTGTGGCACGGCGTCGCTTATACCATATAAAAAAGATGTGATCCCCCGATTTAAAAAAACACCAATTCGGATACGAGGCGGACATATGCGCTCTATTTTTTTGAATTCGGAAAAAGGGATTTTTAAGAGGCGGATCGCATCATTGCGCATTGTTTTATTTTCCAACACATCGCTCGCAAAGCAGACTTCATTTTTTTGTCATGTTTTTTTCCAGCGCCTGGGCAGAAAGAAACAAAGTTCAGTGTTATCTTGACCGATTAAAAAAAGAGAGCTGATAGAAAAAATGAGAAAACAAGCGGGAAAAGACCAACAGCAAGCTTCTTAGAAGCACTTGCGGTGGACGATCGAGGGACCGGACTCGTCGTACTCCTGCTTCGAGACCCACATCTGCTGGAAGGTCGACAGAGAGGCCAGGATGGAACCACCAATCCAGACGGAGTACTTGCGCTCTGGGGGAGCAACGATCTTGATCTTCATGGTCGAGGGAGCCAGGGCCGAAACCTCCTTCTGTATACGGTCCGAGATACCGGGGTACATGGTGGTACCTCCCGACAGGACAATGTTGCTGTAAAGATCCTTACGGATATCAACATCGCACTTCATGATCGAGTTGTAGGTGGTCTCGTGAATACCGGCAGCTTCCATGCCGAGGTTGCTGGGCTTGAACAGAGCCTCAGGGCAGCGGAAACGCTCGTTACCGATGGTGATGACCTGACCGTCGGGCAGCTCGTAGCTCTTCTCGAGGGAGGTCGACTTGTTCGAGGTCTCAGCCTCCTGCTCAGGGTCGAGGGCGACGTAGCAGAGCTTCTCCTTGATGTCACGCACGATTTCGCGCTCGGCGGTCGTGTTGAAGGAGTAGCCGCGCTCGGTGAGGATGGTACCAGGTGTCGGTGAGGTCGCGGCCAGCAAGGTCGAGACGCAGAATGGCGTGGGGCAGGGCGTAACCCTCATAGATGGGGACAGTGTGGGTGACACCATCGCCCGAGTCGAGGACGATACCGGTGGTACGGCCGGAGGCGTACAGCGAGAGCACGGCCTGGATGCGACATAGAAGGCTGGGGTGTTGAAGGTCTCGAACATGATCTGGGTCATCTTCTCGCGGTTGCTCTTGGGGTTGAGGGGGGCCTCAGTGAGCAGGACGGGGTGCTCCTCAGGGGCAACGCGGAGCTCGTTGTAGAAAGTGTGGTGCCAGATCTTCTCCATGTCGTCCCAGTTAGTGACGATACCGTGCTCAATGGGGTAGCGGAGGGTGAGGATACCACGCTTGGACTGGGCCTCGTCACCGACATACGAGTCCTTCTGGCCCATGCCGACCATCACACCGTGATGGCGGGGACGGCCGACAATAGAAGGGAAGACCTAAATAAAAGAGTGTTGCCAGTCAAAGCGCAAAGAAACAAAGACAATTGCATCGAAAGGGAGTAAATAATTAGCGCGTGTTGAGTCTCTTTCTCCATGCAGTGTGCATAGAGCATATTGGCATGGATATACAAACACACAGGCGCAGGTGCCAATCCAGAGCCCCAAAAACAGCGGGTGTTTTGGTGTCGCTAGGATCGGCTCGTGCGCGGCGTTGTTGTTGTTGTTGGTTTGTTTGTTGTTGTTGCTTTACTTACAGCGCGGGGAGCGTCGTCACCGGCAAAACCGGCCTTGCACATGCCGGAACCGTTATCGATAACAAGCTACATCAGAGATAAAAGCAGAGAAGATAACAATTGAAACCCAGATGAGAAATAAAATTAGCAAGATTCGAAATTCAAGACAGATGGGGACCAAAAAAACAAGCAGCGCAGAAAAATCGGCTGCAACTATGGAAAACACGCCCTGCCTCCAGAATGTTAAACAGACGCGCTTTGCAGTGCGTCGGTCTTTGAACACTCGAGATGGGAGAGATGAGCTATAAGAACATGAAACAGATTGCAGCCGGATTCACTTTATATATTTTATTTATTGCGCAAGGCTATTAGAGCAACACTTACAGCAGCGACGTCGTCCTCCATAGTGATAGTTTGTTAAGTGAGTAGGGGTTTAGCTAGAGAAAATCAACAAGCGAGCTTTTGGAAGAAAATATTGCAGTTCGTAAAAAACGATTTGCCTGAAAGAGAGAAAGAGAGGTGTAGAAAAATTAGCTAGAGAAACAAGAGAAGAGCAGAAGAGAAAAGCAGTTTGCAGCGCTCGGGAAAGGACTGGCGCTACTTGTATTGGTTTAGGCGCCCTCCCCGCTTCAGCAGCATGGGTGGTGGGATTTCTATTATTTCTGCTTTTTGACGCATCCTTCCCCCCGTCCTCCTTTCTGTTGGTCGTTTTTCTTCTCTGCAACGTGTGAGCCTGCCACACTCGATCCTCAATGATGTTTTCCTTTTTGTTCCTTTTTCCTTGCTGCCTGCTGCAAGAAGCCAGCAAATAAAAGAGCGTCGAAAAAAACTGGTTGTGTTGCTGTTGGACAGTCCCTCCGCTGAGCAGCAAAAGCAGAAGCAAAGGCGAGGACAAAAGCAGCAGCAGCAGCAGGGGTTGGTTTGCTTTTGATTGCGGAGTAGGGGCCACCGATTTCTGTTTTATTGTGCCCGCGAGGCTTGGTTCGGTTTGTCCAGTCAGCGGCCGCCACTTCAAAAACAAAAATTGAACTTCCTCAGCGCTGTGCTGCTAGAAATGCCTCAAATCCTCTCCCTTTTTACGCCTGCGCGTGCTTTCTGCGTCGCCGCAATGCACGTGCGCGCAATGCAAGGCATAAAATATCGAAGGTCTGAGCGAAGGAAGGTAAAAATAAAAAAGTGGATGCAAATTTCCTGTAATTTAAGGTGCCAAGAGGCAGCAGCGAGTGGCACGAGGACCCAAATATCTATATCGCCAATATAACAAAAAAACACCCACCTCTGCTATTGCCATTGCCACTGGCGGAAAAAATAGTGTGAAAAGGAAATAGAAATGTTTATTTTCAAACCGAGCGCAAGTCTAAATTTGGCACTGTCAAGGCTCGCCGCAGCGCAAGCATGACAGCACTTGGTGGCCAGCAGTTCCGCCAGCTCCCGCCTTTGTCGCTTGGCAGCATCTGGCAGGCACCCTCTATGGAATCCGTGCCCACACTTGAACAGTACAACACGCTTCTGGCTGCTGCTGCTACTGCCACTACTGGCCTTGCTCCGGGACTCGTCCAGTTGGCTGCCGCGTTGCGCAACTTAATCCACTGCCACTGCGCCGCCGGATCTCGAATACGTGCAGGTCAATGACGCGCACAGAGCTCGTTTCAAAGTACTGTACCATTTGCTTGCGCCGGTCTGCCATTGCACGGTCCTGGCGGCGATCCACAAACAGCTGGTCGCTGCACTTGCCACAATACAGGCTGCCAACGTCGCACTTCGCCAGTGCGCTGCCGGTATCGGCGCTGGTGCTAGTAGTGTCTGACGGAACAAACCAGCCCTGCTTCTGCGACCGCACGAGCTGCCCAAGCGTCGTGAAAAGGTCATGATCCACCAGAACATTGGTCAGCACCATCAGCTGCGCTTCGGTCTTGTATGCGCTGACAGCAACCGCGAGCAGGTGCTGAATCTCGGCAATGTCTAGGGACCGAACACTCCCCGGCGGTGCGCTTTCCGCCGGCGCGACCGTGCCCGACGCAAGCAGCTGCTGAATAATGTGTCTCAGCGAGATCAGAGACGATGCCGGCGACGCCGCGGATATGAGCACATCCAATGCGCTATGCAGCATCCACCGCTGTCGCTTGGACACCAGCAGCCACGCCTCGCGCGTCTCGGCGGCGATCCTACAGGCAGGCCGTCGATTGTCTGTCCGGTGCCGTGCAAGTACGCAAGAACTCTCCGCAGCAGGGCCAGCCAGAGGTCGCAGAGCTGTGCTCCGACCATTGCTTGGTAATCGCTGCGCGCCCTGGCTGCCATATTCTTGGTCTTCTCAGCATCTGCCCTGCTGGCTCCGGCCACGGCTTGGAAATGTACTGGGCAGACTGCGCCGCGACGTCCTTGCCCAGCTTGGCCAGGGCGGCCTTGCACACGTCCACGCACCCGCCGATGTTGCGCGCCGCAATGTCCAGGTGGTCCAGCAGCCGCTCCCGGTCAGCCTCGCCCAGCACCCCAATTCGCCATTCGCAGCATCGCCGACGGGCACGGCTGCCTTGACGCTCTCGACTTCCTGGTCAGTCTGGGCCAGCAGTGTGTCAAGCGCGCCCGAAAAGTCGCCGAGACGAACGAGTGCCCACACCAGCCCGTCGCTCACACCGTGCTTGTCGCAGACCGCCTGCACATACGACAGCCGGAATGGTTCGGGGCTCAGGTCAACATGCTGCTTCAAGTACTGCAGCACGCTTCCCGGATTGAACTGGCACATCAGCTCCAGGTACTGCTCGTGGTACTGCTGCGGGTACTTGTTTGTCTTATGGAGCTGTCGGGCACCAGCGACTGGAAGGGGTAAATGACAATGTGCTGCTCGTCAGACAGACCGATGTTGGGCGGTGCGCGCTCGTCGGAAACCGCGCTTGCAGGCAGCATGCACAGGCACTCGGGGCTTCTCGACAGTGAGTTGGGTGTCGGGTCTAAAAGTGCACGCAGGTAGGCAAACTGCGCCTGCGGATGGTTGCCCAGCGCATCAAATATTGTCGCATGCTCGAGAAAGCCTACAGACTCGACCGTGTCAACAAATTTCTTTGCATCAGTGTCGACTAGCTCCACAGCCCGGCTGCGCACAAACTCGGTGATATCCGCAAGCGCCATGTCGCCCTTGCTCGCTGCAAGCTCCCTGATGGCTGCAAACACTGCACGGTGGTATGCATAGTCTGGGTGGTCCAGGTACGTCTGCAGTGCCATGCCGTACTGCTCGACAGCGCAGTAGATGTGCTCGAGCACGCGGAAAAACCCAGCCTGGCGGACGCGGCCGATGCAGTCGGCGTAGGATTGCGGTGGATTGAGCTTGAACAAGAGCTCAAACGCGTACTCGCGTTCTGACAACGTGGATGTGTCATCCAGCCGCAGCAAAACGTCTGTCCATTCGGTGACCCTGTCGTCTCTAAGGAAGATCAGCGGGAACCGCGTCGCATACAGTGTCAGCGCGAAGCTGGATAAAAGGCCGATCTGGCGCTTGGTAAGCAGTGTCGCCGAGTTGCTCGTGCCAGAGGCCGTGGTCAGAACAAACAGCGTGTCAACGACAATTTGAGGGAAAGACTTGACCTGGCTTGCACGCCGCAGCGAGCGGTCGCTGTACTGGGCAGCCTTTCCGGTATCAGCAGGCTTGATGATGAGGTTGATGAAGTCGATAAACGGGTCGCTCAAAACGCGCTTGAGCGTATACAGAAGGCGCTCGGCGTCCAGATCGAGCAAGGCCAGCAGCGTGCGGTAGCTCTTCCTGATGTTTTCTGGAGCCCGGCTGGTGTCGACAGGCGGGAAAACAAGCTCAGTAATCAGCGTGCTGTACTTTTCGGCGCGGCCCTGGGGCTTAATCGGCTGTCCGCCAGGGTAGAAGCGCCCGCGGATGACCATGTCCATGTAGTCGAATACGACGGTGTCTGGCGCTTCGTCGCTGTCTCTGACATCCTTGAAGCTCGCCCAGCTGGCCTCGTGCGTGCTCTCAGTGTCCTTACCGGACTTTGTCGCGGCGTCAATCATGCAGTGCACCGGCGCAATCGGATCGCCCATGCCTAGCCAGACCCGGGCAAATGTCCTCCAGAGCCCATGCCGGCGGCAGCTGCTCAAAACTCTGTCAATGTCAAAGTCACCCTGATTGAGATGCAAGCTGGACAGAATCTCACCCAGCCTCCGCACCAGCTGAGGCGTGCCTCCGTATCTGTCGACCATGGCGTTGAGGATCTGCGGCGGTAGGCGCTGAATTTGCCCGCTGATGATGAAAGGCTCTATAGTCTCAAGGAATATGCGCTGCCACTGCTGCTGGCTGAGTAGCGCTCGAAGATGTCGCCAAATAGGAGCGCCGTGTTTTCTGTTTCCAAGCAAGCCTCGACGCAGACTGAAATAAGGGCACTGATTTCAGAATCACTGCGTTTCCAGTGCTCGTGCTGGCGCTGATATGATCCGGGTTCTAATTCGTTATCACTGCCACCAAACATCAGCCCGAGCGAGCCTCGCATGAGCTCAACCAGCTTGCCGCCGACCATAGTTTGCCTCTTCTTCTCATGTGCGTCTCCATCGCGCTGTGACCTTGGGAGACCAATGACGACCTGGCCCGTGTGGCCGCGGTACAGCCCAGTTGCCAGTGTAATGGCATCAATTAACTGGCCTTGATCCACAAGCAGAGCCAGTCGCTCGACCCACGACAGCAGCCGACCAGTGTACACGGATGAAACACCGCACAACGCAAATGTCCTGCGCTTGTACACACTCATGACCTGCGCGTACGAGGGCTCAGCCTCAATCCCAGTGGCCATTGTGACCCACGGGCGACCAGCAATGGCTTTTGGCGGCGACAAGCATATCTCGGTCTCTTGGTGCAGAGTGGTCTCAAACACAATATGTGCTGACTCCGGGTCATATAGAGCAGCGTTTCTGTGTCCATCCAGCGACAGAACACCACATCCTCGACAGCAACCCACTCCAAGGTCCGCTCAAACTTGATTCTTGGAGCTGTCTTGCCTGCAACCATCGACGCACCGTTCTCCGCCACCTGGCGATCAAAAACCACGGATAGAACGTAGATGTTGGGCCCCCACGTGTACACAAGACGCGGGAGGCTGTAGTGCCGCTCGGACGGATCAATGGCCGTGGCTGCACGCTTAAACTTTAGCGCCGGGAGCCATGACGTGCTGCCAGAATAGGGCTGTTTGGTGAAGCCATGTTTTGTAGCTGAGTGCGCACCACTCGCTGCCTTGCAGACAGCGCAGGCTGCTGGTAGCTCACCCGATATAGCTGCTCCACTCCGTTTTTTGTTTTAAATATAATCAGGCTGCCGCTCGTAAGCACAGCCACCAGGCCCATCTCGTCTGTCTGCACGCATAGGTCCCTCCAGGCAGCGGCATCGCTTCAAACAAAATCCCCGGGCCCCCGCTTGCGCTCGACAGTTGAGTCGTGTTCATTGTCGTCAGCAGCCGCCGCACGATGTGGTGGTAGAAAACGCTTCCGCCAGCGCTGGAGCTAATGTACCGGTGTTTGCTGTTGCCAACAAAGTGAACTCCAGTGACTGCCGTGCCTGCCGGATGGCCGACCGCGTCGGGTTTGTCTCCGGGCTGCAGCGGTCTTGACACTGACACGGTTGTACCTTTAGCCCAGTCCCACATGGCAACAAAGCCCTGGGAGTACCCGGCAACAAGCGAGGCGTGGTCTGACGAAAATGAGAGCGCAGACACCGATCCATACGAGGAGACCTGCGAACCCAGCACCGACTTTACGCGGCCCAGGTAGTCCATGAAACATGGTTCCGTTGTCCGTGCCAAGTGCCACGCAGTCGGCCATGCACGAGGCCGTGACAGACCCGAATTGCTCGACGAGCTCAGGTATCTTTTCTGACAGGTCTGTGAGCTGGCGCCAGCTGAAGTACTCGGTCATGCATTGCGTCGGTGTAGAGTTGGATTGGAAATGCGGCTCTCGTACTCTGTCTCTGGGGTGTTGCCCAACGGTAAGGTTGGAGTCGGCGATGTAGTTCCTAATTCCATCTGCGCATTGACGCGTAAAGTAACAAACAAAAATAAAAATAAAAAAGTTAATCGAAGGAGAACAAGTTTACACGCAGCAAACAAGTAGGAGAGAGAGAGAGACGGAGCAGAACCTGAAAATGTGCCTTACCCCGCACATTGTGCTGGCAAACTGAAAACGTCATCACTTTGTCGCCATCAATCAAGCGCACATTGATTTGTTGTATGTTTTCTGCGTCTGGGTCTTTTTTTTAAAAAAAAAAAGTTTAAACAATAAACCTCGACTTTGTCGGCCCTTTTCTTTTTGCCCTTGTCTCTGTCTTGTCAGCCATTAATATATACTCACTGCTATTCTTTTCATTTACCAAATTAGACTGGGTTGTTTTAAATTTGGGCTCTATCCACTGTCTGCCTGTATTTCGACAATGTCGTTTGCCAACAAACGCCCGGGCGGCCGCATTATGCCAGCACGCCGACTGGTAAGTCACAGCAGCAGCACACGCTTTGAAAGAAGGGAAAAGCATCTTGTTAACACAGAGTCCAGATACGCTGTCGCACTAAACGCTCTTTGCTCAATATATGTACAACATCTACCTTTCTTCTGTCTTCTTTCTTGTAGACACCCCAAGTTGATCCGGAAAAACAGTTTGAAAAGATTGCGCTGGCAATCAGCGAGATTTACAAGCACAACGCATCCAAGCTGTCTTTCGAAGAGCTGTACCGCACAGCGTACGGATTGGTGCTCAGCAAGAATGGCCCGCTTCTGTACGAGGGCGTCAAGCGAGTGCTAGAAACACATCTCACCGAGCGTATGCACCAGGATATTCTCGAGCACGTGTTAAAGTTCAACACTCTCAGGGAAGCCGCGCAGGGCGAGGCACTGCTGTCGAGCATCCGGCTTTTGTGGAGCGAGCACGTCACCGCGATGCTCATGATAAAGGACGTCCTTATGTATGTCGACAAGGTATATGTGAAGACCGCGCAGCTGCCGTCGATTTACGACATGGGCATGCGTGTTTTCCGCGACCAGGTTCTATTGACAGCCGACCAGCAGGTGCTGAAAGCCCTAAACAACGCCATTTTGAATCAGATCCAAGACGAGCGCAAACAACTCCGGGATGCCAACAGGCACATGCTGCGCAGTGTGATCGGCATGCTCATCGAGTTGCAGGACCCGGAGTATCCACACACGCTGTACCAGTCGACCTTTGAACTGCGGCTACACGCAATGGCCGGTGCACACTACTTGCATCATGCGCAGAGGCGTATAGAGCATATGGGTGCGCCCGAATACGTTCGTACGGCGCAAGCGGACCTCGATGCCGAGATGGACCGCGTCGATGCGTATCTAGCGCCCTCAAGTGCCCCAAAGCTGCGCAAAGAGGTGCTTGAAAAGCTGATATCCAATTACTCCACCAGAATACTCGTTATTCCTGGCGCCGGGCTGGCCCAGATGCTTGATCAGCGCGACATTCCGAGTCTGGGCGTACTATACAAGCTCTATGTGCAGCTTCCAGAGGCGTTGAAGGAGCTGAGAGATGGCACCCACAATCACATTTTGGCGCTGGGCAAAGAAATCATGGCAAGCACTGCATTGACAACAACTGGCCCGAGCGATGGCGCTGGCAAGGGCGACACCCCCAAATCGCCAGTTTCGGCGTTGGATGCCTCTGGCACAGCAGCAAAGACGGCAGTTGCCCTGCGGTGGGTCCAGGAAATTCTTTCGCTGTACGACGTCTACGATGAGTTCCTGCAAAAGGCGTTCGAGGAGAACCAGAGCATGCGCAACGCAATCAAAGACGCGTTTATCGAGGTCATCAACGCCAACAGCCGGGCTCCCGAACTCCTGTCACTGTTTATAGACGAGAACCTTAAGAACGGCCTGCGCCGGATGACTGAGCAAGAGATGGACCATATTCTCGAGCGCTCCGTGCTCATGTTCCGCTTTTTGAAGAACAAGGACGCATTCGAGCACTATTACAAGGCGCACCTGGCCAAGCGGTTGCTATTGGGCCGCAGTGTTTCTGATGATGCCGAGCAGAGTGTAGTGTCAAGCTCAAGGTCGAATGTGGGTCACAGTTTACGCTAAAACTGGAAGGCATGTTTAAGGACATGCAGCTGTCCAGTGATCTGGCCCGGGAACTGCGCGAATCGAGCATGGCTGCAGATCTTGGGTTCGACGTCAACGTCTCGGTACTAACGCCGACATTCTGGCCGACGACATTGTCGTCAGACACATTGCCAGCGGACGCGTCGTCATCATCTGTCATATTGCCCTCTGCCGGCGGCGTGAGAAAGGCGATAGACACATTTTCTGCGTTCTACCTCAAGTGCCATTCGGGCCGCCGACTGACATGGCAGTACAGCATGGGGAGCGCCGACCTGAAGGTGCATTTTGGCACCCGCACGCACGAGCTTAATGTATCGACGTTCCAGATGCTCATTTTAATGCTCTTTGTCGACGGCGCCGAGAACGCGCAGCTGACGATGACAGACATTCGCGAAAGGACGCAAATCCCTGAAGATGCGCTGACCCGGCACTTGCAGTCTCTGGCATGCGGCAAGTTCAGGGTACTTACTAAAACGCCAATGTCGCGGGATGTCAAACCGACTGACGTGTTTGCATTCAACAATGGGTTCAAGTCGCCCCAATACCGGATACGCATACCCGTGGTTTCGGCACGCAATAACTTGGAGACCGAGAAAGAAAAGGCGGCGTCCCTGGCAGTAATTGGTCAGGAGCGCCAGTATTTGATTGAGGCTGCGGTTGTGCGCATCATGAAGACGCGCAGACGGATGACGCACGAGCAGCTGGTCAACGAGACCATCGACCAGCTTTCTTCGCGGTTCATGGCACCACCAAAAATCATCAAGGAGGGAATTGGAAAGCTCATTGATCGCGATTACTTGCAGCGGTCGCCCGAAGATCCCAGGATATACATTTATCTTGCATAGAATAAATTAAATAATTTGAATTATTATTGATGTTACTTTAGTGTATATATCTATATATATTGCGGCCTATAAACACACAACCACAATCACAGCCAATGTATATCAAGCGTGTAGTAAATGCTTTAGATATAAATGGCGCTTGGAGATGACATGGAGATAAAAAGAATGAACAATAAACTAAGCAATAAATATAATATTAATAAATATAAAGGCTGTGCAGTAAAAAATGTTTTAAATATGAAGACATGTGTTTGCAGTGGGTTGTAATGCAAGTGCTGCAAATAATAAAAAATAGTGTGTGAGTGTGAGTGTGAGTGCGTGTCGAAAGAATGAGAGGAAAAGGAATAAATAAAACTAATTAAAAGTGTGAAATGATGTACTGGGATGAGGAGGGGGTTCTAGTCCTAAATATATATAATGTGGGCTCTAGTTGATAAATAAACATATATATATAAAATTATGAATCAGGAGCACAAATATCGGTGTTGAGGTCCAAGGTGAAAATGCTTGAGCACAAAAATATTAGGAAATTGGGGGAATAGTCGTTAACCGGTTACTCTCTTGTTCGCCCTGTTTATGGACCGCGCGTATCTCAACCCACACGCATTGCACAACCTACATCCACGCAATCCAGACAAGGTAAGACCAGAACAAACCGAGACAAGGGGATATAAGAAAAATTAGCCAAGAAAAAAAGAGTTTGTAAAATACCAATAAAGAAATATTATACATGACAATCGTTTGCAGAATAAAGCCTGAGGTTTATCATTTTTATCCTCTAACTTACGTTTTGTGGCCAGTCGGGCCTTTTCTCCATTCGGGGCTCGAGTCGGTCCCGCAGCTCTTGCATGTTTTCTTTTCAGAGTCGCCGTTGCGGTGTGCCAAAGACGCTGGCAATGGGGTACCGATGACGTTGGGCGAGGCCACCGACGAATTCATAGGCGACTGGTAGTGCTCCATGATCGAGCCGTGCATGATGCTGAATGGGTGAGGGGAATTGGGGTTTGAGTTGCGGTTGATAGTCAATGGAGGGGGAGGCGGAGGTCTCTGCGAAGTTATAGAGCTAAACGACTGCGAATTATGCTGCTGCAGCGCCATGTGATGAGGATATTGCTGCTGCTGCTGTGGCTGTGGTGGTGGTGGTTGCTGCTGCTGCTGTTGGTGTTGATGTTGGTGTTGATGTTGGTGTTGATGTTGGTGTGGGCAGCGTCTGGTGATAAGGGACTGCTGAGGCAACTGTTGTGGCTGGTGTGGCTGGTGTGTTTGTTGTGACAACTGGTGTGATTGCTGTGACGGCGGTGGCGGCGGTGGTTGCTGCTGCTGCTGTTGATGTTGGTGTGGCAGCGTCTGGTGATAAGGGGACTGCTGAGGCAACTGTTGTGACTGCTGTGGCTGTTGTGGTAACTGTTGTGGCTGCATAGAGCTCTGGGCCCACCGCCACGACTCAGTGACCTCTGGCGGGGGATATACATTGACTCGCGGAGCACCCGATAGCGAACCGGACTGCGGCGCAGGCGACAGCGATACCGGTGTGTACTGTACTATGCCAGCAGACAACGGCGATATCGTTGGTGTCGGCTGTGTCGACGCAGATCCGGCCGGACTAACCCCCGTATACAGCGACCCGTTGGCTCTTATCGTCGCGCCAACAATAACCCGCTGCCGCAGCTCGGAGAGACGACCGCTGGGACTGGCCACTGCGCTCGCTGGACTGCCGCGCGTGAGGGTGTTGCTCAGCGGGCTAGAATTGACCGATCCACAAGGGGCACTGTGCTGATGTTGCTGTTGCTGGTGATGCGGGAGTGATGGAAGCGATGGCATCGGAGGCGGCGGTGGCAGTGCCTGACTGCTGCCATCCGCATTAATTGGTTGTGTCGGGTAGGAAAATCGTCTTTCCTCGAAAGACTTGACCGGCGGCAGCGTGTACGAGGATTGTCGTCGCGGGGGTATGGCCGAGTCGGACAATGACGAAACAGCCGGTGGGCGTATAGGCAAAGTGGCAGCAATCGATGCCGGCGCGCGTGGAATTGAAAACGGCCGTGTTTCCTGAACCGACCCCAAATGATGGTGCATTGTTTGCTGTGTGCCTGCGCCCTGGTACCTGCTAGCTGCCCGGTGATGCACAGGTCCTGCGTATGTCGACAAACCGGGAGCATCGAAGCGCGTGACAAAATCGCTTGTTGTCGGTGTCATTCCTGCTGTTGCTGTTGCTGATAGAGCGCTGGAGCTGCCGCGTGCAGGGTCGTCGCTTGGCGGCGTTTGAAAATTGTAGCTCGACAAGATGTTATCAACCTCTCTGCCGCTACCGCTTGCCAACAGGGCCCTTGCTGGAGTCGGTCTGGCCAATCATGCCCGAGTCGGGCGTGCTGTCGCTGCGCATCTGCTGGCACACAAACAGCAAATGGCCCCAGCGGAACATAATGCCTTGGATGTCCGTCTGCGCGCCCAGCCCAGTCGCGCATACCTGGAGGTCAAGCCGAATAGGGTCCGAGTTGGGCGCGTGCAGGTGGCCCATCAGGGCCTGTGCGTGGGTATCAATTTTTTTATCCCGACTGTTCTTCCACAGCGCCTGCAAACTGGTACCCAGTGCTATGGCTTCGGCAGGCAACTTTCCGTACACCCGCTGGTACCCATCCTCTGGGAAGGCGCACAGCAGGTGCTCAGTATCGACCGAGTAAATCTGCATGTGGCGAGAGGACACGCCACCACTCGTCATACTGCTGCTGGCGCTGCTGCTGCCGTTTCCGATGCCGGTGCTGCTGCTACTGTTGTGACTAGTGACTGGCAATGTGCCGCCCGCAGAGGGCCGTGTACATGATGCCTCTGCAGCAGCTGGGCTGCGAGACAAGCTGATTGCGTCGGACTTGTGGATCTGTGAAATCAAGTGCTGCACGCGCTCGGCATCGGCCATTGCCAGCGCACTTGAGGCGCAGTCACAGCGCGTAGGATTTGTATTGGGAGTGGGATTGGACTGCTGGGCTTCAATGTTTGTTCTGCTGCTGAAATCGCGGGCAAAAGCCCTTTTGATATTGGCGATGAATCTTCGTAGTGGCAAACCATGATTGACAATCGCGAAGATACGAGATATATGCCAATATTAGCAATCAAGTACTCATTGTCGCCAGTATGGCTGCTTGTGCTGCTAGAGTTAGTGGGATGCGAATTGGTTGTGCTGCTGTCTTTATCCTTGCCATTGTCATTGTCGCCGTCGAAATCAATGTTGTTGCTGCTGTCTCGATCTGATGTGGGCGAGCCTATGGAATCCTCAAGTATTGTCCTAAGCCGTTTTGGCATTGGCTGCTGCATGGGGTTTTGGGTGAAGAGGCTGGCTGGCCAAAGACATTTACGCTGTTTGTTTGGCCATCCACGGCCGCAATTTCGTAATATCTGAGATTATCGGAAGCGACAGCTTGCGCTCAAGGGCATCGTGCACTTGCTGGATTGGACTGTGGTGGCTTTGCTGCAGGATGTGTGATTCTGATGCACGCCGGAAAATGTGCTGAAAATCGGCCTTTTCAAGGTCAAATCGCCTAATCGACATCTAAATAACAGATTTACATGCAACAATATGACGAAATATTCCGTTTGCCCAAATGTGGCCAGAAGATAAAACAGATAAAAAAGAAGGAGTGAATATGTTAGCGATTGAATCCAGCTGCTTAGGTGCCAATAAAAAAAATAAAAACTAAAACAAAATATCCTTTTTTCATTCTTCTATCGTTCTATCGTATATTTTTTTTATGTATTACATACATGAGTGGCATAATGGATATTTGGAAATTAAAAAGATGAGGACACTGGCCAATGGCAATTTCCAAAAGAATGAGAATATACAGAATAGTGAATAGTGAATAGTGGACTTGATATTATTATTATTATTATTATGTCTAATGAGTTTTCTTTTGCGGCGCTAGGAGGCTGAAAGGAAAAGCACAGGATATTTAGGGAACATTCGGCTTTTTCACTCGCTCTCGCTCTCATCACTCTTCCTTTTGGCAGAAAAAAATTGGCTTGTTCATTTTTTTGTTTGAAGTTGCGGGCGAATATCAGAAAATACACAAAATATAAATTGGTATCTTGCAAGTATTACATTGTATAACATTAATTTTTCATCCATCGAGGGATGACTACCACAGTTTGCCATTTGCCAGTTTGTCATTTGCCAATTACGAAAGGAACATTATTATATCGGGAATACTCAAACACAAGCAAAAAATTAAGGGGAGGGGAGAGGGGGAGAAGTAGAATAATAATAATAATAATAATAAAAATAGGGGTCACTCATGAGCAAGCAATATGAGATAATAAACAGTCTTTTTTAATATTTTCTGTTACCTTATACTGGAGCCCAATAAAGTCTTTGAAACAAAAGTTCCGACCAGGTCACAGCGAGCGCGGTTTGCTTCATCAGGGTGGATGTAATCGAACAACGATTGGTTTGTCATTGACGATGCCTGTTCGGAGCCCAGAAACGAGTGGAGTGAGGCCGATACAAAGACAAAGTTCAGGCCTTCTCCGTGGAGTACAGACCAAAAACATGGGTGGGAGCTGTGCCTTGATTGTAGTGCGGCGTCCATCGACGTATTGTGCGCGCAGATGGAGCGTTCTGTGTGCCGTCTAAAGAGCGTTTCTTCCCATTCACAGTCATTGCTGTTTAGTTGGAGCAAGTTGTACAGACAATAAAAAAAATTAAGAAAAAAGAAAGAGAGGAATGCAAATGTATAAACAGAAAAGGAAGGAAATAAAGTAGAGAAACGGGGGGAGAATAGTGAGGTAGAAGAGGGGAGAGGGAGGGGGCGATGGGCGGCAAAGAATCGTTTATGGTGGTTGTGGTACAGCAGTCCGACCTGTCTAATTTTTCTGTATCTGCGGTGTTCCTGGGTGAATTCGGGCTGGCTGGCTGGCTGGCAAGCTGCCTTTAAGAAAAAAGAAATAAAAAGGACTTATATTTTCCGAGCTAAGGAACTTTCTACTTTTTTTGTATCAACCCAAAAAAGAAAACGAAAGCAAGTGACAAAATATCCCTGTAGCTTTATACACTTTTTTATGTCAAACCCAAAAAGCGTCGAAATACAAGATTTAGGAAAAAATAAAGACAAAAAAGTGAATTCCAAAAGAAAAAGGAGACCAAAAATCGAACCAAATTTGCTTAGCCGCCTGATGTTCTTGATGCTCATCGTCAGTCGACGAAACAATAAAAAACCTGAATTTCAAAATCGGTTGAGAGTTAGCATACACACACACATTCCCTCTCTATTTTTGTGGGTGGGTGGCTCAATATCAAAAGATCATGCGCATAAAGATTGAGGATTGAAGGAGATCCTCGCGCCCAGCACGTGCTATCGGCAACATGATAAATTAGTGTACAATATACAATAGTAGCTGTAGATGGAAAACAATTTAAATAGTCTGCTAGCGCGAATGTGAAATCCAACAATAGAGGAACGTTGTTGCGCGCCTGTGGTGAGACATTTTTGACAGCGCATGGTTAGTCTATTTTTTTGGCTAATGTTTGGCATTGGCACCCAAAAAAAGCGTGGTTTGTTGGGTTTTTTTACAGAGTATTTATCAAATTCGTCGTCGCTATCGAAAATGAGGATGTTTGGGGAGGAGGCTGGGAGGATAGCTAAAAAAGCAGAAAAACGAATGGAAGCAATGGCCATCGCAACAGTAAATTATTGGAGTCTGTGAGAGCGCCATTCCTCATACGCCTTCGTGTTTTATTTTATTTTTCTCCGCCCTGTTTCTTTGCCAGATAAGTAAACAGGGTTGCACCAAAATAGTAGGTGTTTTTTGGACATGCGAAATATAAAAGCTTAGCACAAGTAAAGGCGAAAATACAATGCAGTAGCAATAGTGCGTGTTTGAAGCACTACTAGATGGACGAAGCAAAAAGAGGAGGAAAGATGATATATAGAGTATTAACGCAAATAAAGGAAAGTGGAAAAATACGCAGGATCGCAGACGGAAGGGGTTGAAGAGTGGGTTTAGTTGTGGGGCGGGTGTGGCAGCGCTACGGAATGGCCCAGGTTGCGGGGCTCGCGCAAGGAAGAGTAAATGGAGTCAGAATACAAGGCAATCAGCCTCATGGCCCTGTCGCGCGACGCATCGAGCTGGCGCTGCGACAGGCTCAGCTGCGCGGCAGCCAAGCAGGCGGCCATGCGCTTCGCCGCTGTGGCGTGCAGCCGGGCCAGAAGCGCATCGGTGCGCTCGGCTGCGGTCATTGCTGCCACCGCAGCCATTGGCCGGTGCACCACGGCCCACGTCTGGCCGCAGCCAAGGTCGAGCGTGTGCAGCCGATGGCGCATCTCAACGAGATCGGCAGCGACAGTGCGCAGCGGGTTGCCACGCACCACAATGTGCTCAAGCTGCGGTAGCCGCGCCAGCCAGCCAGGCACCGCGGAAATCCAGTTGTGCGACATGTCCAGGCGCCGCAGCCCACGGCACCGCTGCAGCTCGGTCGGGATGGCACAGAGGCCGATGTTGACCAGCGCCAGTGTGTGCAGCCCAGTGGCGCGCGCTAGCGCCGCGTGGAACCGCAGCGTGAACTGCGGGATGCGCGCGCTGGCCCAGCCCACGGTGGAGCGGCCGTCGCAGTGCAGCGCCAGCCGCCCGACACATTCAATGTGAATATGCTGGGCAATGCTGGCCGGCAGCCGCGGCACGATGCGCAGGTCGCGCAGCCGCAGCGCGTCGAGCGGCAGGATCGCCGGCCGCAGAACAGGTGCTGCGGCGGCATTGGCGTCGGCCGCCTTGGCGCAGCCGTCGTCGCACGCCAGCAGCAGCAGCGTCTCAGTGGACTTTGAGTTTCTGTCGTACGCGTCGCTGTCCAGCTGGCCCAGCTGCTGCTGCTGCTGCTGCGGCGAGGCAGCCTTGAACAGCGTGCGCGGCAGTACGCGGCGCTTGCGCATGCGGCGGCGGTGCGGCTGCATCGCCTGCTCTCCGTCGCTGCTCGACGGGTTCATCAGCAACCAGTCGCTATTCTGCGTCTGCGTCAGCGTCGAGCCCTCAAAGTCAATCTGGTCCGAGATGTACGGCGACATCGGCTCGGCCTCCGACTGCCGCCGCGAGTGCGCCAGCATGTGCAGCGGCACCAGCGCGCTGCCGCCGTCGCCGTGCACGGGGCTGCTGGGGTCCAGCATACTCAGCATGCCGCGCGGCTCTTGCACCGCAAAGCGCGAGCTCTCGGGCGACCCCAGCCGGATCTCGTCGGCGCTGCGTGTGATCATGGCCGGCGCCGCCGTGTTCGCGCGCTGCCTCAGCGATGGCGCCGCCGCGGGCTTACTGTCAAAGTCAAAGTGCGCGCTGCAGCTGGACGGAAACCCGGACGCGACGTTGAGTGCGCCGAGCTCGTCGTCGCTGGCATCGTCCAGATCCGACGCCAGCGGCGACCCGTCGTTGGGCCAGAACGACTCGGACTCGGCACTGCGGATCTGGAAGTCAAACGACTGCTGCGACGCGCTGTTCGCGTCGTACTCGCCCGAGTACTGCGAGTGGTTCGACGCGTTGCGCTGGTGCCCGGACTGCTGCCCGGACTCGGCCATCAGCGTGGCGTCCGACGCCGCCGACAGCCCCCACGTGCCCGACGACGTCACCGAGTTTGTGCGGCCGCGCCGCGGCCGATGCACTGATGACCGCCGCCGCCGCTCCGACGCCTTGGCCGCCGTCTTGCTCAGGCTGCTGACGATGTACGGGCTCAGCCCAGCCAGCTGCATCCCGTTCGAGTTGCGGCGCTGGTCCTCAAGCGACGAAAACGAGCACTCCGATACCTTGCGCGCCGATGCGCCCGACGCCGCAGTTGCCAGCGCCGGCGCAGGCGGCTTGAGGCTGGGCCCGAGCGCCGAGTTCACCGGCAGCTGCAGGCTGTGCTGTGGCCGCGGTCGCGTGCCCATGTGCAGCGGCGCCGGCGCCTTGCGCTGCAACCCGCTCTGCCGCTGCGCCTGCGCCAGCGCCAGCGGCAGCGACGCCTCGGAGGACGACGCCGAGAGTGTCGGCGTCGTGATGCGCACCAGCGACTCGGACGACTCTGTGTAGCTGGCGCCGCGCCGCATCGTCAGTAGGTGCTCGCTGGACTTTGACACGTGCGTCTGTGCCCGCGCCCGCGCCGCTCCGTTGGGCGTGGGCGGCCGGCCGGCCGAGTTCGGCGGGTTGTGGCGCCGCGTAATGGCACCGGGCGCCTCAGACGCCACGCCGCTGATGACCGAGCTGCTGACCAGCGCCGCCGGCGGGCACATGTCCGTCGTCACGACCACAAACTCGTCTGCCGGCGGCTTGACCACCGTCGGCTCGCTGACCGCCGGCGGAAACGACAGCGTCTTGGCTGCCGGCCCCGATCGCAGCCTCCGGAACGGTCCGGTCGAGTTGTGCAAGACCGACTCCAGCTTGGACCTCCGCGACGCCATCGGCGACATCCCGGGCGACGTTGGCACTATCTGCGGCGGCGAGCCTAGCAGCTCCTGCAGGCACTCCTCGGAGAAAAGCGGTGACACCACCGGGTACTCGATGCCTGTGTTCCACCCGCCGTCCGACGTGTCCAACGGTGCCAGCGGCGGCGAGAAACTGTCGCCGCTGGTGCTGTTCCGCTTGGTATGCGCGCGCGTTCGGAACAAGGATCCCAGTGCCGCCGCCTTCGAGTTGACCCGCGGCCGCTTGTGGTACCCAAAAGGGTTGCTTCCCGGAAGCGCCAGAGACGTCGCCATCGTTGTCGACGGCGTGTCAGCATCGGCAAGCTCACCAATGATGTCGACGGCTGGTACGGTACCGCGTTCATCGACCGCGATGTGTCTGGTTTAATACGTTGCATTGTGTTGATTTTTTATAACGTGCGCGCGGTCCTTTTTGTTTCCCCTCCCTCGGTGTGACAGAGCTGCTGCCTGTGTTATTATGCAAATAAAATAAAATACGAGTGATAAAGGAAATGCCTTTCGTTAAATAAAAAAATTCGTCCTCCACACTCCTTGGCCGTGAGGTTAAAAAAATAAAGAAAAGGTATTTTGAATCCCGAGGCCGCGGTCAATGCAAAGAGCACAGATAATAACAAAATAAAATAAAAATAAAAAATTTATACACAAAGAAAGAAAGAAAGAAAGCAACGAGAAAAGCCGTTACAGAAGCGATAATTTAAAGAGGCACCCGTGCAAATAAGGAAAAGAAAATCGAGGAACAAGAAGAAAAGAAGAAAAAACTTTGAGCGAAAAATTAAGATATTTTTTAATGTAGTTGTTTATCGACGCTGCTTCATGTAAGGGGTCCACAACACGAAAATAACACCCTATGCAAAATAAAAATAATGTTTTACGGCTGTTTTGCACTATTCCACAAGTCGTACGGAAAATAATAGGAAAAAAGAGAAAGGTTATGAAATAATGAATAGAAGAAATAATAAAAACAGACACGGCCTGCAGTTTTACCAGGTCGAGTGTTGGTCAGCAGGACTAATATTAATATTGGTTTGGTACTTTTTTGGCAATGTTTTTTTGGGTCCTATGCGAGCTGGCTTTCTTCTTCTTTTAAAAAGAATAGAGAAGGTAAAAAAATTAATGATAATGATAATGATGTAAATAGAATTAGGAACAAAGCGTGCTTAAAAGGGGGATGCTGCTGTTGCTATTGTAGTGTGCGCAAGTGAGAGAGCGTTTGTATTATGTAGAATTAAAAAGATAGAAAATGCCTAGCTGATATTTATTTTTGGTGAAAAACAAATGGATAGTTTAATCAAAACTACAACAGATAAAAAAGTGTTAAATGAATAATAAAGGTAATTAAAAATATATAAGAGCTGAAAAGAGAGGGAGACGAGGGAATCTGCGTATCTCAAAAGGGGAGAAAAGAAGTCAACAATAAGAAAATTCAATTTCATGAATCCAAGTGAACCATTTTATTTCTTTCAAAGTATATGCAAATGCGCTGGGTTGGGTGGGGGGGGGAGGAAACGCTGATAAAATGTCGTCGACTTTTCTCCCCACTGGCTTGCCCGCAATTTTGTAATGTCAATTCGATTCTCTTTCTTTTCCAATCACTTGTCTTTGCAGCAGCGGTTGCCCAAAAGGAACAGAGAAAGAAAAATGCCAATTTGGGGGCAACGTGCGCTTTCTTTCTCTCTTTCAGCCAAAGGAAACAAAACAAAAAAATGAGACGGATAAGCATCATCATCATTTTTATTTTATTCTTTTGTGAAGCCGTAAATAGCTTTGTGCGTAAATCAAGCGGAAAACCTGTTTGCCCCGCACTACACTTGACAGTGCTTTAAAAGCCCGCCTGAATCACCAGTCTCGGCGATTGGCTGTCACCAGCTTGCGTAAACAATCGCTGTGGCACAAATGCTATTTTGACACAGCTCGCTCATTTTTCCTTATCAATCTCACCAGTCATTTAGAGCTCCCTAAAGGGGGAATGTCGGATATACACAATTAAATTCAATTGAGAATTCGCATTTTAAATTGTAATAATAAATGGAAGGGGGACAGGGGAGAGGGGGGAGCAAAGGGACGAGCGCAATGTTGAAACAGAAATAAACCGTCCCGGCGTCGAGCTGCATGAAAAAAGGATACGCCAGATGAGCAAAAGACGTCGTAGCCAATGCCGCTTTTGCACAACGACACGAAATGGATAACCTCACAATTCAGCTAAATGAATTATTCCAACAACAGAAACAAAGAATAAAAAAGGCCAGTGTGAAAGAGGAGCGGAAAAACACCTCCCCAAATATAGACTCAAAAAATGAAAATGAAAATAAAATTTAAAATTAGAAATATCCAAATAAGGAAACCGACATGCGCGCTCCGGGGACCACAAGATTCCATCACTCAGTCTGCAGTGGCAATCTCAATCAAAGTGGTCTTGGGTAATGACGAGATCGCGCAGCGAAGAGTCGCCGACAATGCGCAGATTGCGCTCATTGGCCAGATGCAGCAGGCAGATGAAGCAATACGAGATGGACAGCTCTTCGAGCTTCTCACGCGGATAAACGTTCTTTAGGTTGCTAACAATCTCGCTGAACCGCTGGTCGCTCTCCAGCTTGACCTCATCGCCATCACTCAGAAGCATGGCCGCGTCATCCGCAGCCATGGACTTGCGTCGATCGCCGGCCGCCATCTCGCGCCAGATATTGTCCTTGAGCTTCTTGACGTTGACCCGCTTGGCCCGCCGCGCGTAGTTGACGTACAGGGGCTTGATCAGCTTGAGCAGTGGAATATCGGGCTTGTTGTCCGCGCTGCCCACAGACTCTTGGAGCGGCAGAACATCGTCGTCATAGTCATCGACATCGTCAAACCCGACGTGCCCGTCATCCATGCCTCCGAGCGGCCCGTCGTCGTTCATTGCGCCAAATATATTGCCGCTGTCGTCCCCGTCCACGACAAAGCCACCATAGCTGTCGCCACCGCTGCCTTGGGTGCCTTCTGCGTAGCCACTACCAGCACTGCTGGCTGCAGCAATGGCCGCCATAGCGCGCATGCGCCGGGGGTTGAACTTGAGTCTGGGCTTGAGTATCAGGTTGAACAGGTTCTTCGACGTAAAGTGCACGTCCTCCGGGAGCGTGTGCTCCTGATTCATCGCCGCCTTCTTGCTCATTGTGATACCGAGGCCCTGGCAGGCTTAACAAACAGCATCTCAGCGCTGACATCAGAACTGTTCATAAAGTCCGTAAAATACGCCTGCTTCTCGACCCTCTTGCGCTTGCTGGCCTCTGCATCCTCGGCCCTGTCTAGCTCGCCGTCCTTGCCGGCGACATGCTGCGGGTGCATCTGCTTGTGCATAGCCGCGCGCGAGATCGGCAGACGCCAGTGTTCGGGCCCGGCCCAGCTCTTGGACAGCTTGGAGTCAAAATACGACAGCAGGTTGTCCTCGTCATCGGCGACTGCCAGCGCGAGCTGCCCCGCCTCATGCAGAATTGCCTGCAGATCGCCCTGCTTCTGCTGGTGCAGTTCCTCGGTTTCCCTGAGCTCGGCCATCTGCAGCGTAGACGCGGTCTCCAGCGGCATGGGCCCCGAGTCAGTCTCATCAAAGTTCAGGAAGTGGCCCATGTCGTCGCCATCGTCACCAAATCCGCCATGGTGGTGGTCGTCGCAGCCATGTCTCCATTGGTGCTGCCCGCGGTCTCCGAGCCCATGGTTGCACTCAGGTGCTGCTGCCATCCTCGTCATCCCTAAAGTGCTCCTTGAGCAGTGAAAAATCGAGCGACGTGTCGCGCGTAAACTCAAAGTCGGCCAGCGACGGGCAGATCTCGGCCTCGTCCAAATGCAGCATGATGTTGTCAAACACATCGTCCATGCTGGAAATGTCGATCAGCGACGCCTTGTGCCTGCTGCTGCTGCCCACCGGCGCTGCCACGCGACGAGCGCGCTTGGGCACTCCCTCCATGTCACGTCCTCGGCGTCCCCTTCAAGCTCGTCCATGACGTCTTCCATCGCCTCGTCATCGTTCTCGGCCAGGGTCTTGGAGTCACTGGCGTCAAAGACAATCTTGCCATCGGCGTCGAACGCCAAGTGATTCAACAGCAGGCCACGCGCGCCGCCCTCGTCAAAATCAGCCGACGTCTTCTTGAACAGTGGATCGACGGAGAACTCCAGTCCAGCTTCTTCACACTGATACTGGCAAAGTCCTTGGCAAGTGTTTTGGAAGACCGTGCTGCGCGACGAGACTTTTGCTTGCCTGACGACTCCTCCTCGTCGCCGTCCTCACCGTCTTCATTGCCCTCATCTCGGCGACCCGAGCGCTTCCCGGGTGCGTCAGCCAGCCCACTGAGCAGCCGACCAGTCTCCGAGGCCACCGAGTCCACACGCGACGAGTAGATCTTCACACACCCATCGAGCGTGCACGACGCCTTCTGGAAGTTGATCGAGTCACCGTCGCGCAGCAGGCTCATGTCGTAGAAGTAGTCGATAAGTGCAAAATCCCACGTGTTGTTCGCGTTAATCTTATTGTCCGCCGCAATCTTCATCCACTCCTCGTACCGCTGGTTCAGCTCTTCGGGTGACAGACGCGGGAGCTGCACGGCAAAGGGCCCGGGGGACGTAAGCTGCGGGCTCTGGTTGAACAGCGGTACCTTTGTTGTCAGTCGGTGCGGCGTTACAAGGTTAGACCGGCGCCGCTCAATGGCTGACTTGCGGCGCCGGCGGCGTTCGGCCGCATCGTCATTGACTCGCGGGGTTTGGGGAGTCCCGACACTCTGGGGCGACGTGATCTCGGGCCTCCCGTTCGATTGTTTGGGAGTGAACATTCTTCTGTTCAATCGCTGCTTTCAAATAAAAATAATAAAACTGGAATAAACGAAAGAAAGAAGGAATTAGCAAAAAAAGCCAATGAATCGCAAAAATAATTGAATTTATTGCAAAAGTTCATTTCGCGCCAACTTTTAAAAGTAAACAAAATCAGGTGATTATATACCGGCTCGCCATTACCGCGGCTCAATCGAGTCGAATCAACTGACTAAATGCAAAAGAGCCAATGGGCTGATGCCAAACGTCCCTAGCAGTCCACACATTCATGGAAATGACCACACTGAAAAATGCCAGATTGCGTTGGCTGAGCCTGAATGCTCGGATACATTTCAAGCTGTGACACTTTCGCTTGTGCTTGTCGCTCTGTGAATTCCATCAGGCAACACATCTCAAAAAGAAACTCTCTTTTTATACATTTCCCCACTTGCCCATCTGGTAACCAGTTTGCCTTTCTCTTTCCTTTTTTTGTCCCGTCTACTTTGTTGAACGCTCGGCTTTTCTTTTTTCTTTTTCTTTTTCGGCATTTATAATAACAGATAATAATTTAAACTCTTAGATTCGAGAGGCAGAAATGAGCAACTATCCACCGCCTCCGCCGCAAATGGGCGCGCCGCGTCCTCCAATCCCCGCCAATGGACCACCTGCTCCCGGGGGCTACCACCAGCAGCAGCAGCAGCCACCGCAGCAGCCGCAGCAGTTTGCGCCGGGTCAAAGACCGCCGCCACCCCCTGGCTCTCAACCAATGCCTGCTCAGGGCTGGCGGCCACCTGTTGCGGGTGGTGCCATTGGCGTTCAGCAGCCTGGCTTTTTGCCAGCAGGCGGCGCACCTCCCCAATACAGACCACTTCCTCCTCAACAACAGCAGCAGCTGCCACCACAACAGCAACTGCAGAGACAGCAGCCACAGCAGCCACAACCAGGGATGCAGCCTCCCCAGATGCAAGTGAGGCCCCAACAGCTCCCGCCCATGGCTGGCGGCATTCCACCTATGCAGCAGTACCAACAGCCCATGCAGCAACCACAGCCCCAGCAACAGCGTCCATCCTACTTGCCACCGCAGTCACAAACGCCGGTGGGCATGACATCGCTCACCCAGCAGATGGGTGGCATGAGCATGGCACATCCTCAGCAGCAGCCAGGCATGCAGTCCCCGCCATTGGGAGCGCAAAAGCAGCAGCAGCGGACAAGGCGGGCATACGCGGCGGCCAGTCCCGTCCAGAACGCGGCCCCAATGAGTGTGACCGGCTACCCGCCCATGAACAGCGGCGCCCAGCAGCAAGGATACCCGCCCGCTTCCGGCGCGCCCATCTCAGGCCCGCAGACCTTTGTCCCTGGAGCTCAGGCCCCTGCGCCTGTGCCCGCGCCCGGCTCCCCCTATGGGCGCAGCCCAGGAGGCACAGCTCTGATGCAGAACCCCGGCCAAGCACACTACCAGCAGCAGCAGCCGCCACAGCAGATGGGGCAGCAGGCGCCCTATGAGCCACCAAAGCCGCGCATCGACCCGAGCCAACTGCCGTCGCCGATCGCAGTGCACACGCGGGACCAGGAAGTCTACACGAACGAGCCGTACTCGACGGCGAACAAAACGTACGTACCCATAGTCAGCACCGAGTACACCGCCGTCGACGAGGGCAACAGCAACCCGCGCTTTGTGCGCTTGACCATGAATAACATCCCAAAGACTGCTGAGCTGCTCAAGTCGTCGCACCTGCCGATGGGCATGATTGTGCAGCCGCTAGCGGACTTGGCGCCGTCCGAGGATCCGGTCAAACTCATTGACTTTGGAGAGGAGGGCCCCATCCGCTGCCTGCGCTGCAAGACATATATCAACCCGCATATGGTGTTCATTAACGGTGGTAAGAGCTTTGTGTGCAATATGTGCCGCCACGAGAATGACGTGCCCGACGACTACTTCTGCAACCTCGACATGATGGGCAGGCGGCTGGACCGTGAGATGCGCCCGGAGCTGCGCAACGGCACTGTGGAGTTTGTTGCGACCAAGGACTTTATCACCCGTGCACCCACACCGGCGTCCTTTGTGTTTGCCATCGACGTGACGTGGAATGCCGTCCAGAGCGGCATGGTTGCCCAAGCTGCCGCCGCACTAAAGTCGGCGCTATACAGCGGGTTGGGGCTCCCGGTTGGCACCAAGGTCGGCATCATCACGTTTGACCGCAGCGCGCACTTTTACAGCCTGTCGCCACTGCTCGACCAGGCGCAGATGATGGTTGTGCCTGACATCCAGGACATGTTTGTGCCGATCCACGAGGGCTTTGTCGTCGACCCGCTCGAGTCGCGGCATATTATCGAGCCCCTTTTGGACGCGCTGCCCATCATGTTGCCAAAAACCACACCGCTGAGCCCGTGCTTGGTGCCGTTGTTCAGGCAGCCCACGAGGCCCTGCGCGCACGCGGCGGTAAGCTGTTTGTGTTCCAGACGGCGCTGCCAACCTTTGGCCCCGGCAGCCTTAAGCAGCGCGACGACGCCAAGCTGCATAACACGGACAAGGAGAAGGCGCTGTACGAGCCCCAGGACTCGTTCTACCGCGACTGGGCGGTCAAGTTGGTTGAGGAAGGCATCAGCTGCAGCCTGTACCTGTTCCCGCCGCCTACATGGATACGGCGACCCTCAGCCAGCTGTCGACCATCACAGGCGGCGAGCTGTACTCGTACCCCGCCTTTGAGGGCGGCCGCGACGGCCAGCGTCTTGTGGCTGACCTGCGCGCCGACGTCAACCGCACATACGGCAGCAGCGCAGTCCTGCGCATCCGCACATCCGATGGCCTGCGCGTTGACGAGCACTACGGAAACCTGTTTATGCGCAATCATGTCGACGTTGAGCTTGCTGGCGTTACCAGTGACACTGCTATTGGTGCGCTGCTGCAGCACGATGGCAAGCTCGATGAGAATCAGGACGTGTACTTCCAGGCGGCCCTGCTGTACACAACTTCTGACGGCCAGCGCCGCATCCGTGTCCACAACCTGGCTATCCCGTGCACGACGCTGATCGGAAACCTGTTCAAGTTTTCGGACGTCGACACCAGTATGAACCTGGTGGCCAAGGTGGCTGTGACCGAGGCGCTGACTACGCCTCTGCGCAGTATCCGCGAAAGCTGACCGACCAGTGCGTGCAGATCCACACGGCGTATCGCCGCAACTGCGCCACGCACAACTCGCCCGCGCAGCTCATCCTGTCGGAGAGCTACAAGCTGTCGCCACTGTACACACTGTCGCTGTTGAAGAGCCCGGCTATCCGCAGTGGCGCCGACGTGCCCGTGGACCAGCGCATCTACCACATGTGCCTGCTGCGCCAGTTCTCCGTGCGCAAGTCACTCGACTACCTGTACCCGACCATTGCGCCCCTGCACGCGCTGTCGGACGCTGAGGGCGCGACAGACGAGGCAACTGGCAAATTTGTGCTGCCAGCCCTTGTGCGTGCATCGTACCCGATGCTCGATCCTGCTGGTGCCTACTTGCTCGCCAGCGGCGGGTCTTTGGTTCTTTGGCTTGGCCGCCAGGTGTCACCATCGTTTGTGCAGGACGTTCTTGGCGTGTCATCGCTCGAGGCGGTCGATATCAACGCGCATGAATTGCCCAGCTGTCGACAGCCCTGAGTCAGAAGGTGCGCGCCATTGCTGAGAGGCTGGTGCCTGCTCGCGCCGGATACGCCAACGTGCAGATTGCTCGCCAGGGCATGGATCGCGCCGAGGTTCCATTTGCGTTGATGCTGGTCGAGGACCGCAATAACGACAACATGTCGTATGTCGATTTCTTGTGCGCGATCCACCGCCAGATTCAGATTGAAACTCGCCCCAAGGAGAACCGCCAGGAACAGCCGAAGTGGTCGTACAACAACTGAAATGAAAGAAGTTATTTGCTCGCGCTTTGATACGGGCATTTATCGCAGGTTTATCTCATCTATTTAATATATCTTACTTTTAATTGCTCTGGCCTTTACTGCCTTCTGTGTGTGAGCTGAATGCGTGCCAGCCGGCTGACACTGCATGTGACGAACAGCTCCTTCCAGAACAATCTGGGAAAGAGGACTTTGTCACAAGCGAACAAACAAACGAGAGAGCGAGCGAGCGATTGAGTATATAAGCACAACCGGCGCGGTACATTTTTTAAATTTTGTCCTTGTCGTTTTGCGATTTCTATTTGGCTTATAGCAACATCCCTTCTTAACTTTTCTGTGATTCTGATACATCGTACTTGAACTCCCAGTATTAACGCATTTTTACTGTCAAGTATCTTTTCTTTTTTGTTTACTTTCTCGACATATTTAATTGCGAGCTACTTGTATTACTCTATAATATAATATTATTGCGTGCTGTAAAAAAACTGTCCTTGTTTTCGCTACTCAAAAGCAAACATTTGGCTATTTAAAGGTACCAATTTTTTATTATATTTTGCTTTAATAACTTATTATTGTGTCTCCTGTAAAAATTATATTTTATCATTGAGAAATGCGCGTTCTAACGAGACCATTGCTTGGTTTGGTTGTGATGGCGACTATCGGCGTCATTTGCGGTGCCGACGAAGCGGCAAAGCAACTCAAGCCGTTGGACTTGCGCCTGTTCCACTCGCTGCGGCGCATAACCTCCGCGCCTGTCGTGTCCTCGGACCAGAGCCGTGCTCTGTACACAACTAGCCGCTACAACCAGGACTTGAACAAGGAGTTCAGTTACCTGTGCCTGCTGGACATTGCGACAGGGAATCGCACGCAGCTGACACCCGAATCAGCCAACGGCGACGCATCAGCAATCCTCTTTGGCTTGGCCAAGACACCGCTGGTTATCTGACTGGCGGGTCGCTTTACCAGCACTCGCTTGTGGCTGAATCAAATGGAACTCTAGTGTACAATGCCACTGTTAATATTGCCAGCGCAGTTTACCGCCCAGCCACTAGCACGCTATTTTTTACCGCCAACGTATACCCTGATGGGAGAATCTCAAATGTGCATGAGAACCAGGTAACGGCCAAGAACCGGACGGACTCAGCGCAGGTGTTTGACAATCTGTGGGCTAGGCATTGGAACAAGTGGATGACGCCGGTAAAGACCAATCTGTTTGCTGTGCCCGTAAACAACAAGGGTCCCACGGTCTCTGTTGCTGGTGTGGGGACCGAAAGCAACCTGATGCGTAACCTGACCGAGTTTAAGGACCCTCTGCTCCGTTGGGATGTCGATGGCTACACTGTGTCGAACGACGGCAAATACGTGGCATTTGTCGTGCGCAACCCAAGCCTCGAAATGGTGTGGTCGACGAATGTGGATATTTACGTGGTGCCTGCCGACGGCAGCTCTGCGCCCAAGCTGATCACGGGCGATTTCAAGGGTGCAGCAAGCGGGCCAGCATTCTCGCCTGACAACAACTCGCTGGCGTGGCTGCAGATGGAGAGCCCAGGTTACGAATCCGACATCAATCGCATTCTTATCTATAATTTGAGCACCACGAGCATCAGGTCCATTGCACGGGACTGGAACATGTCACCACAGTCCATAATGTGGTCTGCGGACAGTCAGAAGCTCTTTGTTCTGACTCCCGAGCATGGTGATCGCAGGATCGTCTCCATGGACGTCAGTACGGGATCACGCAGCAACATCTCTGGCTATGGGTATGTGTCAAGCGTCGTCAGGCTTGGAAGCAACAAGCTTTTAGCCATTTATTCGAACGTCACGGATACGTCCAACATCTATATGCTAAATATTGGCGGCGGGAGTGGTGAGAACCAAACTACCGCCACTGCTGCTGCTGCTGCCATGCGCCAGATCACCGACGTCAATGGAGATTTGCTGCAAGGAGTGTACATCAGCTCTGCCGAAGACTTTTGGTTCACCGGCGCCCTCAACGAGAAAGTGCACGGCTGGCTGCTTCGTCCACATGGTTTTGACCCGGCCCGAAAGTATCCAATGGCGTTGTTGATCCACGGTGGTCCACAGCAAGCATCGACCCACTCATTCGGGGTCAGCCAGTGGAACCCCAACATGTATGCCAGTGCCGGCTTTGTCACCGTTGTTATCAACTTCCACGGCTCGCAGGGCTACGGCCAGAACTTCACAGACTCCATCAAGGAGCAGTGGGGCGGCCATCCGTACATTGATTTGATGAAGGGCGTCGACCACGTGCTGAAGAACTACGGGTTCGTTGATTCCACACGGCTGGTGGCACTGGAGGATCGTACGGCGGGTACATGGTCAACTGGCTGAACGGAAACACCGACCGCTTCTCGGCTATGGTCGCCCACGACGGGATGTTCAACACTGTTTCAAATACTACACCACCGACGAGCTGTGGTTTGTCGAGCGCGATGTCGGCGGCGTGCCTTTCACGCGCGACGGACGGCCAAAGTATGAGCTTTTTAATCCCGAGCGTCTAGCTAGCCAGTTCAAAACTCCAACGCTGTTTGTACATGGTGCCAACGACTTTAGGCTGACGCTGGAGCAGTCACTGGCGCCCTGGACGTTGCTGCGCCGTAAGGGCATTCCGGCCAGGCTGGTTTACTTTAACGACGAGGATCACTGGATCAACAAACCCGCAAACTCAATCCGCTGGTACAAGGAAGTACTGGACTGGATCACGCAATGGACCCGAGTTTGAGAAGAAAAAATTCGATTGGGAGCGTTCTCGACACGTGCTACACATTTTCAATATAGTAATAATGGTCACATTCCTCCATTGTTGGGGTTTTTTGTCGCATGCCCTGTGGCTTTGACAAAGAGTGCACAAAGAAAGGTCTTTGACGTCGTATATCGCCAACTCTCTATTTTTTCTACTTTTTTCTTTTTTCCTTTCATTACTTGAATTTCATACTTTACTTTTTTATTTCGCTTTTTACTACTTTTTCGCTATCTATTACCAAGCCACACAACCCGGGATTTGCCCTCATTATCTTCGTTCACACCAAACACCAGTTTGCATTTCACGCAATTAGCACGACCGTTAGACCAGACACACACACATAGCCAGACACACGCACGCGCGCGCACATATTTTTTACAGCTTTTTTCACAGCAATGTTTGAGGACGCTACATTTTCAGAGTTTTGGACGACTTGGCCAGGTACGTCATTTGAATTCTTCAATTTGCTTTTTCTTTCACTCTCACTCACTCCCACTCGACTTTAAGCAACAAAGGAAGACGCAGCGGAGGGAATTCCAATTCGCGCAAAGAAATTTGAACTGCGCGCTTGCCTTTGTACAAAGAGACGCACCATACTCTTTTCTACGGGAAAATGATTTTTTTCGTGTTACATCTCAGCGCTAATAATTTCCTGTTTCTTTGCGGAGTCTTTATAGCCGGTTTATTATCAATGTCCCGAGGAGGAACTGCAAGAAATCGAAAGAATCTGTTTCCAGATTGAGCAGGCGCACTGGTTCTACGAGGATTTTGTTCGCGAAAAGAACCGCTCAATGCCCTCCATGTCGCTAAAGACCTTGCTGCACGCATGTTCAAACACTGTCCGCTACTTTCACAATGGGCCCACGACGCAGAAGCAGCCTACCAGACATTCCTCGACTACAAGTTCAAAGTGCCCGTATGCGGTGCAATCATTCTGAACCCAGAGCTAGACAAAGTGCTCTTGGTCAAGGGGTGGAGCTCGCGGTCGAGCTGGGGCTTTCCGCGCGGCAAAATCAACAAGGACGAACCCGAATGGCAATGCGCACAGCGCGAGGTCATTGAGGAGACGGGTTCGACATTTTGCCGTTTTTGGTCGAGAAGCAGAGGATTGAGCTCATGCAGGCGGACCAAAAAATATCTCTGTACATTATCACCGGAATCCCAGAAGAAACCGAGTTTCTCCCGATGGTGCGCAAGGAAATCAGTCAGATTCTGTGGCACAACATCGCCGACCTGCCCTGCAATAGCCGTCAGGATCGCGGCCCGACAAACTGCGCTGCGGGCAATATGCCGATCGCCAATGGGGTGCCCTCGGGGTCAAAGGGCGGTGCCGAGAAGGAGCACCGGTATTATTTGATCAAGCCGTTTGCCAAGCGGATCAAGGCGTGGGTGGCCAAGCACCCAGAAAAGATTGGAAAACCGGCGGTTGTCGTCAACAAAAGGGCCAGCCGCCAGCTTCTGCCGCCTCCAGAACACTGCGCCCCCCAGTGCCGTTGCCCCCGCCCGGCTACCACCGCCAGTCCCGCGCTTTTCGGCGGATCAGGTGCCATGTCCGTACAGGAGCTGTTCAAAACCGTCGGTCGGGCGAGATCGCCCGCAAGCAGCAGCCCGCTGAGCCAAACGCCTGCGCACCAGCAGCATCAATACCAGATGTCGCCCATGTTCGGATCGCCCTCGCCTGTGCCCCACGTGATGGGGGCACCCGAGAACAAGGCCGCATCCCTGCTCCAAACCTTGATGGGATCTGGTGGCAGAGCATCGCCAGCGCCAGTGCTAGCCAATGCCAATGGCGATTATGTCCAGGGTGGCGACAGCAGCAAGTTTGCGGCGCTGTCGAATCTGATGCGTCAGACCGGCATTTCATCTACCCCGTCGCCGCAGTTTCCGCAGGCAGGCGGCTGCTGGAGGAGGAGGATTTGTAAACTCGACGCCGCTCAGAGAATTCATGTTTGACACCCGGACTATCATGAACGAGTATTACGCGGGCAACTGAAGCGGGGTTAGAATAATACCACTACCACAACAAAGAGTGCAGTTCGCCCATGCATCTCTCGAAGCAGAGCTCTTTACAATACGAATCGGCCAAGGCCAATAGCTCTTCCTTTTTTATTCCTAGTTGGTACCGTTATGTTTGTGTCCTTATACAATTTAGATTGTCCCTTCTCCCAAGCTTCCTACAGTATAATTCGGCCACATTTTTACTTTAATTTTGGATTATCCAAAAATGAAATCGGAATTGGCTGCAGATGTTTCTGTAGAAAAAGGCAGGGTTTTCTAACCTTGGATAACATGCCAGAATGAAGTGCAGCAAAGTTCCACCATGCCAAAATGTCTATGGCTGACAAATTATTTGGCCATCAGCAACAAAGACAATAACACGCATCGCTATACATATATATATCTATCTATATGATGTACATAGTTATCTCAAAAGAAAGCCTCGCGCATTGTAAGAACATAATAAAGCAGAAATCCGCGTCGAACATGTCTGCAGCTTAGCTGATCATGCTTTTTTGTAATATCATTAACTGGACAGCCATTACAAAAAAATATGTAGAGCGCATTTTTTTGGCCAGCTTTGAAATATTATAATTGCACTTATTTGTTTCCCACTAAATTCAGCCGTCAAAAAATGATTATAATATCGGTAAATTAATCGCATTATTTATTCTGTATTACAGATGGCGTCCAAAGAGGTGTTATCCGCAATATGGCCCGACTATGGCGTGCTTTTTATGCGCTGTCCACAGCATATAAATATTACATGAGTTGGTGGGGAGGGGCTGGAGCACACATCGGTTCGACCTATCGTTGGCAGAGGCGATTGCGTGCTTGCAACAGATAGATGTAAACGACGATGGCAATGTGTCTCAGTCAATATGCTATACAAGGTGCACAAAAAAAAGAGCCTGGAGAAACACTGCAAAAATAAAGCTTTTCGATTGCGTGTGCAATTCCATATTGCTAATCTGTTGTCCAATCACATGTGCTGGGCAGTTGCAGTTTCAGATCGCTCAAGACAGTCAACAATGCGAGAAAAAATTATTTGTAATACACTACTGTCACCCCGAATTAAATGTGCTCATTCAGCTTTTTAAGTGTTCCTTGATGACAAAAAAATGAAGAGAAGGGAAATTCTTTCAATGGCAGAGTTACTCCGTCCAAGCACACTCTTTCCTGTTTGGGAAAGTACACGAAAAAGGAAAAGAAAGGGTCGAACAGGCAAGGTCTGGCTGATATAAAAGGGCTATTCCCTGGCAAACGATGTCCCAACCCTGACTGAGACAAACAATAGCCAAGCAATACATTTTTCAACCACATCTTTTCTCTCTTTTTTCGTTTATAGCAAGGATTCTTTTTTGATCTTGTCATTTTTTATATCTCTACTCTTCCGTTACTGCAACAAGTAGAAATAAATTTGTTTTTTACTGACAGTAGCGAAATCACACCAAAGCAATTTTAAGCGCCACTTTCCACTTTCCGCTTGCCTTTACATTTACTTACATCCAACTAGTCATATTTCCTATATTTCCTGGAAAAACACACCAAAAGCAGATACCGCGCCTGTGCCTGATATTCCTAAAATAGAATCACAAAAAAAACCACAGCCGGCTCTTCCTTACGTATTCGCTTTCTGGTACCGCAAAGTATAAAAAGCAACACTTTCTTGGCACACATTCACAACACTTTTGCTCTCCATTCATTTTTATCAAACACACATACATTCTCTCTAAGCACTAATCAGCAAATGTCTCCGGCCAACATCATCAACGGCACCGCCACTGACGCCAACGGTGTCCCGTCACTAATACCAAAAGGTTTGAAAGCGTGCACGGCGGCTCAATCTCATCCGCCGGATACGGATTCGGCACGCTGGCTATTCATGCCGGCTCCGCGCCTGATCCAGCGACGGGCGCCGTCATCCCGCCACTGTCACTGTCGACAACATTCAAGCAGCGTGCGGTAGGCGACTTTGTCTACGAGTACTCGCGCTCGGACAACCCTAACCGGTCGAGCCTTGAGACAGCTATCGCAGCGCTGGAGCACGCCAAGCATGGCTTTGCGTTTTCGTCGGGCTCAGCAACCACAGCGACCATTCTCAACACGTTGCAGCCAGGGTCGCACGTCATCAGCGTCAACGATGTGTACGGCGGCACCCACCGGTACCTGAACAAGGTTGCTGGAAGTCTGGGCGTCGAGACTACCTTTGTTGATCTGGAGAACGTGAACAACCTGCGCGATGTGATCCGCGAAAACACACGGCTAGTGTGGATCGAGACACCAACCAATCCGACATTGCGTCTTGTAGACATTGCCGCTGTATCAACATTGCTCATGAGGCCGGCCTATTTGTCGTTGTGGACAACACGTTCTTGTCGCCGTATTTCCAGACACCCCTGGACCTGGGAGCCGACATTGTCGTGCACTCGGCAACCAAGTACATCAATGGGCACTCGGACGTTGTCATGGGGTGGCTGCAACCAACAATGACGCACTGGCATCCAAGGTGCGCTTCCTGCAGAACGCTATTGGCGCTGTCCCCTCGCCTTTCGACTGTTACCAGGCCCAGCGCGGTATCAAAACACTTCACCTGCGCATGCGCCAGCATGCCCTGAACGCCCAACAGGTTGCCGAGTTCCTTGAGGCGTCTCCCGAGTTTGTCGACAACGTTATTTATCCTGGCCTCAAGTCGCACCCCCAGCACGAGCTGGCCAAACAGCAGATGCGCGGGTTCGGCGGCATGGTATCGTTCCGCATCAAGGGCGACACGCATACTGCAGACCGTTTCCTGCAGCGCACCCACCTGTTCACGCTGGCTGAGAGCCTGGGCGGCGTTGAGAGCTTGGCTGAGTTGCCGGCGCGCATGACCCATGCCGGTTTGGCTCCCGAGGAGCGCCTCGAGCTGGGCATCACTGATAACCTCATCCGCCTGTCTGTCGGTGTGGAGGATGCGGATGATCTCCTTGCCGATATTGCCCAGGCTCTTAGGAGCGCTGTTGCTGAGAACTAATGGTGCGAATTGGCACACTTATATTATCTAGTTTTTAGTTTAAATACCTTTTCCTTTTTGTCTCAAAATAATGCATTTTTAAAATTAGTTTTCATATCGAGCAATTTACCCAACGATACACGATGATGACGCAGCAGCTTAAAGCCTCGGCTTAATTTGGTCCAAATTGATAAGAAAAACCATTTCTCACCCACTCCGATTGTGGTCGATAAAAAAACTCGTATTTCTCAGCCATACGGAAAAGGAGAAATTGTTTTTTATCTGCAAAGAAAACTATCGTTTAATAATCAACCATTTTGATAATAATATCTTTCTCGATGCAGTGCTTATCTCGACACATGTTAACCACAGGCTGCCGCCGCCATTGCCGCAGCCTCTTGCATTACTCGACCGCCACAGAGCGGCTGGCCTCGTACAAAAATGAAGACATGGCGTCAGTTGATCATCTAGTAATCGGAGCCGGCGTCGTCGGACTAGCAGTTGGGCGAGCACTTTCATCCGGCAGTGGTATAAGAAATGGAGCAAGTGCCAGAAGCACACTTGTAATCGACAAAAACAAGCAGTTTGGAATGGAGACCAGCTCACGCAACAGCGAGGTCATCCACGGGGGCATCTACTACCCCAAGGACTCGCTCCGCACCCGGCTATGTATTGAGGGTAAACACCTAATGTATGAATACTGCAAGCAGAACGATGTGCCTCACCGACGTATAGGCAAATGGGTAGTGGCGCAGGATGACAAACAGGCCGAGTATCTGAGCAGGCTTGCCCAGCACTGTACTGATTTGGGCATACCAACAGAGATGATTGGTGAAAGTCAGGCACAGCAAATGGAGCCGAACGTGCGGGCCCACATGGCATTGGTAAGCCCAACCACAGGTATTGTCGACACGCACGCATTCATGGCCGCCCTGCATCGTGACTTGCTTGATAATGGCGCTGATTTTGCTCCCAACACAGAGGTCTTAGCTATTGAGCACGTAGACAACGAGTATCGCGTCTTAGTTTCCACAAGCGATACAGATACGCCGTACATGGGCATTAGGGCTGCTACAGTGGTGAACGCTGCGGGTTTGTGGGCCGATCGAATAACCGACATGTTGGCACCCCAGTCAAAACACGACTGGGACACACAATACAGGCTGCATTTTGCCAAAGGGCGCTACTACATGTACACAGGAGATGCGCACATCAGGGTTCAGCGGCTAATATACCCAGTGCCCGACAGGCACATCACGTCTCTGGGCACACATCTGATCATTGACATGGGCGGGGCAATTAGGTTTGGACCTGACATCGAGTGGATAAAGTCAAATGACGACTACAGCATCGATGGCGGTGACCAAAATCAGCCTTTGATAAACGACGTAGCAGCAGAAATTGCTAAATACCTGCCATCGATTCGCGCAGAGGACCTGAGCCCAGGATACACAGGCATACGACCCAAGTTGCAGCCGCCCGGCGCTGCTTTCCGCGACTTTGTTGTTCGTGAAGAAAGCGACGCTGGGTTTCCTGGGTTTGTTAATCTCGTGGGAATTGAAAGCCCTGGATTGACGTCGTCTTTGGCTATAGCCAGATTAGTAGACCAGCTGCTGAATTAGCCGTAAGTAATTTTTAAATTTACTATTATATAATCTAGTAGCAATGCTATCTTATATCTTTACATTATATATTTGGCAACTTGCTATAAAATAAGCATGCCATTTCACTCAATGCAAATGAACAACAATAAAACATGCTACAGCCGAAAAGCATGGAATTAATTATACACTTGGCAGTTCATTTTGATGGCTTTAGAACTCCTATTTTTAGCTTTAGCATCTGCATTTATAGCATACTAAATCAAATCGAAATATGGAAAATTATTCGTCAGACTGGTCCTCGTAGATGGTTTTGATCCACTCGTATGATTCTTTGGTCACATCCTTCCAGGTGCTGTCAACGGTATCTGCCGTGTTCAAATCAATGCAATGGCCAGCCCAAGTGCCCCGGTGAAAGCCGACTTTGTTAACCAACGCGACCGAAGGGTCCGACGACCAGCCGATCCGCGAAAGCAGCATGTCTTCAAGATTAAATTTATCAAGCGTTGCGTGGAAAGCTTCAGCGCGGATATACTCGTCGGTCGTCAGATTCCGAATAACGGTATCTTTGTCCCGCTGACTAACGTTCCTGAATTCGGGCAACAGCGCCTTGATGAGGCGCTTTGAGGCGGTTTTGCCTGCGTGGTGATAGGTTCGAGCTGGGGTATACGCAAAAAGTCTCGATGGCCCTCCGAATGTTTTAACAAACTCAAAAAGAGTTCTATTGCCGAGCTCCTCGCACTCATAATCGGAGAGAAAACCCGGGGGAATATCATCTGCATAGTCGCCCACACAAATGATCCGATGACCACTCCAGTTTTCTGGCTGACTACGCAATTTAAAGTCTTTAAGCAAATGGCGGCGCCCAAAGTCCAAGAAGCGGTGGCACGACAGTGCAAAGCACAGAATGGCATCTACCGATTTGGGGTTTTCCATATAGCTATACTCTGTCAGACTTGAGAAAATCATGTCAATGATCAAGTCAGGGAGCTCCTCGATGGCAGAGAGCTTCTTGTCCTTTAGCGCGACGGTCTGCGTCACAGGAAGAGGAGTTGAGCGGATAAAGTGGGTTTTATATGCCAGCATCTTGCAAAGCATATCGCAATAGCCCTGGAGCATGGTCTCGCCCAGTTTGAGCCCGTTGTCGTAAGACGTAATTTCACGTCTGTCGATGCATGCGAGGAACCAGTACTGCCCCATCTTTTTGTAAAATTGCTTGTGTTGTGCAAGGAGAAAGTATAAGAATATGGTGTTTAATAGACCAAATGTAAATTTAAAGAGAACAATTGTTTAGTAAAATAAAATGCAAGCAAAGTACCGCGCCGTTTTTGTTTCCTTTTTCGACAGAAAGCGCAGCCAAGTGGCTTGCAGGTAAAAAATTCCAACAAACTCCCAAGCCGAAATGATCAATTCGCTAACCAATTGCAGCCCAACAACTACATGTTATATTACCCAAGCCAATTTCCATGGCGTTTTTCATTTTGTAAGAAAAAATTATTTTCGGATAATATTTGTTCCTAATCTCGAGTATAAAAGCCAGCGCACATACCATTGCATTTGGTGCCATGTGTGAATAAAGCAGGCGCTGGTTTTGTGCATTGATTTCAATTATTGATTAGAAACTCGGTATTGCATTTCAACATGTTTACCGAGCATTTGCAAACTTAATAGATGGCAATGAGTTTGAAAATATCCATGCATTACTGCTTCTGTTTATTTGTAATAAAACCTGGCCGACCAAGCAAAAGTGTATAAAGTCACGCAAAAGATGTGTTTATATGCGCCCTTATCAGATGTATATATCAACCGCTTGCTCAGTGACTACATGCCAGATACAAGGCTCAAGCAATGACATTAGCAGTGTTGAGTGCGTGCACATTGTCGCTCACAACGTTGGCGTTATTGTTGTTGGCAAAAACGGTGTTGTCGAAGGTGTTGGCAGCAAAAGAGTTGCGGTCAAATGCATTCACAGTGTTGGCGGCAACCGGGAATCCACCCCAGCCCCAACCACCGCCGATGCCTCCAACACCAACGCCAACACCGCCAGCGCCCCAGCCCAGCGCACCAAAACGCTTGGCCATGCGGCAGTTGTGGCCGTGGCCATTATTGTGGCAATGGGAATGGCCGTGCCTAACATAGTTTTGCTGATTCTGATGCTGCTCCTGCAATTGGGCCTCGGGCGCAGGCGCGGCAGAGGCAAATGCGGTTGATGCGGCAACAATAGCAAGCACAGTGGCGGTAAAAGTAGAGATATGGCTGAGCATTTTTGGTTATAGGAGCTGAAGAAATTCAAGTTGCTTGTATTGTGTACTGTGTACTGTATGTTGTTTTGTTGTGAAGAGCGTCTGTGTTAAACTTTGGTGTAATTGGAAAAGAACCATGTTTATTATATACTAAAAATGTATGAGGAAATGCAGCGTGCAACAAATAATACACTGGTAGCAGCTGTGACAAAAAAATATAATGTGCACCAAAGATCAGGCCCGCACCAGATGCATTTGTTTTGAGCCATTGATAAACCGATTGATCAGCATTATGAAGGCACACCATTCATAGACAACGTTCATGATGTGCTGTGCTGGCGGACAAATGGCACTCAAAGCATGCCGTACTGCTGGTGTTGATGTGATCATTCTACAAGGATCACCTTGCACAAAATTGGTTATAATATTGTTCAGAACATGGCAGCCAAAATAAATTCATGTTTGCATGCTCTGTGACCAAGAGTTTTAGGAATTTAGTTTTACAGCTTTAACTATATTAGAAATTCAATACATGCTCAGTTACTAAGCGCAATCGAGTGCGTCTCAAATTTCTTTCGTAGCAAGTAACTACGAAAGTCGGAATTTTTGCAGCGCAGAAATGTAAACACTTAAAAATACATATTCACACATTTCTAGTTTATTTCCGTTGTGTATTTTGACTAGATTAATGTTTTTGGTCACGCTTGGGTGGACCCGTGGCCTTACTTGCCATTTTGCCTGCTGGTTTCAATTGCTGAGCCACGGGAAACGCATAACCATATATCAGTTAGCGGTTATGGATTGCAAGATTACTTTTCCTTTGCATTCAACCAAGAATACCCACCCAGCGCAAGTGCAAAGCTAAATAGAAGCGGGGGTGCAAAAACTTTCTGGCGCCAAATCCTTCATTTTTTGTTTTTCATTTCAGTTTTGCTGATGGGCAATATTTCCGTGGCTTATTGGTGCGCCCTAAGATATTATATTAGTAAGGGCTGAAATGAATACATGTACGCGTTGGACTACAATGGAATAGTGCTGCTTACATGTATAATTGATAAGGTTTACGCTATAGAATTTAAAACAATTAAACCATTTAAAAAGGTAGGTAAACAAGTAACATGCACTAAATTCTATGGCTTTGAGCTTACTAGTTTAACGAGATATTTGGTTGTTCCATCCAACCATTTTTTAAAAATAAATACGCAAGTTGTACCATTCTATTTTTATTGGCACGACACCTACAAGCAAAATGTAGTAGTTCAGCTATTATCTATGGCAAGCAAGCACACTCGTCATTGCAAATGGGCTTTGGCTTGATGGGCTGGGCAAATTCAAATGTACTTTTGGCCAAAGCAACGTCATTTAATAAGTGGGGGATTTAAATTTAAACCCAATATGTATTATATCTTACTTTTGATATTGAAAGATTTGGGGGAAATTGAAATTTTGATTTGCTTGCTGAAATTTTGCAGGATAATAAAAGCCGTGGGCTTAATGTGCGACTGCTTTGCGAGAAGCAAAGTAACAAGTAGGCACTTCCAGGCAATATATGCGCAAATAAAAGTCGGATGGCGCAAGTAGTTTGGTTTGGTTTGGTTTTTTTGTTACTTATCTCCAAGCATAACCAAACTTGAAGGTTGTTTATTTTTATTGAAAGATCTTGTAAAATGTAACAGTTGCAAGGCATTTAATGTGCGAGTTTGCTGTTTTATTACCGACGTGCCTAATCACTTTGTTGGAACCTGTTTTTTTCGTGTGGTTGCCAACCTGATGACTGCAGTCCAATGCTGCGCTCGTTATTTCAGCCGGAAAGTTGTTTGAATAGTCAGTGAGAACTCGGCTCTTCTTTTTAGCCTACATTTTGCAGCAGTTGGACTACCAAAATCCCAATATTAGCGCTATGCTACATTCGGTCCAGTACCACAGCTGCAATTACAAAAATATTTGAGTGATTATCGACATTCATAATGTCAAGCTCCACAGCAGCCATGCCAGTCCCACCAAAAGTGTGCATCAGTAGACATGGAGCTCGAACCTTTGGAAACAGCAGCGTCCTCATCTCCTAACATACAAAAAATAATTTGGAAGAACAGAAATAATTAAGAAACGCATAGTTGTCCTTAGGGCATCCCGTCTCTCGCATTGCCGAACTGGCGTGCGCTTACTTTGAAGATGCGAGGTTACAACCACGGAAAAGAAAGAGAATGCACGGGTGAGCGAGCAGGCAAGCAATACGGTCACAAAATGGAAACGTATTATTTTGCTTGCTATTTGCTGCATACAATTTAGTGCAGTTTTTGCCTGACAGCCTTTTATATTCTGGTTTAAACAGGTTCCTTTTAAAAGCGATTGAGCACGAAAAGAGTGGCTTTTATTCTCAATTGGACAATGTACTACACTATTGAAAATGCTGTTTTAATATTTGCAACAGTGCCTGCTTTACGTCAGGTTGATAGTGGATTAGCACGTGAATGTTTTGGCCTTTTGCTACCCTGCAAATGGCCAAGCCATGCACAAAAAAAAACATGGATTTTAATCGCGTTTAGTCGTGACACCACATTATTTTTCTTTTCTTGTGCATTTTTATTTTTAAATTTCAGTTCAATTTTGTTAATATTTATTTTACATTTAATGGAGCCAGTACTCGAGTGGGATGTGGCAAAAGTGACTTGGTGGTTTAACCAGAACGGATTCCAAGGATACGAAGACACGCTTAAAGGTACACATACGGTGGTGGCTATTCGAAAAGGCAAGTGCTTGTGCATTCTTTAACGATTCTGCTATTTTACTAACATATTTGTGCATTTAATTACCCAATTCACTATCATTTAGAGAACTCAATTGACGGCGAGGTTCTGGTAAATCTGGACCACGATTCTCTCAAGGACCTGGGCATCCCAGCGTTGGGCAAGCGGCTGCTGGTTCTCAAGTCTGTATACTTTCTCAAGCTCCAGCACGAAATCCCTATTACTACAGACAGTTATGTTCCGCAGACAGTCGATGTGGAGCCCGACTACGCGCACGGGAGCTCGTATCAGCGCAAGCAGAAGCGGTATTCAGAGGAGACAATTTCACGGCTAATGGAGGAGATAACGTCGCTGTCGTCCGAAATAGCCACAATTAAAACGGATATGCAGAGGATATACAGGCTGAGCATACTGGAGAACAAGCCGCTGCCAGCGCCAGTACCATTGCCGGTGCGCCAGATGAATGACCCGTTTGTGGGCGCAACGATTGCTGCGCGCAGGAACCAAGCGTTGAATAAAGAGTACGAGTCTCGACACGATGGGAAGAATAAGGCCAGGGCGCCAGTGGTCCTGGGGGCGGCTCTGGAATTTCAGCGCCTGTGGGCGGGTCAGCCTCCATGTCATTGACGGCCTCGCCAAGTCCTGTGCCAGCGTCTACAGGCGCAGCATTCACCAACACCCCTATTACGGCCATGGCAGCAGCGCCCTCGCTGGTATTAAATGCCACGGTGGCTCGTCGCTTTTGCTGCCGAACAGTCATGCGAGCAGCACGCCATCGAGCCAGACTCCCGTCACCCCGCACATTCGCGTGTACGGTGACAATGCGCTGCAGCGTGAGAACGAGTCATACAAGAGTTTCCGAATCTCGGCGGATGATCCCTGTAGCACGATTCTCCCGCACGCACTGAAGAAGTACCACATATTCGACGCCTGGCACAACTACTCGCTGTGCATCCAGTACGGACCCTCGGGCAAGGGAAAGAACGAGCGTGTATTGGCGCTAGACGAAAAGCCCTTGCAGCTGTTCCAGCAGCTGAAGGACGCCGGTGAATCGCCAGTGTTTGTCCTCAAAAAGAAGAACTCGGGTATGAACCCATCGTTGGACAGCAGCTTGCCGCACCGCCTGAGCGTTAGGGGAAGCACCTTTAATGGCAATGGCTCGCGCACTAGTCTCTTCTCGCTGGAGCAAAACAACACATCATCATCGTCCTTGGAAATGAACATTGGCAACCTGGCAGGCGCCAGCTCATCAAACAACGAGTTTGAGAAGCTTTGAGGCGGTTGAAGGTTCCTGCTATAGGCAAACAGGCGTGCGAATTTATATTCTTGTTTTTTTCTTACAGCCGACAGCATTGCATATAAACTTTTTATCTTAGAAATTGGCACAATTACGAGATAAAGTCTAATGGGTTTGTCGGCAGGTCGTCAGCGGTGACTAGGGCCTGCTTCCAGGCGTTGAGCGCCAGCGTGTGGTGCTTGATCCGCTCCTCGACAAACCGGTGGTAATGCGTGTGCAAAAACGACTCGTAGCACTTGTACCGCGCCAGCTCCTGGTAGAAGCGCAGCTCGATGCACTGCTGCTCGAGCTCCAGCTTGTTGAGGTCTGCCATGTCCTCTCCAATCAGCTTTTCGAGCCTTTCCATCCCACTGCGGTCGACTGGGCCACTCGCAGCGGTCGACGACACGCTGGTGGCGGACTCGCCAGAGAGCAGGCCCAGGGCCTTGCGGTTGGCATCGATCCGCTCCCTGATACGCACGATTTCCTTGCCCTTGTCCATCTGGCGAATCCTGTCCATCATCAACTTCATCGAGATGACGACGTCATATAAACGGCGCAGGTACTCTGCTGACATGGTCTTCATGACCTCACCCTGCGATTTGTCAAGTAATGAGGCGTCGCCAAAGCTCATAGAGAGCTCGTTGAGGTTGCCATTCAGCGCGCGCTTGGCCTTTGACAGCATGTAGAACTTGCGGCTGCCAGTGGCGCTCTCCGTGGGCATGTTCAGCGTGCGCAACGTATCGCTGTACGCGTACAGCTCGTCACCGATTGCCTGCGTGTAGCGGCTATCTTTTCCAGGGCGGTTATCTGCACGCGGTACTTTTCTTCGTCTCTGCTGACCTGGCCGTAGAAATCTTCGAATGCCATGTATGTCTGCTGGATCTCGGCCCATGGCGTGTTGCCAGCCTCTTCATTGGGGTCAAACTCCTCGGCGTCCATGTCCAGGTTGCCGACTTTGACGACCCGCGCAAACTCGTCCGTATTGCTGAAGAACTGAATGACCAGCGCGTCGCGCCGCAGGAACGGGATGCGCAGAATCGCACTCGAAAACCTGGTCAGGCCCTTTACCCGGTTATCTAAAAATGGGCGGTCCACTACGTGGGGTCATAAATAAGTAAATGATTCAACTTTGTTGATAGCAGGCAGGAGAAAGGCTGGCTCGAACTGAATAATGGCAAGTGCGAATATAAAAACAAAGAGAGAAAGGCACACGTGCCGCTTACTTACCTGGAAATCCCTTTGGCGGAATGTTGGGGTGCATCCTGTACGGATACCGTCTGACGAGATAGTTTGAGATCCAGAAAAAGTCGTTGTAGCGCCGCACGACCATGGCTGTGAAGCTGCGGGTAGTCACCTCGTAGTTAGTATGCTTGAACACAATACCGCCCCTCTCAGCAGACTCCTTAATCGAGACATCCTCCACATCGAGTTCCACTGCGTGGTGTCCATGCTAATCTGCGGCACAAACGTCTGGGACGACACCCCGCCGCTGCCGCTGATGCTGCTACGGTTCTCCACCGCAGCTACTACACCTGCTTCTGTTGCCCCTTGCCCGCATTGCCATTGCTGAGGCTGGCGGGCGGCGCGCTCCCTGATACTACACCGTCGGCCGAGACAGAGACAGCGCCCATGGCCGCGGTCGCCGAGGCCACTGGCATATCAGCGCCCTTTGCCACAGCACTGAGCCACGGGTCGTCCGAGGTATCTGCAAAGTCCGGCGAGCTAATGCTCTGCCTTGGAATCTCCATGTCGGCGTCCGTGAGCAGCGCCTCTATGCCATCAATCTCAGGTACAGGGAGGTCGTCCCGGTGGAATAGCACGGTATCGATGGACGGCCGCATGTTTTTCTGCGCCAGAGCTGCCATTGCCAGGGCCAAATTAAAGTCCTGCTGGCTGACCACCGGCGCTCCAGTGTCAGCTGCCAGAATGATTTGGCCGATTATGTGGCTTGGGAGGTCCGAGTAAGTCAAGACCCGCTGTAGCACGTCCCGGTGATGGTGCCGCTGCCAGCCTTTATGGCTGCCGAGTATGCAATGGTGTAAATGGGTGGGAGAATAACTCTGTCTATAATACAAAATAGGAAGGCGTGTCGAGTACAGTGTGCGTACGTGTATGTGCTTGCACGTTGTGGAATCAGATTAGTTGTGCGCAAATTTGGAATGCACCGAAATCCGGGAACACGCGTGTTGTCGCTGAATGCTCATCTGCTCATTCAATTTGGACAAAAATGCAACGCGCTATAATTCAAAAGTCTGTGTACCTAGGCATGAGCGCGTCGAATCAGAGTACCCAGACCCGGTTGAGCCAGCACCAGTGGCTGCGCTGTTGTGTTGTCTGAAAAGCCCCAAGGGTCAAGAATGTCGTAGAGATCGCTCATTTAGTCTGTCTTTTTGCTATGGTGTGTGGCCGCTGGTCTGTCTTTTTCTTTTGATTATCAATACAACTATCAACTACCAGAGTGAAATTTAAAATATAACTAACAAAAAACAATTACTTTAAAAAAAGAAGGGTATCAAGTGAAGGAAAATGAAAGCTTTCATTTTCTCAAAAAGGGCAAAGGGGAAAATGAAAAATTGTCTGTGCGGCAACGATGATCAACACAGTATGACCTCATCTTCGGCGAGAGCGTATTTTGGGCAGTGTTCAGCTCAACGCTGTTTTTTTATTCGAAAAGTTTTGTCTAAAAGATATTGCGGTCCTCGTAAACATTCCACGAGGCAAGCCACCTGCGGCCAGCAAGCTCCTTGGCCGGGCGGTCCAACCGTATGTGAACGGCGAGAAATAAACGAACACTAGGCATACAACAATGCCGACGGTCCAGGCAGCCAGACGCAAGTAGCGGCCCTTGCGCCAGCGAACAAAGAAGCTGTCCAACTCGTATGCGAGCAAAAGAAGGCCAAAGTAAAGCGCGGCAGATAATGGTGGATGTACGTGACGCGGCCCATGAAGAAGAACGGGATGTATGGAGCGCCCATCCGCCCCACAGGAACTTGCTGCTGTCCCAGAACTTGAGCATCCCACTGGTCGTGTATCCAGGGCAGCGGCGCTTGATGCACACGAGCCAGAACAGGAAGCGGAACGGATAGGCAATGCACACGAGCGCCGATGCCCACCATAGCAATGGGTTGCCGATCTCATAGTACTTTGTCGTCTTGTCGCCCCACCCGACCATGCGCATCGGGCTCAGGAGGAAGGGCCACGAGCCGGCCGGCTCTCCAACGTGCTGTATTTGTTGACGTCTGGGCCCAGTGCGTTGTTAGTCTTTCCCATCTCGACATTGAGCTGGATCATATCGATAAAAAAGTTGCTCTTCACGTACTTTGACAGATCGTCCTTTTGCACGCGCTTGTTGATGTTGCGCTCAATGTACCATAGAACGTCCTTGCTGCGCACATCCTTTTTGCCCGTAGAGTCTGGCAAGCAAGTGACCTCGGACTGGTTCCAGCCCCACTTGGGCAGCCGCCGCGACCCTACGCGCATCAGACATCCCGAATCCGCATGCCGCAGCCTGAACATCGTGGTCATTGCATGCAGCCGCTTGTCTTTGCGGCCCGAGTGCTGCTGCTCAACAATCTCGATGTGCCAGTTGCTGATGCCGCTTTCGCTGCTATCCGTGATGTTCTCTGCTGCCACCTCAAAGTGGCCGGTAGTCAGTGGTGCCATCACGTGCTTGCTAGCCCGGAGCGTCGCGCCAGTCGTGTTGTGCACAACCTGAACGATATCGCCGTGGTTGACAAACTCGATCGGATCCAGGGTGTAGTTGGCCTGGATACCGTGGGCCTTTTGCAGCTGCCACACGTTGTTTGTGTCGCGGTGAGGGAAGCACGTCACCTGCTGCATGCGCGAGCCCGTCGGGTACTGGTGGATGTGTGAGTGCAGCAGGCCAGGGCCGTTGTACACTGCGCGAAGATCGACAAATGCGCCGTACGTGATGTCGTACGGCTGGGTATTCAGCTTGTTTCCCTTGAGGTGGGCCTGGAATTTGGCCGACAGTTTGTGGTCGCCAGAGCCGGTCCGATACAAGTAGTGGAAGTGCAGCCAGAAGCAGGCAACATAGATGGTCAGCGGAACTATGATCAGTGCGAGGATGCGCGCGGCCCATGCTTGGCGTATTGTTTCCAGGGCATCATGTCGCAGAACTTCCTAAAGAGGTCATCGGCGGTCGCAACTCCGACCATGATGACGCAGAAGAGGCCGATCCACTTGGAGCTCATCACGCACCCAAGAGAAAACCCAGTTAGCAGCAGCCACGTCCACCAGCGGCGCGTGTGCGACCGCCCGCTCATGTTGACGTTCTGGAATCCCGTTGCGCTCCACAGCGTCAAGGCTGTGAAAAACAGCAGCGGCTGGTCGAGCAAAATAAAGCGACTCATGACGCACAGCGCATTGTCAAACAGCACAAAACTGGCGGCCAGTGCGGACATTGCCCGGCTTATGTGCACGTGCCGACAGGTCAAGTACGCCAGGGGCACGAGCGCCGCGCCATACAGGGCGAGCTGAGCCCGCATAAATGTGTAATCCACATGCTCGGGTACTTGTCGCCGGAGCCAAATTTGAACGTGCCATTGTGCCCAGCAATCACCTCGGCCAGCCCCACCAGCATCTTGGCCAGTGGTGGGTGCACGTCATGGTAGAACGTGTGGTTAATGTAGAATGCGCCGAACTTGCCAAAGTGCGCCTCGTCCCATGTCACGTTCGGCCGCCTGCCAATCTTATACAGGCGCGTGAACAGCGAAAGCAGCGTCAGAATCGCTGTGATCACAAAGTCGCGGCTGCGTAAAACCCCGTTGACACCCGCATCCATCCTAACCTCTGAAAAGTCAGTCAGGCTCTCGCCATCGCCTGCACCGTCCCACCTGTCGGACGCGATCGCTGGGTACGCGCCGTATGCCTTGCTTACTGCCCCATGCGCAGCCTCAAAGTGGGCTGGATCGAGTCCCCCAGTGCCAGCACCAGCGCCAGCTGATATGCGCTGTTTCTCCTTGTTATACTCGTTACTCGTAAAGGGCAAGGTGTCCTCGTCGTTAAAGGCCCCTCGGCCTCGCTGTTTTAAATTGCGCGACTCCATCTGCGCATGTAATTTGTAAATTGAGTCGAATTTTAAAGCGAAAAAGTAAATAAAAAGGGATGGAAAATCATACGCGTTTGACAGAAAGAAACGTCAGTGTTGTTTTGCTTCTTTCGTGTGGGGTAAAAAGACAAACTTTGAGCGTGCATGCGTGCATGCGTGCATGCATGCAAATTTTGCACATATTTTTGTTACTTGGTCCACGGTCTGCGACCCCTTTTCTCCGCATTTTGGTTAACCCGCTTTGACAATGTGTTCCCTTTTTCAAACTGATTGGGCTGATCGTCTTTGGTTCCTATCTATGTGGGTTTTAGAATTCTATCATTCTCCGCGCCAACAAAGTCCCAGAGAATGTGAACATCGCATTTATTATGCATCACTTGTCCTTTAAATTTTTAAGCCGCAAGCCGGCCGGTACTCCTTTGGTTCTTGAGTCTGAAACCCTCGGCAGCGCCAATTGATTAATTTGACTCGAATATAAATTTGCGCCAGTGGAAAAGTATGCGTTTTAGAAAATTAACGGCAAACTAAATATTTGGCGAATATTTGGGGAACGCAAAGTAGACTGTAAAAACTGTTTGGTGCATGTAGTCTTAAAAGCTGATTTGGCCGCATTTGCCAGTGTACGGATTCAAGGTTAAACTTTACAACTAGCTGGTCCAATAAAATGCATTTAATGGAATAGGTATTATTGACTCAGCCATTTAAAAATAACTGGCACAGCCTGCTTGTATTATTTACCTTTATAAATAGTCTGGCATTTTTTCGTTTATTTTTAGTTTGGCAAGACATTAAAAGCCATTTACATATGCAATTTTTTTGCTGGCATTGTTTCTGTTTTCGCTCAACCAGGAATCTTGCTTCCTTTGAAAACTGGTATAAAATATCAATGTTTGCTGCAGAAGATTGCATTTTTCTTTCACTTTATCTCATTTTCTATTTACTAAAGTGTTGCTTTTCAACCAGCTTGTGTATATTACATCTTTAATACATTAAAGCATAAAACAATAATAATGAAGTTTGAACAGCAAATATCTTTACAATCTGTTCCATCGTGGGCCGCATATTACTTGGACTACATAACGCTTAAGCGTGTTCTGTACGCCGCCAAGCAGGGTAAGCCAGCGTACTACAGCTGCTCCGTAAACACACATACAGTCTAATAGTAAAAACAACTAATGAGCTCATTGTAAATGCACTTTTCTTGTTCTTGGTGTATTTTAGACACCTCTGAGAGCTTTGACAGTTCCGCTCGCTTTTTGTGCCGAGAGCAGCAAGGTCAATGCGCGGTACGAGGATCAACAGGCCGACGCTTGCAAAAAACTGGCTACTCTCGAGGCCCAATGGGTGCCGAGCATGCCCGAGGCAGATGTCATACGTGGAAATCTGAATTTGGTCTCCTGCTGTCACAGCTCGAAATCCTCAACGATTTTGCGCAGACCAACGTCATGGCGTGCCGCAGGGTACTTGAAAAGGCTGACTTGATTTCAGGACAGTCGCTGGCACAGACCATGTGGCCCACGTTGGCCACCATGTCCTTCGCGAGTCTTACCAGCGACCAAGTGCCGCTGCACAAGGCCCGCGCTGTCTGGCGCCGCTGCACAGCCATCCCCGTCGCCCCAAAATCCCTTGTCGATAACCCATCCAAGACAAGCGTGCGAGAAATAACCTCGCCCACCGCCACTGTCAGCGAGTTGGACTTGAACACGTTCCCCATTGGCAAGATATCGCGCGTGTGGGTTGCCCTGGCCGAGGACGGAATGGGCCTGCCGATCCGTGTGCCCGTCATGATTGCCAAGGGCACCATGGAGGGGCCCATTGTTGGCATCACCGCCGCGCTGCATGGCAACGAGCTCAACGGCATCCCACTAATCCACAAGCTGTTCAGGGAGCTGGACCCACAGACGCTGCACGGCATTCTGGTTGCCGTGCCTGTGAGCAACTCTCCCGGATACCTCCTATCGCAGCGCGGCTACAGTGACGGCACCGACCTCAACCGCGTAATGCCCGGAAAGCCTAATGGCTCGGGTCCCCAAGTCTACGCGCACAACTTGATCCAGCGCATTGTCCGCCATTTCGAGTACCTCGTTGATCTGCACACGGCGTCCCGCGGCCGGATCAATTCGCTCTATGTCCGCGCCAACCTGCGCGACCCACGCACTGCGCGCATGGCGCGGCTGCAGAACCCACAGATCATTGTGCACAACACAAGTCCCAAGGGCTCGATGCGCGGTGCTGCTGTGGATCTTGGCATTCCGGCCATTACCGTCGAAATCGGAGATCCGTCGACCTTCAACGAGACGTATGGCAGGAACGCCCTCATTGGGGTCACCAATATCCTCGCCCAAATGAACATGCTTCCTGACGAGGAGCGTCTGACGGAGTACGAGCCGGTTGTGTGCTCACGCAGTTACTGGATCTTTGCAAAGTCTGGAGGCATTCTTACCGTGCATCCTGAGCTCGCCGCATGGGTGCGTGCGGGCGACCTGATTGCCACAGTCCACAACGTGTTTGGCGACATTGAGGAAGAGTACTATGCCCCTCAAGACGGCGTCATCGTCGGCAAACACGTAGACCCGGTGTGCCAGAGCGGGAACCGCATCCTTCACTTGGGCGTCGTCGATGGCGAACTGCAGGCTGTCGTGGACGATGGCCACATGTAAACGCGTGCAATTGTCAATTTAAACAACAAACTTTATCAATATATACCATCCAATTTCCATTTTTATAAATTAAAAATCATTATCACTATTGCAGCACTTTACTGCTGAGCGCACTGCTCGGCAGCTTGTTCGTCCAGACCATCGCTGTGAGCGGCCGGCTGATTTCGACGATTCCGACGACGATCGCCGTACGTGCTGCGCGCACGCAATGTCTCGGCCTTGGACGCAGCCGATTCCGGCGCGGCAGGGTCATTTTCATCGGCGGCCGCAATGCGCTTGCGAGTTGGGTACCTGCTGGTTAGTTGGCTGTCTTCCTGGAAGACGGCGGTCGGCAAGGCAGTCCGTGTGTTCAGCGCGCTCGATGAAATGGGCGACAGCATTGCTTCAGGCTTGGGCGTAACGTGAACTCGCTTGTTATCCGCCTTCAGGGGAGTGCGCTGCGACGCCAAACGAGTCATCGCGGCCTTTGACCGGCTGGGCGTCAGATTGGCGTTTTCGTTGTTGCTTCCGTTATCGCAAGCGGGGATATAGGGCGATGTCGGGTCCACAGCCGAAAGCAGCGCATCTGATGGCTTGTTCTGCTGGGTAGCAACGCTCGCGGCCATGAGTCGCGTCACTGCGCTTTCAAGTTCAAGTCGCTGCGCGTGTTGCTTGTTGAGCTCGGCGCTGACGCCCACGAGCTTTTCTCTGTTGCTTGCAGCTTCTGGGCGCTCTCGCTAAGTTCTGCCGACAGCATCTCGGCGCGCTTCCGCTGCTTCTCCTCCTCGTCGTTTAGCTCGGTCATATCGGACTTGTATACGTCGCGCAATTTGGCGTTCTTCTTCTCCAGCTTGTCGCTAAGCGTCTGCAGCCTCTCGACTTCTTGCTTCAGTGTGTGCAACTCCGCGGAAGATGTGTCGGTTGTCACTGCGGGCCTGGCTTTGGAAGCAGCAGAAATAAGAGTGCGGGCGGTCTCCAGCAGCTCCGTGCAACCGGCAAAGCTGTCTTCAGCAGCAGGCGCTGGCAGAGGACCCATCTTGCAGCCGTCAGCAGTGACAGCTCCTTGACAACAGCCGTAAGGTCTGTGCGCAGCAAGCTTGTCATCTCAGAGCTCGCCTGCTTGGCTGCGGCTATGGCCTCAGCACGGGCCTTTTCCAGATCGCCTGCCATCCGATCAAGGTCCTTCTTGAGATCAGACTCAGCTTGTTTGTGGCTCTCAGCCTCCAGCCGCAGCCGGGACAGGTCTGATTCGGCTTCCGAATGGCGTTGCTGCGTCTCGGCTGCCGTATGCTGTGCGGACTCAAGCTTGGCAGTAAGAGCATCGCGCTCGCTGGTAAGCCGGTCAACATCTTGTGTTCTGCCGAGCAGTGCACTATTCAACCTCTCCTCGGCCTTGGTGGCCCGCTCAAGGTGAGTGGTGGCAGTTCTTTGACAACTGGATGGCCTCATCCTTTTCCAGTGCCTCGCGGATACTGGCCTCAAGCGTCTCCTCCTGCTGCGCTAGCTTGTCCTCGAGTTCGGCGATTTCGTCATTCTTGACCTGCGCCAGCTCGGTCATCATCGACTTGAGCGTCTGGACGGCTGCCTGTGCCTGATCGCGCTCCTCAGCCAGCGACGCAACATCGGAGTTGTTATCAATTAGCGATTGCGCCTCTGCAAGGGCCTCTTCCAGCGTCACAACCTGCTGCTCCAGATCTGCGATTGCAGTGCGCGCCTCGTCTTGTGCCCTGGTCTGCGAAGCCAGATAGAGGCGTTCGCACCCTCGAGTGCTGACTCCAGGCCCTGGATGATAATGTCCTTGCTGCTGAGCTCAACCCTGATCTCAGATACCTCCTGCTCGAGTCGCGCTTGTGACTTCTCGGCCCGTTTCGCCAACATCTCGTAGTCAAACTGCAGACGAGTGCGCTCGGCGGTGAGCTTCTCCTCGGCAGCAAGCATCGTGGCAGTGCTTTTTGTAGCATCGTCGAGCTTGGCTGATAGCGACATGGTCTCAGCTGATTTTGCAGATGCTTGCTCACACAGATGCCGGACCTCGCTCTCCAACTCACAAATGCGAGTAGCCGCATTCTGCTCCAAAAAAGCCGACCGCTCATCGGCCTGCGCAGACAGTTCGCGCGCAGCGGTGAGCAATTCTTTCTGATTCGCGATCTCTGCATCGAGGCTGGCCAGTTTTTCGGCAGAAGCCCTCTCTGTGCCCAAAACCTTCTCTAACGCGGCTTGCAAGTCCGAAACCTGCGCCAGGGCGTGATCCCTACGACTCACCAAATCTTCTAATTGTGCCTTGTAAAGGCACACTCACTGCGCTGGTCGTCGAGCAAGTCCTTAAAAGCGGCAGTCTCCTTCCTGACAGTCGCTTGTGCGGCGTTAGCCTCGTCTTGGGCGGCAGTACGGTCTGCTGAAACACGCTGAACATCCATCTGCAGGCTTTCCACCAGCTGCTGTTGCTCGCTTGCTCTGCGCTGGAACTCGTCGAGCTGCATCTGGAGTGATTCTGCAAGCTGGATGTGCTGCGCAGCTTGGTGCTTTTCCGAGTCGTAGTTGGCGACTAAAGACTCGAGCTCCGCGCGCACTGTTGCCAGTTCGGATACAGCAGAGGCGCGTTGTGAATCCAGGGCTGCACACCGGGCCTCGGCACTCGACTTCGCCGCGTTCAGGTCACGCACTTCGGCAGCAGTCGACTCCGCCTGTGCCCGGGACTCCGCAGCCTCTTGAAGCAAGTGCTCCTTACCGACAGTCAACCCCCTGATTTGCAGCTCCAGCGTGGCGACTTCCGAATTGTGTGACGCTTGCATCTGGCCAAGTTGCTTCGCCGAGTCTCCAGCAGACAGAGAGAGGGTGTCGACCAGCATCATTTGGCTCTGGAGTTCGGCCGAAAGCGCATCACGGCTGTGCTCGGCTTCCAGAAGTGCACGGTTCGTGTCTTCACACTTGGCATCAAGCTCGCTCAGGTGCGCCTCCAAGGACTTGCACGCCCGATCCGCAGCAATGGCGGCGTTCTGGGCCTCTTCGTGTCGATCCAGGGCCTTGCACTCGAGCTGCCCAATATCTGAGCGCAGCTCTGCCACCAGTACCTCATGAGCCTGGCTCTGGTTGGCCAGCTGGGCTCGCACATCGGCCTCGACACGCTCGTTCTCAGCAATCTGCAGCTGCAGTTGGTCAGCCTTGCCCACAGCCTCTTGGAACTTTGTCCTCAGCTCGGCAATATCATTCTGGTATGACTCGTGCTTCTGTTCAGATAGCGAGCGACTTGAAGCGATATCGGCTTGCAGCTGCGCAATCTGGGACTGCATACCGCTGCGCTCTTGCTCCCAAGCAGCCTGTTTGCGCGCAATCTCATCGCGCACACTCGAAATCGTGTGGGTGGCTGTGGCCAGGATGCTTTCCAGTGACTCTGACCGCACCTCAAGCTCCTGCAAGCAGGTTAATTTAGCCTCAAGTTGCTTACCAAGTTCGGCATTGAGCTCAGCTACAGCGCTCTTGCTCTGGTTGGTCGCATTCAGGTCCTCGCGCAGACTATCCACCTGCGAGCGCAAGGATTCAAGACTGGATTCCAGCTGCTTGGCGTGGTCGACTGCATTATGTTCGCGCACCCGAATCTCGTCGAGCTGTTTTTCGTAGCGAGCAGTCGCGGTGTGCAGCTGCTGTTCGGCAGCACCCCGCTGCGAGTTCGCCTCGGCCAGCCGCGACTCCCACTCTGCTTGCTCAAGCCTCGTATGAGCCTTGTGCTGCTCAAGCGCCTGCTGAGCTGCAGCCGCCCGAGCAACAGCCTCGACTGATGCCTCTGATTGCTCCCTGTTGAGTTGGTCTAATTTCTGCTTCAGAGACGTGATTTGGGACTCTGTCCCTGCTACTGCCGATTCGAGCGCGCTGATTTGCGTCGTTTTCTCAGCGACCGCTTGTTCAGACTGGAGAAGGCTGGCACTAAAGTTGTTGTTCGCAACAGTGAGCTCAGACACTCGGTCCCAGACATCGGCGCTTTGCGACTCCAGCTCCTCGATCTTGGCGATGGCGCGGCCACGCTCACCGTCAACCGCACTGAGTTCCGCTTGCTTCTTATCAAGCTCTACAGTAAGCAGGTTGCGTGCAGTATGCATTGCAACCAGCTCGCCTTTGAGCTTGGATGTCTCGGCGGCCATCCCTGGAAGAGCAGCAGACAAGTCGTTGGCGCGAGCTAGGTCGTCTGCCACACGCACGTTCACGGATCGGCCTCCTGGAGCCTGCCACAAAGGCCCTGCACCTCTGTCTGCAGCAATTCAATGGCTACAATATTCTCGGAGATCTGAGACTCCAGATGCCGCTTCTCGTCGTTGTGGCTCACCTGTATCATTGCCAGCTTGGACTTGTGGCCGTCGATTGCAGTCTGGTGCGTGGAAGTTGAATCAGCAATCTTGAGCTCAAGCGTCGACATGGAGGTTGTCAGCTGGGTGATCTGATTGCGCAACTGCTCGTTCTCCTTGGTCTTGTCGCCGATCGTGGACTCGTGGTTGGCGACCTGTGCTTGAAGGTCGCATGCATTTTCCAAGAGTGTAGAGCGCTCCGTGAGCAAGCTGGCAACTGAAGTCTCGAGCCGGGCAATTTCAGCTTGGCCTCGGCGGCCTCGGCGCTGTTTTCTCCAAAAGCTTGCATTGGCTGTCAGAGAATTCACCTCCGACACGGCAGCGGCCAATTGACCTTCCAAACTCGCCATCCTGGCTTGGCTTTCGATCACGGCTGCACGTGCAGAATCAAGCTCGGCGGCCAATTTCGCCTCGCGTTCGGAAAACCCAGCCCTAGCGGCATTGGTGTCGCGCGTGAGCTCTGAAAGCCTGTCCTGCAGCTTACTGTTTTCCGAATTCAGTGCGCTCACAGCGTTCTCCATGCGCGACTCTGCCTCGGCCGATTGGGCACGGAGCTTGCCAGCAAATTGGTTGCGCTCAAACTCCAGCATTATCACGCCTCATCTCGCTCTCTCGTCATGGCTGACTGTAGCTCTCCAGCACCTGTCACTCATCGCGCAACTCCTGGCATGTCTGCTCACTGGCGGCCGATTCAGACTCGGCCTCGCTGAGCTTCGAAAACACTTCGTCCGATTCGCGCAAGACCTCTATCAGCTGCTCCTCCTTTTGCAGCAGCGTTTCGCGCGTGGCCTGCAGCTCCAGCTCCAGGAACTCGGCCTCAGGGCGCTGTGAGCGAAACTTGAGGCACATGCGCTGTGAGGCATCTATGGTAGTCATCAGAGCGCGTAGCTTGCGCCGAATCTGCACCAGCTCACGCGGCGGCTGCGACGAGCTGGGGGCGTCGTGCTTGGCGGGTGATGGCGGGATCACGTCGGCCGCGGCCAGCTGGTTAAGCGTCGACAGAAGAAGGTTGTACTCGCGCATGTACCGCTGAATCGTATCCTCCATCTCCTTGCTGCCCTTGGTCACCTCGTTGCGTTGCTGCTGTATGGCATCGTTAGCAAGCTCCAGCTCGCTCACGCGGTCGAGCGCGTTCTGGTGTATCTCGCGTGTGATTCTAATGAATGCCTGGCCCTGTAGGGGATCGGCCTCGCCATCAAGATCCATCAGCCCGCCAGACGCAGGCGCCAGCGCGGGCGAGGTCCAGGGCCCATCGCCAACAGGCCTCTGCAACCCAGAGAACCAGGTCTGTCGGCGAATTTGGGCAGAGTTGTCCGCTGGGTCCTTGTTGTCAGCAGTTGCGCGAGGCAAAAATACGTTATTTTGCTGCAACTCGAGCTCTTTCTGCAGCCTCTCGCGCTCTCTCTGCGACTTGAACAGCTGGCGCAGCAGTGACTCGTTGTCCGCCTCGATCTTGATCTTCTTGCGCTCAATCTCCTTCATCTGCGCAATCTCTTTCTCGAGCTCACTGGCACGCTTAAGGCGGCGCAGGAGGGCGTCCCCACGAAGCTCTTCGTTGACCTCGGGCTTGTTCTGGATGGTCTTAGCACGCGAGGCAAACTTGAGCGTCGATACAGCTTCGTCAACGTAGTCGGGCGACGGCGTGATTGTGCATATGATCAGCGTCTTGGCGTTTCCGCCGATGGAGGGCTGGAGGATGCGGGTGAGTTTAGAGTCGCGGTACGGAATGTGGCCGCGGTCGCCGCCGTCCTCCGAAAGACGCGCAATGACCGTTCCGAGGGATAGAAGCGACTTGTTGATGTGCGCGCCCTCCTTCAAACGCTGACCCTCAGCGCCAGTCTGGCCCACGCGCTCCGAGCCCGCCAGATCAACCAGGTTAAGGCAGAAACCATGACTGCGCCGGTGAACTCGGCTGAATCAGCAGCACTTCCCGTGCTGCCTGTGCTCAGCCGCTGAGAGCGTGTGACAGGCAGATGGCTAGACACTCCAGTGCCATTTGCCGGCGCGACATCTGCCTTTTCGCGGCTCTCGATGACAATGCGGAAGATGGTATGCGATCGGCTGCTTCGTTCGTTCATGTTTGTCCCGGCAATATGGCGGTTTCTGTCGCCCTTTAGCAAAATATCCTCGACCTGCTCGGCATTAAAGACAATGTGCTCGGAGAGGTCGCCGACAAAAATCTCCGCTTGGCGTTCTCATGAATCTTGAGATTGTTCTTTGTGGGTTCGAGAAGATCACGCAGGACCTCGTTGTATATTTCAAGGAAAGATACGCGCACGAGATACTCACGCTTGCTGTCGTTTTCAACGATAGAGAACATGTTTTTGACAGCCAGCTTTATGATGCCTAGTTCGGAGCCGCTGCCGTACATGGTGTGTGTCTTGCCTGAAGACGTCTGCCCGTAAGCAAAAATCGTGCCGTTGAATCCGCCCATCGAAGATGTGATAATATTCTTGACAATATCGTCGTAGACCTGCTGCGTCGTGTCTTTCTGGTCAAAGACCCTGTCTATAGGCGAAACAAAAAATTGTGTTGCTTATTATTTAGTCTGGTGGCCATTAATGTTGAATTTGTACAAGCTCAAGGGTTAATTTAGTACGTACCAAACGTGTAAGAGTTGCCATTTGTGGAACGCCCGTCGGAATAGAGTCGTTGGGTGATTGTGCCCCGTTGGATTGACCAGGGTAGCTGTTGTGTCAGAGACGGTGTGGCCGACGAGCGCAACTCGCGCTGGTTGAGCGGCCGCACACGAATGGCGACGTTGATATGGTCCTCCATTTCCTCAAGGTGAAAAATATAAAGTACAAATATTCAAAGTCAAAGTCAATAAAAAATATTATAATTTCGAAAAACAAAGAAGCAAAGAACAAAAAAAAGGCTATTGAAAATTTTTTAACGTAAACATGGCCATTTTGCTGGAATTAATTTATTTGGCAGCTCATGCGCAGTCAGGTTCGCAATTTTTGCCGCATTTTCTTGATTTTACGGTTCGATCGCTATTCCTTTTCACATTTCATTATTTTTTCATATTTTCCATTTTCCATTTTTCTTTCTGTCGCAAATAAATTGGTTTTTTTTCGCATTGAACACATTCATTTATTTTAAACTATAAAAATGTCGGATAATATGGATGCTGAGGACGAATTCCTGTATGGCGACTTGAATGCAAGTGACAGCTTAAATGCGGATCAAGACAACAGGTAAACAATGCGTAATATATATAAATGTGTTTTTTTTGAGGGGGGGAAGCAACCCGCGCAAATGAATTAAGTATTAATTGGCGAATTGATTGTTTAAATTTAGTGGTGCTCCTGACGACACAGCCGCAGCCGCAGCCGCAGCCGATGCTGATGTCGACGTGGATCAAAGTGGCGATGTGGACATGAACGGCTCTGGCAGTCAACATAACGGCGAAGGCAGCGATGTCAACGACGAGGAAGAAAGCGCCAAGGGCGACAGCAGCGAAGTGGTGACAGCAGCGACAGTGAAAGCAGCGACGACGACCTAGAGATTATTTTGGAGCCCGGTAAAACGGGTGCTGACAACCAGCCCACTGTAGCTACTGCCGCAGAAACTGAAGCTGGAGCAGACGAGAAGGCGAAAACCGACGGAGACGCCAGCATGCAGGCTTTGTTTGCTGGAGGAGTGGACCGGCTGGACCTTCTGACAGTGCCTCTTCTACAGAAATCGACATGTTCAAGATTGACATCGACATGCTGGACGAGAAGCCTTGGCGGTTGCCAGGGGCGGATATTACGGACTACTTCAACTTTGGATTCCATGAGGAAACATGGAAGGTATACTGCATGAAGCAGAGGCAACTGCGCACTGAGTTTGGCATGTACAAGATGATGCCACCGGCAATGATGATGATGCCTGGCGCCCAAGGCATGCCCAACCCCGCTATGTTTTCGGGAATGTACCCGCCGGCACCGGGCCGCCGTTTATGCGCCCAGTCCAGCAGCAGCCTGGAGGACCGCAAGGCAGCGAAAACAATGCCGATGTGAAGGATGGTGTACAGCCGAGAAACCCTAACCAGATGCAAATGCCTATGGGCATGCATGGCTTTTTCCCGCCTGGAAATTTTGCCCCAGGTATGGCTCCAGGCCAGCAACGCAACATGCCGAACATGCCAAACATGCCAAACATGCCAACATGACGCCGCAAATGCACATGCAGATGCAAATGGCAGCTGCTCGCGGCCAGCAGATGCCGCAGGCACAGGGAGGTGGCCCGCACGGCATGCACCAGCGCCCACCCCCACCTCCACAGCAGCAAATTCAGCACCGCGCTCTTCCTGATCAGCGTGATCGGCGCGACAGCGACCGTGGCAACGAGTCTGACCGTGACCGCTCCACTTCTCAGCAACGCAACCCGCGTGACTGGGACGCCTCCAGAAACGGCAGCCGCTCTCGTAACGACCGTGAACGCGACCGCCCGCGTGAGTCGGGTCGTGAGTCCGGCCGTGAGTCTGGTAGAGCCGATCGCGATCGTGCTGCGGATGTCGATTCTAAAAGGCCTGACCGCCGTGGCAGGGACAGAGAAAGAGACAGAGACAGAGACAGAGACAGAGATGCCCGCGATAAGGAGTCTCGCGATAGAGGCGTTCGTGGCAGTCGCGCCCAGGACAGTAGCTCGTCGCGCGGCGCTGCCGAGAGACCCGATAAACACGCATCTGCTTCAAAGCGTCGGAGATCCATCTCTCGAGAGAAGGAATCTGCACCAAAGGGGTCTGCGAAGCGCCGCCGCTGAGCTAATTGCCAGTCGTTCATTATTCTATTGCCCAGCTTATCAGTGCTGCAAATACTAAACAATTTCCGTTTAGTCGGGCCATTCTCAGTATCAGTTTCCATGTGCGCGATGAATTAAACGCCACAAATTTGTGGCGTTTAAAAACTTGAATCATTTACATTTTCATTTGTTTACTAAAATTCGAATACAGCTAGATCCTCTCTGCGCAAACAATCTATAATTGGACGCTGAAAACGTTCACACACATGATATATTTTGCATTTATATCAATCGTCAACGTCCAAGCCAGCAAGCAACCAAGACAAATGACACTGCTGAGCTGTAATACTTACTGTTGAATTAACTGCGTAGGGGGAAAAGAAAAAGCTAACAAAGTGATGCACGATTTCGACTGCAAACTCGGGCCTCTAATCGCAACTGCTTTTGATAGTTCTGAACACAATCTCCGATGTCATCGTTACTTGTTTCGGCTTGTTTATTTATTAAAATTATTTTGAAGTTGACGTAATGAAGAATTGAAAGGTGTTTTTGTCAACGTTTTGGACCTTGGATCATGAAATGACAGATTTTTTATTTGTTAACTTTTTATTTTCACAAACAGTTCATTGCAACATTGTTTGGCATTTCTTACACGGCCAAGCCTGTGTGCACTTCTGACGCTCGAAGAACCTGGCACAAGAATATTGTGGCTGCTGCTTTGTTAGTATTAAAAATAAACAATGGGCCGTCAATGTATTCATACAGAGATTTCCACTTTAATTATGTGGCGAATGCACAACAAATGCCCATGTTTCCTGTTTGATTCATCGTTTTCAAATGAGCGCTATTTTTGTTGGAATATTGTGTTCTGGATAACAAGGCAAAACGTTCTTTGGTCAAGCAATCGCACCACTTCAAATATATGAAACGGTTAATAATATTGGTTATTTTTTTGTTGCTCGACCACGACGTATTTAAATACGAGAGTATTGCGGACGGCAAAAATGACAGGAACGTGTTACCTGAGTCACAGCCCTTAATCATTTTTTACATAAACATATTCCGCGCAACCCATTGTCTATATTGTTGTCTCTATCACCACCAAAATCAATTCCATACATATATAAAAAGTTCAAACATGTCAACAGACGTCGCTGCTCACATCATCTTTGGTGGCCTCCGGGACTCGTACGAAAAGCAGCAGGTACATGTGGACTCACTGAGGCTGTCTACTCAAAGCCTCGAGTCGCAATTTTTGCTGTCTGTTCGCAATCAAGCCACCCGACTGGGCAGCATCATAACACACCAGGAGAAAATTCAACACGACGAGCTGCGGCAGGCCCTCAACTGCTCCCGTATACAGCTGGCCAGCGAGATCAAGATGCTTCAGGGGCTCCGTCGCCGCCACAATATGGCCGTTATCAACCGCAAGGCCAGGACTCGGTATCTGGCCATCTAGATCACTTGATCTCCAAATCAGGTGATCAAGCGCATTGCCAAATTACAGCTATTTTTTCTTCTCAAATTTTGCCAGCGTGTTTTTGATGTTCTCTTTCTTTCCTTGTTGCCTTCTAAACCTATATATATTTTTCAATATACACTTTGAATTTTGTATCTTTTAAAAAGTCAACAACACAGGATGGATGCCAACGTTTTGCGCGCCGAGCGCACGCTTACTCACCTGTCAACCATTTACTTGGCCAACACCGACGCCGTAACGGCCAATATTGCGCTGGTCGTCGACACGATCCTCGCACAAAACCTGTTTGCTTACTTGGGCAAACCAGGCATCACCATGGAGATTGCAAACAAGTACACAGTGGCGGTGAACAAGTGGGTGCAACGTATCAATTCCATGACCAGGGAAGCAAAGAAAAGCTCGGAGACCCGATTTGCCGGCGCCCTACTGATGAAGCACACAGCGCTGCAGTCGCCGCTGCTGCTGCTCGACAACGCGACCGAATGGACCAGTAACTTGCTCAACATTATCAGCAAAACACAGATCACCCCCGTGTACCAGGCGTCCTTGCAGACGCTGCTGGTGTTTATGGATATTGTGCGCGAAGTGCCAGCACTGCACCGCGATATTGCCAGCGCGAAGGTGCCGCAAATGAATCTGACGATCTTGGATCTGGCAGAGAAGAATCCGGATCTGGTTGACACTGTGCTGGAAATACTCATGTGCTCAGCCAGCTGGTTCCCCACACTGTTCCGCCCATCGATCGACAAGACCGAGGCGCTGTGCCTGAGAATTCTTAGCGGCGCTATGTCCAGACCGAACCCGCAGACGTGCACGCTGGCCGCTCAGTGTCTGGCGTCCTTGAGCACAGCTGGCGGCAAGATGACTGTCGAGGAGCGCTGGTACGACTACGCGAGGAAAGCCATGGGCACAATTGAGTCATGCATTGACCACTTAATGTTCAACAACGCCATGCAGGCTGACTCCAAAGTCTGCCAGTCGCGCTTCCAGCTGCCGCCATTTGCCGACAACTTTACCGTATCGATCCCGCAGGCGGTTGACCGGATTACGTCCATGTCAGACCTGCTTATTGCGCTGCTTACGCGCCCGTTTGGCGTTGACCTTCCGATTCCCGCCGACGCACTGGTTGCTCTTGCGTCGAAGCTAGCACTGGTCCCTATGCGTGTAGCCAACAGCAAGTCCAGCCGCACCGAGTTCAGTTTGATCCCTATGCTGACCCCTGAGATCCAACGTGCCTCTATCCGCATTCTGGCCACAATGTCCATGGCCCTGGGTAACTACATGCTGCCATATCTGTCGGGAGTTGCACGCACCGTGGCAGTCATCAACAACAGGCAGATTGCCAGCCCCGCAACCCAGGTGGCTCTGTACAAGCTGATCCAGCTGTACGTCGAGGCATATGACTATGGCTTTGTGGAATTCCTGCCTAAGGAGGTGCTGGAGCTGGCTATCAGCGATATTAGCGTGCAGAGCAAACGACAGACGACTGCCATCACTGCCACGTCTCAGGCGTCTGCCCTGAGCTCGTCGGGATCGAGGAAACGCGGCGGAAATGGCCGGGCTCGTACCCTCGAGGGACTAATGACCGACGACGACATTCAGGCATCACTGGTTCACTGGACGGATGTTGTTCTTGCGGCGCTCGAAACCATTATGGCGCTGTTCCGCCACACCCCGACGGCCATCAGCTCGACTATGCGCACGCAGCTGGATGGACAGATCCTAACCCTACTGATGCTCGACATGGTCGGCAGCTACGAGTCGCCCTTCGCCTGCCGCCAGACGGACACTCCGTACAAGGTGGCACTGTACAAGTGTCTTCAGGCGTCTGTTGTCTCGCCCGATCCTTGGCATAGGGCCATTTTGCCCCACGCATTGACGACATTCACTGCCGGACTGGCAGACTCATCGCCGGAAGTCCGCAGTATCTGCGCACAGGCGCTGGACGTGATTGAGCTTATGATGCATGCGCGACTGCCTGCTCAGCTCCGGGCTCCAGATTCCGAGAAAAACGTTGAGGCTGAGGGCCTAATTGCCGGGTCAATCTTCAGCGACGAGGCCACTATCGACGCGGCATTGACAGGCATGCTAATCAGCGAAGATGCCGATTCTGTGGAATCTGAGACCAAGAGATTCAAGCAGAGTAGTGCACCCAAATCGCATGCTGCCACAGCGGTTGAAAACACACCCGCCGCAGTACATGTTGATTTTTCTGCCGCATCCTCTGTTGAGGCAGTGGAGCCTGAAGCACCCGCCTTCTCTTTTGCCCCATTTTCGCCTCAGACCGCACTGTCTGCTGACATGCCGACAGCACCTGCAGTGGCGCCCGCATCGACATTTACACCCAAGCCGACAGTAACGCCGATTACGCCCAGGCCAGCGCCTGCGCAAACCAAGCAGGCGCTCAAAAAGCCAGCCGCGCCTGTCGACGAGGGCGACGATAATGACAACGTGATCCCTGACATTGTCATGGAGGGATCCGATTCGGAGGATGACGAGGAGTTATAAATGTGTTATCAAAAATTTTATTAGTTGCCAATGCGGTCAATGTTTTAAAATTGCTAGAGTTTAGTTATTGCGCAGTTGGTCCTAAAGATATGTAAACCCAGAACTTGTTGGTAACAGTGCGACGCGAAGAGTCGCCGCCAGCGGGCGCAGATGCGGGAGCATCGGTGTCCATGTCCATGTCATCCTGATGCGTACAAGTGACAAAGAGCGGTACAGTCAGGTTATCTGTGATTGCCTTTGGCGTGAGATTGAGCTGAATAGCCACCCTGTTTCCCTGACGATCAACGATACCGCGCTGTCTTCCGGCAGAGCGTTCGCCGCTGCTGCTTCCGTCACTATCCTCGTCTTCATCCTCGTCATACTCCCACAGCTCGGTAAATGGCGCCAACATAAACTGCTGGGCCACCACCTCGACATGGGCATCTTGTTCAGGCGCGCACGCAGCAACAGCACTCCCATCTCTGAGTACAGTGGATTGGCAAATCGCAGGACCAGCGGCACTGTTTTGCCAACACGCAGCGGCATCTCGGGCAACAGTACAGGGTTTTTGGAGACAACCTGTTGGGCAATGTGATTGTCGGTAAAAAGTTGGCGGCCATCAGCTGGATTTTAAAGCGCGTCGCCTGTGCCTTGCTCTCGGGTTTGATCAGGATGTGATGGCAGGAGCGGCAGCGTCTAGCGAGCTTCATATGCAGCCTGATCCGCTGCGGCTCAATACTAGTCAAATCTGCAGATAGCGGAGGTACAGTGTCAACATTTTCAATATTCATCCGTTGGGATACTCGCGTGTGGTCGGTATCCATGTACCCGGCAGCCTGGTAAGGAGGTATGACTGCTGTTGAGACGGAATTTCCGCCAGCCCAGAAGATGATGACAGCCCAAACCGCGACTTTAATGCGCCGCCATTGAGTGTCCGCCCAACGTTGACGTCGGTGCTGATGTCGCTGAGATGCGATACACTGCGCGCCAGTATTCCAGCAGGCTTGTGTACTCCTTGGCCTGCTGATCGCTAGCCTTTATCGCCTCGATCTGTGGAGAAATCCCAGTGGCTTTTTCAAATTCCCAGCCGATCTCGCGCGAGTCCCAATAACACACAGAGCACGCAAAGCTGAAAGGCTTGGTCTCTGTATCGTTCTCAACTACAGACAGCATATGGGTGCACACAGGGCACTGGAAACAATTGCGCGCGCAACAGTTTTCTCAGAGCGAACACTGGCCGTGGGCACGTCAAACAGGCAGTTCGGACAGTGATAGCCAGCGGGCTCTTCGATCACACAGCGGCTGCACCGAAGCTCACTACAGTCGTCGCAATAGTACAGGTTCTCGATTGCTGATGCTCGCAACACTAAGAGCTCGGAGTTTGGTTGTAGAGGCAGCTTCAATTGTGCCTCAAGCTCTGAATTGCTGCTGGCTTTGGGAACTACAGCTTCCTCTCCCTCTGAATTCACTCTTACACCTGTGTCCAAAGCACCGGGGGATTGCGTTGCTCCGTTGCATGAGCAGTGGTACAAAACAGAAATTAACGTGTTGTTAGCACTGCTCATCATTGCTGAATTTATCCTCGTTGTTAGTGTAATTCAAAAATAAATTTCAATTCGAAAAAATGAAAAAGAAAAGAAAAGAAAAGAGAAAAAAGAAAAAAAAAAAATAGATCATAAACTTTTCTTATTTGGTCTATTTGTTCGACGTTGGGCTATACAAGGGCGGGCGCGTGGTACATTAACATGCACGAGATAGGTAGTTAAGCGTCTTGTAAGGTTTTCAGAATAATGGTATAACTATGTTGTCAGCAAATGCAATATCAACCTGACGTAAAGCAGGCAACTGTTGCAAATATTAAAACAGCATTTTCAATAGTGTAGTACATTGTCCAATTGAGAATAAAAGCCACTCTTTTCGTGCTCAATCGCTTTTAAAAGGAGCCTGTTTAAACCAGAATATAAAAGGCTGTCAAGCAAAAACTGCACTAAATTGTATGCAGCAAATAGCAAGCAAAATATGACGTTTCCATTTTGTGACCGTATTGCTTGCCTGCTCGCTCACCCGTGCATTCTCTTTCTTTTCCGTGGTTGTAACCTCGCATCTTCAAAGTAAGCGCACGCCAGTTCGGCAATCCAGAGACGGGATGCCCTAAGGACAACTATGCGTTTCTTAATTATTTCTGTTCTTCCAAATTATTTTTTGTATGTTAGGAGATGAGGACGCTGCTGTTTCCAAAGGTTCGAGTCCATGTCTACTGATGCACACTTTTGGCGGGACTGGCTGGCTGCTGTGGAGCTTGACATTATGAATGTCGATAATCACTCAAATATTTTTGTAATTGCAGCTGCGGCACTGGACCGAATGTAGCATAGCGCTAATATTGGGATTTTGGTAGTCCAACTGCTGCAAAATGTAGGCTAAAAAGAAGAGCCGAGTTCTCACTGACTATTCAAACAACTTTGCCGGTTGAAATAACGAGCGCAG